ATGTCCATACTACCTTCAAGATCCACACAAGCCGTATGCGTATCATCAAGCCGCAACTTTGTCTTCCTTAACAGTAGTTCTGACTGCTTGATCTACAACCTTAACCATGATGTTTGTTTATGGAACTGGTCTGGGCCCTCGAATGCTACGCTTTCAAGATCCCCGACTCGATCTCATACTTAACTATCGAAGGTAGTAGCTGAGGCGAGGCCCGACGCAGGTGAGATCTACATCCAGGATAGCCAAGCCGTAGATGAAATTAACATGACCACGAGGCCTCATGTTGCGCAGATACAAGAAATCACTAATGATGATCCAGCTGAACGTGGGTTAGGCGGCCATCTGTATACTTTTTGTAGGGATCTTGAGACAAGCTATAGGCTACTTTCTGATGTGATCTTTTTGAAGATAGCTGGGCGTAAGGCGTTGAGATGAAGACCGTAACACCCATGCCAGGCTGACTTCTCGTGTTTTGACATGGTCATCCAAGTCAGCTAGCAATAGTAGATTGAGTTCTCCATCTGACATGTAGATCAGCAAGGCCTTCAGCTCTGGAGGGCGGCAATCTTGCCGTGCAGAGACGATGGCGTAAAAAACCGTTGAAAAACAAACAATAATGATCGGCCGGCGTACTGTAATTAAGACCAGCAAATCCGTGGGAGTGGAAAAGGGGCGGGACGGCTTAGCAATAATCTGTCGTAGTGGTGGAGCCTGAGTGTTATTAGTTACCGACTGTACTATCGTCAGTTAATAATTCCGGCCAATTTATTCCACGCAGCGCCGAGTCGCAGTTCGGACTGCGGCCGTCGTCATTCAGGCAAGACAAGCGCAGGTAGTGAGGTGACCGGACCGGCTTTGCTCAGCCAATCTCGCCCTAGAGTGAATGCAACGGTTGGGCCAATAATTACTCCGTCAGTCGGATAGACTGCGCCGCCGACGCTCCTTCTTCAAAAGAGCAAATGGTCAACAGTGCAGCCGAGGCGGGCTTGGACCTACGAGTCGGGTCGTACAGCAGGTCTGTACTGTCGTCCAGGCTGAGATACAAAGGGTGATGATGAATGTAATAATAAAGGGAAGCTCTCTTGAAAAATCCACAATTGAATTGGCAGGATCGCGGCCGAGCTCTGGACTGGCACGGACTCTAGGAAATGGGGACACTAACGAACGAAGAACTGGGACGTGCGACGCGCCCCAGTCCAATCCAATCTCCCGGAGTTTGCGGGAAAAATACAGATGATGATGATGATGATGATGTAAAAGAGCAGGCTGTCATCGGGGCCAACTGCGACGCTTGACGTAGCAGGGATTATTTTTCCGTCAACTACGCAGCCACCTGCGGAGTGCTTGACCTGTCGAGGTGGGCTTAAATCCTCCGTCTTGATCGGGGCGTCCGAGTCGTCGGTGGCGGATGTGTGAGTGGAGAGAAGTAGTATAGGGTGCATCAATCATAAAATCGAAGCCCGGTGCCCTGGGCGAGAAGTACACACGCCAAAAAACAATGTATCGGCGATTAATGGCCCAGGTATGGCCTGTCAATCTTGCTCAGGTACCCGGGGATGAAAATCCATGAAAAGCCCCTGTCCCGGTGCGTGTCATGGTATTTCTGCCCCCTCCTCACGACGCCCCGGTGGCCGGGCTCCACTGACGAGTGAATCGGCCCTTTGATTCCGGCGGAATTGACGACAAGGCCCTTTTTTCAGACTGGGCTTTTCCTTCTCTGAAGAGTGCGAGTCGTAGTCGCGACGAGAATTGTGAATTAATAGCCGCTGGAGTCCCAGATGGGTGGGTGTCCATTATGCCAGTTAGGGTCTGGCTGCTCCCCGTGATTACCACTAAGCTGTAATACGCTGACCAACTGGCCCATCCACCCCCTGTTCTCTCTTCCCCCCTTCCCTTTCTCTCGCGCTGCTCTCTTCACTTTCCTTTTTGCCCCCCCTTGCTAGCCCCCAATTCCCCCGTATCGTACTGCTATGACCGCAGCGGCTTGATACACTTAACTTACCTTCCTGCACTGCGACTCGGTCGCTTCCGTTCTCCCTGGCTCTTCGCTCCACATCCCATATTCAGCCCCCCTCTCACTCTTCATCCTCTCTCGACCTTTCCATCCTCCTCTCCTTACCTGTCAACACCGCAACCCACTCACCCACCTCCCCTCCCCCTCCAATTCCTCCCTCTCTCCCTCCACATCAACGTCCCCCTCCCTCCCGGAGTTCGTTGATTTCGTGCTTCCGCCTCCACTACCCCCTTCTCGACAGTTGACAACTTCCCCTGGGGCTTTGGCACGATGGCAGCCGATATGAGCGGAGAGCAGATGCAGGCGAAAATCACCGCCGCCAGGCGCGAAGCGGAAGGCCTGAAGGACAAGATCAAGCGTCGGAAGGATGAGCTGGCCGACACCTCGCGTACGACTTCTCCTTTCTCTCTCCGCCCTCGATCTACGTCAGGAGCTGTCTGCTAACAATGAGATCCCAATGCAGTCCGTCAGGTCGCTCAAAACCAAACCGATAATCTACCACGCATTGGCATGAAGCCCCGACGAACACTCAAAGGTCATCTGGCGAAGATCTATGCCATGCACTGGTCCACCGACCGGCGCCATCTTGTGTCGGCCTCGCAGGATGGGAAGCTCATCATTTGGGATGCTTACACCACCAACAAAGTTCACGCGATTCCCCTGCGCTCCTCCTGGGTGATGACCTGCGCCTACGCCCCGAGCGGGAATTACGTTGCGTGCGGTGGTCTGGACAACATTTGCTCGATTTACAACCTCTCGTCACGTGAAGGGCCGACCCGGGTCGCGCGCGAGCTTTCCGGACACTCGGGCTACCTGTCATGCTGCCGCTTCATCAACGACCGTCGGATCATCACCTCGTCAGGTGACATGACCTGTATGCTGTGGGATATCGAGTCTGGATCGAAGGTGACCGAGTTCGCCGACCACTTGGGTGATGTCATGTCCATTAGCATCAACCCGACCAACCAAAACATCTTTGTTTCGGGTGCCTGTGACGCTTTTGCCAAACTTTGGGATATCCGTACCGGCAAGGCCGTGCAGACATTTGCCGGCCACGAATCCGACATCAACGCCATCCAGTTCTTCCCCGATGGCAATGCTTTCGGTACTGGATCTGATGACACCTCGTGCCGTCTGTTCGATATCCGTGCCGACCGCGAGCTCAACATCTACCAGGTAATTTCGATTATGATCGCAATGGGAGCGAACCAAGAGCTAATTGTGTGTCCTGCAGAGCGACCAAGTGCTGTGCGGTATTACTTCGGTTGCGTTCTCCGTGTCGGGCCGGCTGCTCTTCGCGGGCTACGACGATTTCGAGTGCAAGGTTCGTCAGGTTTGGGCTCTTACCGTGTGGATTTGCGCTAATGCAGATAATCAATAGGTGTGGGATGTTCTGCGCGGCGACAAGGTGGGCTCACTGAGCGGCCACGAGAACCGTGTCAGCTGTCTGGGTGTCAGCAACGATGGCATCAGCTTGTGCACTGGGTCTTGGGATTCCCTTGTAAGTGACCTGAACCTCTCACCCTGGCCTCTGTCATCCGCTGACTCTTTCTCTTTTCTGTCATCTAGCTCAAGGTCTGGGCCTGGTAAAAACCAAAAAACCAAAAAACGCGAGATACCCCCGTGTCGATCATTTGCAATACTCACTCTTCTTCGACCTTTTTTTTTTTTCTTTTCTTTTCCGATGGTTCGAATCCCCGCCATTGTACGATATTAATCAGTTACCGGGGGGACCCGTTGTTCCCGCGATAATTAGCTACTCTCGGCGCAGACCTCGATCCATGCGATACGGCAGGTGTTGGTAGCGGTTGACGGAGCGAGTCGTCCCGGAGGGAGGGCGAACGAACGCGACGATACATCATATTTGAATTAGGCATGACGAAGCACGCTGCCGGTTCTTGGGGTGATGGTTGTACAGTGGACGTGAACTGGCAGCAGTCGATCTAATGCTTCCGCGGCGATGGCTCTTGAGTGCCTGAGCTCATTTTCTTTGTCCTGGATGATTTCTTCTTTGGTTGTCCCTCCCCTTCCTTTTCTTCCTTTCTTCCTATCCCCCTTCAGTTTCCTCCCCCCTGTTTATTGGTCTTGGCATGTATTTCTCTGGTGGGATGGGAGGACGGATTCCCGTTGTGCCTTGGCCCGCTGCTTCATTTCTCTTTGCCTCGAAAGAGAGAGTGTATCTATGTGCGAGTGTCTTGCGTTTTGAAATTTCTTTCCTTTTCTTTACTCTCCCCGGTGTCGGACTTGGATTTACTATTCCACAATTTTCCATTTGTGCTTGATCTAGCAACCTGAACGCATTCAGATCCATAATGTTGGGCAGTTCCCCGCGAGTGGTGGAGTAGATATACTTGGGCTAGTATTTGTGTAGCCTGTTCCCTAAATAGTAACGGGGCTGTTGGACAGACCCGCCAAGGCAACCAACCACTTGTCCTGGAAGAACATACTGTTTCCTACCTAACGACCGTGGACTCGAGACCTAATGATCTGCGTAATCCCCATCCCCAGCCCATCTGAAACTCGTCGCCCAGGCCGATGAAACGAGGCCGGTGCCCAGGCCCGACCGACTGCTTGCCCCTTTGATATCTCTTTGATGCACGGGCTAAGGAACGCTAGTCGTCAAAGGCAAAATGTAATAATACTGGCCCCCAGCAGGGAGCAAGCGAGATGAATGTGAAAGCTTCTTCGCGGCTTCTTCGGTGGAGCCCCAGAGGAAGGTGTGGTGATCGGCGGGCCTGAAACACGAACGGAAAAGGGGGAAACTGGTTCAACGCCCAGTTTCAAGACGATCTTCTTCCCAACACAGGCTCGACCGAACCAACTAAACCTTGCTCCTTCGACCACGCGAGCTCAGCCCCTGCCGAGTGCGCTAACCAACACGAGTCTCAGCCTTCCCATCTCTTTTTCCCCCCCCAGATCTTCCGCCTGCCAGCCTATATTACTGCTCCCTGACCCCCGCCCGCTCTCGCGTGCTTCTCCTTTCACCATGTCTGCTGCCCAAGACGAGTTCAACCAGCTAGTCGCCAACAACCGAGCCGCATCCAAATCCCACCCAGAGGACGCCCACGCCTCTTCCTCTGAGCCAGATCACTCGGACGACGAGCCCAGCACCTCTCGACGCCGGCTGCAGCGCAGCAGAGCCGCAGACTCAGACTCAGACGCGGACGAACGCCCTGACAACATGGTCTCCTCACGCAACTACCATGTCCCCACCACCGTCTTCGACGCCAACACGGGGCCCAAGGGCGTCATCGCCGACGCCCAGGCCTTTGAGAAGGCCCGCAAGAAGTCCTTCCGCCGCACCCTGCTCTCTGTCGCCGGTCTCGACAGCAACGGGCCCATCCTCGGCAGCGGCTCCCACAAGTCCACCCGTGACGAGCCCTCCGGCCGCCGCACCCCAGCCGACGGCTCGTCCGGTAGTGATGACGAGGAGGAGCGCTTCATGCGGAAGTGGCGCGCGTCCCGCATGCAGGAGCTGCAGAACCGCTCCATCCGCCGCTCGAGCCCGCGCGGCCGGGTCTTTGGCAATGTGGAAACCGTCGATGCTGTCGGGTACCTCGACGCCATTGAGAAGGTCACTAGTGATACGGTTGTCGTGGTCATGATATTCGATCCAAGGGTATGTACCTCCCGTCTTTCTTTCTTTTTCCCTTTCGTACCTTTCTTTCGATTCAACAATGCTAACCCATCACCCGTATAGAACGACGAGAGCAATATCATTGAAGAATGTCTCTCCAATATCGCGCGGCGCCAGCCTCTCGTTCGCTTCGTCAAGCTGCACCACGAGATCGCTGAGATGGACCACATCCAGGCGCCCGCCCTCCTGGCCTACCGCGGTGGCGACGTCTTCTCTACTATTGTGGATATCCTGCGCAACATCCCCAGGGGCCGCAGCCCGAGTGCTGATAGTCTGGAGGATCTGCTGAAGCTGTACGTCCCTTGTCCCTCTTTGATAAATCCTTATACTGACTTGACTGTTCTTAGCAACCGTGTGCTATGAATCTCATCCTGATATCCTCCCCCCTCCTTCTTCTCGGGTGTCCCACCTCTGCATGTTGATCAGTTCATTCACACTACAACATCGGCGTCCTGGCTTTCTCTCCTATCATCGGTCTCCTCTTCTCTACTCTCTTCATCTCATCATCTTTTCCCTTGAGTGTCGAACATGAATGAACCAGCAGGACCAAAAAAAGCCCTTTCTTTCTCCTGCTGGAAAACGGCGTTGGAATCTTCCTAATCGATAGAATCGCGTGGACTTTTTCGGAGGCTCGGCTGGTCTGATCTGCTTTCTGTTACTTTATCTTGCATTGCCCTTGCTCTTTCCTTACTTCTCTACTCAGCTCTGCTCCTCCAATTTCCTATGGCCTTTTTGTTGTCTTGTCTGTTTTTATGCGCTCTCCTCTCCCCAGCTAGGCTGGACTCTGGTACTGGGGAGTTGTTGCATATCGTCGGTCTTTGTCTTTCTATTTGGCTCCGGCCTTCATGTTCATGCTCGTGTTGATATTGTTTGTGATATCCCAGGTTGTACTTACTTAATACACGTATGGTTGAGTGACTTTTGCTTTTTCTTCTCCATCCTGTAAATGCTTGCGTGGAATAGTTACAGGCAGGCAATAGTATAGTAGTTCGGTAGCTGCTTAACTGGCCCTCCACTGACTATCTTATCGCGTTCATGCAGATACGCGGTCTCTATCTATTCGGTCCCGTTTCATCCCATTCATGCAGGCCACATACCAGTAAGAAAGAAGAAAGAGGCGGTTGATTGGTAGCAGGAAACGAGATAAGTGCAGATTTTCGGAGTTGGTATCAGGTTCGTAGATGGGGTTGGTTGTAGTGGTAGCCAAGAAAAGGAGAGGAGATACAGAGGCAAAAAGAAAAAGCCATACAAAGGAAAGAGAATAGGAGAGATATAAACTCAACTTTTCCTTTTCCTCTATGGCTTCTCACATATCTTCCCCTCTTCCCTTCCTCCTATGCAGCACTAAGCTCATCCTCTTGAGGCTTATACCCAGCAGAGACACAAAGGAAGATTCGAAAGAAGAAAAGAAATGAAGAGAGAGAATGAACAAGAAAAGAGCAAGCCATCCAATTCAATCCACTCCTCTCCTATCTTTTCATTTCATTTCCTTCCTACCCACAAACTCCGCAGAAGATAAAAAAAAAAAAGATGGCAAACGGCATGCAGTCCCGAGAAATGGCCAGACGAGCGAACAGAAACAGAAGGGGAAAAGAAGGAGTCTCCGAAGATCTAGAGTGCACCCCGTTCTGCCGTGAAGTCCCACAACATCTTGATCAGACTGTCGGGGAGGGTATACAGATCGACGTGGAACTCGCCAACTATGTTCCCAAAAAGCATTAGTGCTGGGTATGATAGGTACCAGACAGAGGGTGGAACTTACGCTCGACATCGTTCTTGGTGTACGAGTCTGCAGCCTTGTTGTCGTGCACCATCTGCACAACCTGCAGAAGATCATCCTCGTTGAGTTTTTGGAGCCCATCAGCCAGTTTGTCCATGTCAACCTAGCAGAAACAAGTCAGTATATAAGCACCGGTGCAACAAAAGAGAAAGATCCCTGCATACGTTCTTCTCGGTCCGCTTCTTCTTCTTTGCACTCTCGTCACCACCACCAGCCCGCTTCTTCAACCCGTTTTCATCACCGGGGACGGGGCCAGATTCGCGGAGAGCAGCCAGGAGGGCCGGCTTGGGGTTCTTGAAGACCTATAGTCCCACACATGTCAGCGACAGCATGAATTGTGGGAAGAATGTTGCCTCCACTCACGATAACGTGCTTGCTCTCGTACCGCTCGGTGGAAAAGTTCAGATCATGCTGGATAGGGTGCGTCTTGTCCGCCGTCAGGTCAATGGTCATGTCAAACTCACCCCATCCCTCTTCCTGGATGCGGAACGGGGGGCTCTTGACCACTAGATTCAATGCCATCAGCCTCGGGCTTTTACATATAGTAACCGAAAACAAGACGTACCCTGCGTAGCGCGATCCCCGAAACTCGGGTGCAAGCGGTATGTCACCCTTTCGAAGATGGTGGCGGGCACTGGTTCACCTCGCTCATTGAGGAGCCAGACCTCGATAGACCACGATCGCTGAGGGAAGCCTTCCACCTCCGACGGCTTGTCTCTGTATCAGACAAAACAAAATCAGCCTCACATTCTCATATTTTTTGGTCCTGTGTGCTGTTGGTTGTTCTCCAATTGTAGAGAATGGGAAGCCATGTGTGCGCGCGCGATCACGTCGTCATTGCGCGCATCCTGGTCTTCCCCGTGATCTGCCCGACTCGAAACAAAAGACAGAGGACACATCTCCGTGTTGGAATGAACGCATGGCGCATCACCGGCGGCGGAAAAATTGAAGGAAGGGAGCGAGCGAGGGAGGGGAAAACGGTGTCGAGCACATACATGATATGTTGCTCCGTAACCAAGCGGACTGTTCTCTTGACCTGCATCAGACAAAAGACATCGTTAGCTTCAGGTTCATCTCATCGGATGACGTTGGGGCAGCGACAGGCAAAGCGACGGCCTGGTTAGAGCTCGCGGCCTTGCGCGGGCGTGACCCGCGCGGTTGCATGAAGACTGCTGCCTCCATCGCTTTGCCGCGAGAGTAGGAAATAAAGGTGAAAACAGAGCGACTTACGTCCGGCATATTGAAGGATTGGTAGGGCTTTGGAGCCGACGGTCCGGCTCGGCTGGGCAAGCTTGCTTCGGCCTCAGATGGAGTGGCGCGTATGGCAGTGAGGCAGTCCGAGATGTTGGGACAGAGCGCGCAGGATGAGCGAATTGCAGAGGAAAAGCAAAGGGAATGTTGGTGGCTGGGCGGTATATAGAGGGGAGGGGAGAGAAGGAAGAGTTAGTTGGGTATAAGAGAAGGGCGACGAGGCAGGGCGGGAGTGGGGAGGAATTCCCGCAAACGAGGTTGACTTCACCACCACGGAGAGAGTATTTACTTATTTCTACGTCCGACAGAGTAATTGATATCGAGGATATTTTTGGTTGTTCCTTTTTTTTTTTTTTTTTTTTTTTTTACTACTACTAACAAGGAGAAGACCGGAATGCGTGCAGGGTGTATATTCGATGGGAAAATGTCTATCTACTGCCGACTTGCAAGTCCACTGACATTCGGGGAACTGCCCTCCATTTCGTAAATCGCGTGGCTCACGATGGCTGTGCAAGCAGCATCTTCGTCACTGCTGCCTCGCATGTCGCGTTGTCGGGGATGGGGATTGGATGGGGGATAGCGAAGGGGGTTTGGGGATAAAGGGGGAGGCGATTGGAATCGACATGAGGTGTAAAGGGGGTGGGAGCAAGATTCTGGACAGTCCACGCAGCAAAGGGCCTGCGACAAGGTCGTGATGATCGTGACTCCATTTGCTCGGGGGAGTGTGAGATGAGACGTTTACTCCTCGGCGTTGAAGAGCTTCTCGTTTTCCTGCTGGGCCTTCTCGAAGGCGTCCTTGAAAAGGTTGGCGTCTACAGTGCATTAGCAAAGCTCATGAACTCAGTGAAGACAACTTACTCTCGCTGTTGGCAAAGCGGATGGCCAGAGTCTGCGCCTCGGGCTCGCCCTCGCTGACATCGGCGGTCGCGTTCCAGACCCAGCTGCGGTCACTGCCGACGTTGGGGCTCAACTTCATGTCGGGGACGACTGGACAGCGTTAGAAACCGAATCCATGGCATTCTCCAAGGCAAACTCACTGTAGTGGTTGGCGCAGACCTTGAGGGTCTTGTCCCGGCGCATCACCAGGCGGGTCTTGTGGTTCTCCTTGTGCTTGAGCAACCGGACGTCACCGGTGCCGCGCTCCTTCCACTCCTTGCTCTCACGGTCGAACTTGAACAGCTTCGCGCGCATCTTGAAGGCCTGCTCCTCGAGCTCCTCGTTGGTCTTGGTCTCCACAGTCTCGGTCAGGCGGATGACGGGCTCGAAGTGGACTTCAGGGGATTCGGGAGCATCGTCCTCCTGTAGACAAGTTGATTAGCACATGTTTCTGTGAACCGCACAATTCGAAGTAAAAAAAAGATGCCCCGCCATATAAGATGCGGGTGGACTACAGTGGCCCACACCTCGCAGATACACGGCACACAACACTCTATTCCATCATGAATTGGCAAAAACTCACCTCCTCAGTGGCCTTCTGGGCCTTGGAAGAGCCAGAGGGCTCATCAGCACCCTCCTCAGACTCCTCCTTCTTCTCCTTCTTCGGGCCACCGCCGAACATGGAGAAGACGCTGTCAGAGGTCTTCGCAGCAGCGTCCTTGGCAGTATCAGCAGCCTGCTTGGCAGTGTCGACAGCAGCCTCAGTCGCAGACTTCTCACCCTCACCCGTGGCGGCGGTGGTCTCCTCGGGCTTCTGGGCCGCCTCAGGAGCAGCGGTGGTGGGGTCGGGCTTGGTCTCCGCGACGTCAGACATGGTGAGAGGGGATGCGGGGGGGATTGGAGAGAAAAAGAGTGGTGTAGAGCAGACAAGAGGGATTGAAGAGAACAGCAAGTGAGCCCAACGAAAAGATTTGTTTGTCGTAAGGAGGTCGATGAGGGGGGCAAAATTCACCGGTTGGGTTTGGGTGTGGCCGCGGGCAAAATCCGCCACCGCCTAGTTCCACTAAGTTACGGGATCTACAACACCACAACAACAACAACAAACAAAAGAGTGATTATTGATTGATGGATTGATTCAATTGAGTATTATTCATGTCGCCATTTGCAGTGAAGCAGGGAAAAAGAAAGAAATAAGACACCCCCCATCAGCCAAAAACTAATATCAATAAGCAAGAAAACAGAGCGAGAAAAAGCGAACTCATTCACCCTCCCCGTCCCACAAAGTAACGAGCCCTCGTCTGCGCTCGATCTAGCGCAGCACATTTACTGACATTGCGGACACGATCCATCACGGCACGGAGGTCGACTTTGGCCGCTGATTCTCCCAGACGATTCCACACATCGCTGGCTAGCACCTTGGCCTCGCGGTTCACTCGGACAGACCGACGCTGCAGTTCGGAAGAGACGCTGCGGAACCGCTGGACGGCAGTCTGGGAGAAGACCTCGGAGAGCTGTTTGGATCGTGACAGGACAGTGTCCCGGACATGCATGCCCTCGCGGCGGAGCCGTTCTGCGTCTTGGCGGAGGAAATGCGACCTCTTGACCACGTCCCCGACGAGCACCTGTAGATCAGTAGAAAACCGGCCATACACCTCCGTCAGGCCAGTTTGTGCCATGTGCCAGTCCTGTACGAGGTGCGAAGAGACGTCCTGCGCCGCCCGCCTCCAGCTTTCGATCTTCAGCCAGGGAGTCCCAAAGTCGACGGCTGTGGTTTGGTTCAGCAGCGACTTGGACTTGGCCACAATGGTCACGTTGACCACGCTGTAGGCATCCTCGCGAGCCAGCTTCAGCGAGTACACACCGTCAAAGATCTGCGATAGTTCATATGGAAGCACCTGGTTGTGCCGGTGGACGCTAACGTTGAAGCGTGGTTGCTTCTTGGAGGATGTAAAGCTGTGTGGAGGTTTGATGACTACATGACAGTCTCCGACGACCTGTATTTCAAAAGCATTGGTTCTCGCCGGTGAATTTGAGACCGGGATCGTGAGTCCCGTAGCTTCATTTGATGAATGGATGCGCAAACTCGGAACATCGCCTGGTGGCCGTACCGCGAGCGAGGTCTGCTTCAGCTGGTCCAAAGTCACGACAGCCGTGGGAGTGTTGTAGTTTGTCGCGAGGGAGAATGAATTGGTTGCAGTCGATCCAGCCACCCACTGGGCGAGGAAGAGCACCATCGTCTTTACAGCTGCATATCCGATTGACAGCGCAATGGCCGAGATCAGGGTGAGAGTGACGAGACGCAACATGGGGGCTAGTTCGCGAGCCCGCGTGGTGTAGGAATGGGGGATCCAATTACCTGGGTACTTTTCGAGATCAAAGATTGAGTAATGATCAAGAGTCTTCGGGGTATCGGATGTGGCTTTGTGTGTCTTCTTTGGATACAGACTCACAAGCGAAGCGAGATTTCGGTTCAGCTGACCGGGAGTGATGCTCTCAAACGTCTTCAAGTCAATGGGGTATCGTCTAAGAACTACTGTCTTTCCCGCTCGAGGAAGCCGGGATTCCAGGCACATGTGAAGGCTGTTGTGATTCAGAGCGATGATTTCGCTGGGAAACTTCCAGAGAGGCTCCTCTTCTGAGATCACCATCGCGGGGATTCCATGCCGCTCGAGGAAGCTGTGGGCCAGGCGCCGGGTTTTCACGGCGGCCATATCATCACTGGAAGACACGAACAAGATTGCCACATCGGGCAGAGTCCATTCCGTCGTGGATGAGACAGAGTATTCCGATCCGGTCCAGGAGGAGGTGCAAGGCGGACGATTCTTGAACCTCAGGTTCACTGTGCTGGGTTGATTCTCCTGAAGACCGGCAGTAGCTTCCAGACACTCATCGACCACAAGTTGGACATGGATCGGGAGGAGCTCTGCAAAGTTGGGCACGGCTCCGGCCCCGAACGATGTCGGCACAACATGGTACCGGGAGGACTCGGCCGAGCTTGTATCTGAAGTGGGACATGAACTGGATACCAGGACGTCACCGATTTTGTCAAGAATGATGTTTCGGAAGCCTGAGTGTCCAATGTACAGTACCCGGAAAGGTTTATCTAGGTCGAGGCTCTGCTTGATCATAGTCTGCTGGACAGTGGCCATCAGGATTGCATCGGTTGGGTTGTACGGAAGTCGGCTCTTCAATTCTGAGGCTGCTGCTCCCTCAAAGACGCGAATAGTATGCTTGAGCTCCACTCGTTCTTGTATCTCAGGCCATTTCTCGGGCTCCACGAACTCAATAGAGTCCAGGGAGTGGGGAAGAGCAGGCTTCGTGGTCAAGTTGCTATCGTCGATAGGACTTCCCCCTTGGGCGTAGAGTGTAGGAAGCTCTTGAGAGCCAGAGATGGAGCTCTGGATATCGTCCCCGGCGTCATTCAAGTCGGCCCCACCATAGTCTTGAGGATCGGCATCACTGCTACTGTACCGGCCGTCGAGGCTTGCAACGTCGTCGGGGCTGGTCTGATCGATCAGAGACCCCACATCTGTCTGCTCGGAACGACTGCCGTCCTCTGAGTGTAGATCGGACACGCTCAGAGTGGCCCAGCTCTCGCTCAGAGTCTTGAGCGGATGGTCGGGCAGTCGATCTGACGTCATGCTGCTTGGTCGTGAACGTGATAACCACTCCTCGACGGGGGCTGAGAGCGGCGGAAGGGTTGGATACTGGAGGTGGGAGGCGGCGCTGGTCGGACGCCTGCGGGATGACTCTGAAGTGTCAGTCATGTTGTCTGGCAGAAGCAGTCATAGAGGTAGGTGGAGAAGCGGTAGCGAAAACAAAAGGCAGCGAAAGAGCGAGACGAGACGGTCGGAAGGGAGGGTTAGATGAGGCGTAGATGGAAGTAGGCAGGCAGGAAGTCAAGGAGTTAAGGAAGGAGGAAGATACAATCAGAGTCTCATGTGCCCAAATAGAGTGAGTGACCTGGTTGAGGCAGGTGGGCTGGTGGGTCTTGCGGGGGGGTCCCGTTGGTCAAGTCGTGAACAGTAAACAGTGATACTATGTAGTAGGGTTCTTTGTTGTATTTGGTGGATGGTGGAATGAGAATAGGAAGAGAGACAAAGAGAGCAGGAGGGGAAGAACAGGTGATGATGATAAGAGTGGATGACCCGGTGCCCAGTCATGGCGGGGGAAGTACTGAGTACCGGACGAGATGATGGGAAGGTTATAGTGTCACAAGTACCGAGTACCTGCGGAAGTATATCTATGTTGTAGATAGTCGCCCCGCTAAGGGATCTACTGTGTTTGTGCAGTCGACCTTACTCTCACGAAACTATAGCAGATATTATTATTCTCCAAGGGTAAACAGGTGAGTTGGGTATCCCAAGTCACTGTTGCCTGGTTCAAGTGTGCCCGAACTACTACGCCTGAAAGCTTGGCTCAGATGTTTCGGACCGCCCAGCGATACTAAATAATCGCTACGGGTGCAGGATCACTGCTTTGAAAGAGTGTACTGAGCGGCGAACAGTTCGGTACCCCGGCGTATGAGAACACCGCTGATGGACGACATGAGGCGAGACTAAGCGTTTGGCGATGGGATCAAAAATTCGCTGAGGAGGAAAGAAGCAGTCGGAGTCCTTTCAGGCAAGGGGATCGATGGGCTAAAAGTAGCAGCCTTATCAACCTCTTTTTTGGCCCCAGTTCACACCAGACAGGTGGGAATGGTAGTCGCAGTATTTGTTTTTGGTTGATTGTTTGCCTAGCTTAAAGGGCTGCGCTGCTCTACCCTGGCCCCTTGTGCTGTATCGCGAGGTGATCCATAAGGTCTACCATGTACTACTGAGTGCGGTTCTATGAATATTCTACATGCCTCTATCAACCATCTTGTTATTCCGACCACTATCCATGAATAATTAACTATCCAATTATGACCATCACATATACCGATTACCACGTTGACTGTCTTCACTTACTAGTCGATGTTCGACTCGAGAGCGCCTGCGTTTAATAACATTAACGTTAATTAGCCCAGGGCAAGCTTCCAGGATAGAAATAATATACGTGTCGAACTTTCCAGGATTACTTCCAGCTACAACCGACGGACCCTTCATACATTGATACTTTGCATTTCTATTCTGACGGACAGGGACGACATGCAGGCTACCTGCACTCAGCCGTGACCTTGTCGTTTGGGTTTGAGATAGTGTGTGAGTGAGTAAAAAGTGGAAGCCAGATTCGAATCCGAGTGTAGGATCCAAAAGTTTCGCCTCCGTGTCCAAGGGAAAGGCAGCTTTAGTCAATTTCATTATTGTTCACAGGTCGGCCTACTAACTAATCCCTGATCTACGGTGCGCATTGCCGGTCCGTATAGTATCTATCCTCCTAGCTTACCTCTACGGTTCCTTAGCTAAGGTATTAGATTCGAGTCACTGAGCCAAGCGAAAGGTCTCAGAATATTGTTACTATTCTCTCTACCGTAGACCCTGAATTCCTGCGTGGTCCCATCACATCCACTACTTAGAACCAACAACTTCCTTCGGCCCCATAGCTTGATCAAAATCCTGGCCTTATGCCCAAGGGAGCACTAATTTTATACGGTCTCTCATTTCTTGGTTTTGGCGAGTACTAGTGCTTTCTGACAAGCATTCATGAACAACTATAACGCGAGTATATATCCCCATTGATATTGAATAATATAGATCATAATGACGATATACCATCCAACCTCTGTTCGGTGAAATAATTAAGTTAGTCCGTGCATTTATTCCTCTTTCAAAAGGATTAGTTAGTGTGGGTCGGGGTTGTTGGTAATGGGGGCCAGGGACCGCATCGTGCTAAAGGGGGCGAAATGGCGTGCCTCTAGGATTGTTAGTGATCTCAACCGCTTGAAATTCTCAAGTAATTGGTTGAAGCCTAAAATAGTAAAAGTCTCAAGTTAAAAAGGGTCCAGGAGGGAAGCTATAAGTCCTTGAACCCTTCCCTCAAAAGGACCACTCTTCATCTCAGCTACTCTTGACACATTTCTATACCTCCACTCGACCCGCCTTCTTTTCTGCATATAAATACTACTGTGTAGTATATTCCTTCACGCCATGTATCTCCCCAGTACCCTCGTCATCACCTCTCTGCTCGCCAGCATTATCAACGGCAGCCCTATCTTCCCGCTGGCCCGGGAACCCGACGCACAGCCCACAAAGACGCTCACGTTCACGGAACCCGAGAACAATGGGTATTGTTTTGTCAAACTGGATAATGTCCTCGGATGCTCAGGGGAAACCGTCTATCCTATTGGCATGTTCGTCGATGACCGCTGCACCAAATGTAATGCCTCCATGCTTCAACTATATTCCATCATTCCGACTAACCAACCTACCATAGTCACTTCAGTTCCTGATAACGGAGCCTCAAGCGTCATCCCTGTCTGTGACAGGAAACTCACCGTGACATGGACCAAAGACGAATGGGATAACCAGCAGGTCACACTTAAGTACCCCAAAGCGGACATCGTGGCAGAGCGAATGCAGATCATTGGTGTCAACTCTTATGCTAGAGGAGTCGCCAATGTGGTCGGAGTCACCGGGGATCTTCCGAAATGGTGATTTCAGTGCATCACAATAAACACTGCTGGTCGGGGGGTTTTTTTTTCCTTTTTTTTCTTAAGGTTTAACAGGTCTCGCGCTGGGACCGCGGTAGTCAGGCGTTACCGGTATATGCTTAGAGAGCGTGGTTTTGTAACTAAATGCTTGTATGATATCCCCTTTGTAATCAGAATTAGAATGGAAGAAATCCATCTCGAGTCCAATCTGTGCTGTATTGTTATTATTGTTGTTGTATTCTTTTTGCGACAGCCACTCATCGGAGCCGACAGCTCATAGTATCGCCGAAGCCGATAAGATGTGACAAAGTACTGGATACTTGTATCTAGGTGCCAAGTCGCAGCTTAGCGCAGGTACCAGGTACTTCCCCGGATAACGAGCCAGCCCTTGGGCCTCGGCAGTCTCGGGGGCAAAGCGGAGAACGCCAACTACTTCAATGGCTTTGTCTTCTTCCTCTTCCATCTTCGCTTCTTGCCTCTTGTTTCTCCCATCCCTCTATACAGTCGGTAAGTGATACCAGCAGCATTCCTTACAGCCATTATTATTATTCCCTGGCAAGCCCGCATCGCAACACTCTGAATCTCCACGCAATCACTCCCAACCCAACCCTGTGGCGTTTGGCCGAGGTACAAAATGCATACTAACAGTCCCCCAATTAGTCTCTCCAATTCCCAATACATCATGGCCGCAGATCGTCTGAGCTCCCTCCTGAGCCATCTCAAGCCCGGCTCCAGCGGCATCAACGCCATGTAGGTACCTCGGACCCAACGATATGGTCAAATCTAACAAAAGTCGTACAGCACCCAAAAGAACCCGGATGACGTGGTGATCACCCTCGCCCTGCGGACGCCTCTGACCAAGGCCCGCAAAGGCGGCTTCAAGGACACAGAGCTGGACTACATGGTGTACGCCCTGCTGAAGGAAACGTTGTCCAAGTCGAAGATCGACCCTGCGCTGATCGAGGACGTGTGCCTGGGCAATGTCAACGACGCCAAAGCCGCCTACATGGTCCGCGCTGCCGCACTGGCAGCCGGCATCCCACACACCTCGGGTGCCTCGTCCGTCAACCGCTTCTGCTCGTCCGGCCTGAAGGCCGTGCAGGACATCGCGAACCAGATCTCGCTGGGCTCCATCGACATCGGCGTTGCACTCGGCGCAGAGCTGATGTCTGCCTCAGGTGATCGACTGGACCGCCCGTTCAACGAGGAGGTGCTGCGCAACCCGGAGTCGGCCGACTGCATGCAGCCCATGGGCCAGACCTCGGAGAACGTCGGTGCCGACTTTGGCATCTCGCGCGAGATGCAGGACCGCTACGCAGCGGAGTCGTTCCGTCGTGCGGAGGCTGCCCAGAAGGCGGGCTGGTTCGATGATGAGATCGTTCCGATCACGACCAAGGTCAAGGACCCGAAGACCGGCGAAGTGACGCAGGTTACTCTCACTCGCGATGACGGCGTTCGCTACGGCACGACCGCTGAGTCTCTGGGCAAGATCCGGCCTGCATTCCCGCAGTTCGGTGACCGGACGACTGGTGGCAATGCCAGCCAGGTGACCGACGGCGGTATGTTTTCCCTCTTTCTTTACAATAGTAATTTATACTGACATCTAAAACAGCCGCCTCCGTCCTCCTCATGCGCCGCTCCAAGGCCATCGAGCTCAACCAGCCCATCCTGGCCAAGTTCTGCGGCGCCACCGTGGCTGGCGTCCCACCGCGCGTGATGGGCATCGGCCCAACGGCCGCCATCCCCAAGCTGCTGAGCAAGTTCAACCTGAGCAAGGACGACATTGAAATCTACGAGATCAACGAGGCCTTTGCCTCCATGGCCGTCTACTGCGTCAGCAACCTCGGCCTCGACCATGCCAAGGTCAACCCGCGCGGCGGCGCCATTGCTCTCGGCCATCCGCTGGGAGCTACCGGTGCGCGCCAGATTTCTACCATCCTCAGCGAGGCACGCCGTACGAAGAAGAAGATCCTTGTTACGAGTATGTGTATTGGAACTGGCCAGGGTATGGCTGGTCTGTTCGTTAACGAGCAGGTGTAAATACTGCTTTACTGAGCACTTCATGAGAATGTCATTATTGTTCATGGGAATAACTATCATCAACTGTATAAATAGTAGTCGTAGTCGTAAGGTGTACAGACAGTGAATATCGTAAATGCGCAATGTACTATATCATGGAACTCCATGCTCCTGATCCCCCTGCTCCGTCTGCTTCCTCCCCTTCCGCATCCTCTCCTCGGCTGCGCGCGCCAGAATCTCCCTGCGACTCTCACTGCTGCTCTCAGCCAGCCCGACCCTCCTCCCAGCATCATCTTCCCTCAATCCACCCAGCACAAACTCACCCCCCGTCCATCCTTTCTCATCCACATGCTCCAGCCCACCCTGTACACTGTCCCAATCAGCCGGATTATAAAATTCATCCTCCGTAAGCCGATGCTCAGCCGTCGCCCGCTCCACCTCGCGTTCAATCTGCGCCGTCAGATCCCAGAAATCACGATCATGTTCCCCAAACACACAGTGCGCCAGCTCATGACACAGTGTTTTGCGGATCGTGCGGTAATCCCGGTATCCGTCGTAGGCATCTGTGCGCAGGCGTAGCTCGATCACCTCGCCTTTATTCCTGTTTAGCCCGAGGGTGCGCGACTCCATAGTTGTGTGTTCGACGGGGTTCATTTCTGTGAGTAGCGGCACGCTGAATTTGTGCTTTGCCATTGCGGCGCGGATGCCGCGGTCATCGCGCAGGCGGGTGAGGAATTGGAGGGAGCGTTCGGGTTGCGGGAGGTACGAGAGTGGGAGGAGGCGGTGGAATGTGTAGTTATTGCTTGAGCTGGCGAGCGTGTGCACACCAGACCGAGATGATGAGGCAGGCTTGGGGTTTCGTCGGGCTGCGGCTAGCGCTGAGGCGCGAGCTTCGTCGCGACGCCGTGTGCTGGCGGATTGCTCGTGCAGGTCGGCGATGGCCTTGGCGGGAGTGCCGAGGAGAGTGATTTTGAGCTTGGGCGAGCTGAGGGGGATGAGCGCGTCGAGGCGGGTGGGCGGGAACGGGGCCTTTTGCATCCCCGGCTTGGGTGCGATCAGTAGTTTCTGGTTTGCGACTGGGATGTTGAGGGTGGTCTCGATCAGAGAGGTGAGGTCGTGAAGAGTTGCTGAGGCGGCAAGCTGAAGGGTGTGAGGGTTGCCATGGTGGTGGACGGTCAGCTCGAGAGAGTCCATGTTATTACGTGGTTGGATGTAGAAAGAACGAAGAAAAACTAGAGAAGCTGATATACGTACGTAGTTACACTCCGGAGGCGAAATTCGATGTGCTTCCACTCGGTTTGTAAGCACCGAAACAGGCAATTTGTATACTTCGGAGTTTACACCGTCACCTCCGTCAACCATATGGCAAGTTCCGTAGCCAGCCGCTCCGGTTGATCAAACATGATCAAATGCCCTGCTTCCTTGACCAACACGACTTCCTTTGCCCCGATCTTCTGGGCTAATCTCTCTGCGCGATCAACGGGGATCCATTTGTCCTCCATTCCCCAGATAATCTTCACTGGAACCGTGCTACCAATATCTCCATATCGTCCCTCTATTTCCTCCGCATGTATCTGGTCAGCTTGTACCATCTGTCGGGTAAACGCCTCTTGGCCCTGACGCCCACCGGCAACCCACGGTTGTACGAGCCGGTCTTCAACAAGACTCGGGAGAGGCTTAAATGCCGCGCCCCGGATATATGCGTGAACCATGCCTCGGAAAACTCCGTCCGGGATCGATTTGAAGATAGACTGGTTCTGCGACACAAGACGGAAGAAAGGACTTCCGAAAGGGCATAGAGCGACAACGTCAATCAGGCAGAGGCTGGCGTATTGACAGCCAAACAAGATATTCGCGCGGAGTGTGATAAGCCCGCCATTATCATGTGCAATGACGTGTGGAAGTCGGTCAGTCGTGAAATTCCATGACTTGTAAAGGGCGGTAAATGCCTCGGCTTGGCCGGCGAGGGATGCGTCCAGTTCGGTGGCACCATATTTGGGAGCTATTGGCGTACCCCCGAGTGATTCACCGAAGCCAGGATTATCAAAGAGGTAAATCTTGTAACGCGCGGCAAGTGACTTTGCAAAAGGTATCCAGACATATGAAGACCATGGTGTTCCGTGGACGAAAATAAGCGGCGGGTTGCTATCATCGCCGAGACATGTCCAGCGGATTGAATATTCATACGCATCACTCCGGTAAGTGAACTCGCTCAAGGCTACCGAATTGAGGGCCATATTTTCTTCTGTTCTCTCTCGAGCTGTGAATTTCGCTAGCCGAGACGATGGGATTGTATTATTATGGAAGTGGGACAATAGAAATAGATGTAGATACTCTTTTCTTTTTTGCCTCTCTTGAAAATGCGGTCTAGATTGACTCATTGCTGCAGGGTTGGATACGAGGTCTCTAAACCCAATCAACCAGATCCTTTACGAATATAGAGCACAGGACGGCATCATAGCCCCGACTTTTGTGGGGCCTCTATATGAGATGATCTTCACGCTTGATAATAGTTTGACCATAACGCAACTTTAGTGGCCACAGGCTTTCTTAACATTGTCCTAGTGTGGCAACACAAAATGACCCCAACCTCAGAATCTGGAAACGGCGACTTCAAAATCGAAGTCACCCTCCAGGCTGGGGGTTTCCCCAGGCGACAGCATCATCTGCTCCTTAACCTTCCCACTTCTCACTGCCACCCAAGCAACGTCCCATGCGCAATCCACATCTCCAGACCATTCTTATCAAAGAAACTGAGATACGCCCGCATCATATACGTCAGTGAGTCCGCGCGCTGGGCATCCTCGACTAGTTCACAGAAGGACCGCATGTCATAGTGGCCCAGGATATTGTCGCTGCCGGGCTCGTGGATGTATTTGTATTCCGCTGAGGCATTGAACCTGTACTTTAGGCGCAGCATGTCCAAAAATACAGCAGTGGGTTGACGAGTTCCTGGGTCCTAGAGCTGAAGCAGGGGTGAACCAAAATATAAGGATGTCAAGCGAGAGGATCTGCCACTGCATTTCTGGCCATGGACAAGATGTCCGGGCTCCTAAAAGTGGAATTTGAAGGAGGCTGCTGGGCAGATGAACGTTGCGGTGCGCATTCTGAATCTTGGAGATGGCGGAATGAGGTAGAGAATCAATAAAAGAAGTCAATATGTCTAAAGATGTATGGTGCTCGACCTTGGAGAATATATTCCATCATATAATAATCCTATAGGCGCATAAGTGGACAGTCCGCTCTGTACAGACGGGACGGGATAGGTATGATGAAAAACAGAGTCAGAGGCAAGAACAGAAAAAGACCAACAACCCGGGCTCCGGAGAGCCACCGCATATTCATCCGGCCAACCCGGATACCGAGGAATGGTATACACTCTGAATTTTGGTATTATTCCTGGTCGACTTGGCTCGTTGCGGCTTCAGCCGGATGGGTTTGCGACACTTACCAGGTAGATTGTCATCTCTAGAGTATAAAGGAATAATGCGACTTTTGTTTGTACCATTATAAAGAAAAAGTTTGTGTTGGCCATCACTACGTACGTCCAGTCAACGACTGTTACGCTCGATCTTTCCTATAAAAAGATTCCAGGTTATCCATCTTTTAGAACATGGCTCACATTGCATTCATCTATTCATTGGGGCAGGAGGGCATAGCAGAAGAAAACCAACGATCTACATCATAACGGGTGTGCCATTAGAAGAAGAAAAAGATGATGAAACCAATGATCAAACAACAATCGCTGATCGGTCTAAACTCGTTCCTGCAAAAAGAAAAAACATTGCATCTCGAAGGGGAGAGGAGAGGAAGGTCGTCATTCTCTCCAAGTCATTTCATTCCCTTTTCTTTTGGTTCACTGCTTCTCTCCCGTCTCGCCCTGGGCGGCGTCAGCATCCGCGGGCGCATCCTTCATCTCGGCATCCGCGTCAGCAGCAGCAGGTTTGTTCTTCTCCTCCTCGGCCTTCTTGGCGTCTTCCGCGGCCTTCTTCTGGGCGGCAATTTCGGCGCGCTTCTTGGCGGCGGCTTCCTCCTCGGCCTTGCGGACGGCCTCGCGCTCGGCCTCGACCTTCTCGCGGTAGCGCTGGATGATGGGGCCGGAGATGAAGCGGATCTCGTCCATCTTGGAGACGTACACGGACTTGGTGGTGTCCTCGCCCTCCTCGTAGAGCCAGTCCTGTGGGAGTAGGTGGTCAGCATGATTATTATTATTATTAAAACAGACAGGAGATTATAACTCACCTCAACATCGGTCAGCTTGGCCCGCAGCTTGTCCTTCTCCTCATCGCTGGCAAACTCGGAGTAGACGCCATCGATCTTGTCCCGCAGCTCGTAGATGGAGGACTCGAGCTCGTTCTTCTTCTCGTCGGTCTCGGCAACGAGCTTGTCTTCCATGTACATGGCGTTCTCGCGCTCGGTCAGACTCTCCTTGGTAGCCTGGTCGATGCCAGCAGTGCCCGAGACAATGGGCAGGTCACCCTTGCGGACCTGCTTCTTGACCTTGCGGGTCTTCTTGGGCTGCTCCTCGCCGTTGGCGGCGTCGGTGTCCATGGCCTATTGAGAAACCGTTAGTTAAAAAATGTATCAGAAATATCATCAAAGAATCAACTTACGTCGCCATCCTTCTTCTCGCCCTCCTCGGGCACAGGCTCCTCAACCTCCATATCCTCAACGTAGTATCCGGACTCAACGTTGAGAATACCGTGCAGATTCAGGCGGGCCTTGAGCTTGCAGATCATGAAGTCGTCGTTGGCATCGGCCTTGACGCCCTTGACCGAGAAGCGGCCAATCCAGGGGTTGATCTTGCCCGGCAGCTGCTCGGGCTTAGCGTAGCGAGCCTCGAGATCAAAGGCCTGCTTGCGGTAGAAGGTGAGGATCTTGGTCGAGGGCATGACGTTGCCGCGGCTGAACACAGTGAGGCTGGTGTCCTCATCCGGGATATCGGGCGACTGCTCCCAGGTGAAGTCGATGGGGTAGTTGACAATGTCGTGGACGGAGAAGTCACGCACGCGGAAGACAGGAGAGAGGGTGGCACAGCTGAAGGCGCAGCCACGAGCAATAGCCTCGTCCTGGTTCAGGGTGAACGAGAGGTTCTTGCCAAAGAACTTGGAGATGGCTTCCTTGACAGCGGGCACACGTGTGCAGCCGCCAACCATCTCAATGTGGTCAATGTCCTCCGCCTTCAGCTTGGCCTCAGCAAGGGCCTGCTCCACGGGAACAGTGATCCGGTCCAGAAGCGGGCGAACCATATCCTCGAGCTCGTCACGCTTCACCATGGCGCGAACATCGACATCATCCATCAGGGACTCGATGCTCATGGGCGCCTGCGGGTTGGCCGACAGCACCTTCTTGAGCTTCTCAGCAGCAGCCAGGGTACGTGCCCAGGCCTTGGGGTGGGTACGGATGTCGACCTTGAACTTCTCCTTGAACTCATCGGCGAAGTGCTCGGTGAGAGCCTTGTCGAAGTTGCGGCCACCGAAGTGACGGTCGTAGGCGGTGGCCTTGACGTTCAGCTCACCCTTGCGGAACTCAACAATGGACGCGGTGTAGTCGCTGTAGCCGATGTCGACAAACATCACGCGGCGGGGCTTCTCCTCGGGGCCGGGGAGGTCCAGCTTGGTGATACCGTAGCCGAGGGCAGTGGCGGTGGTGTCGTTGATGAGGCGGAGCACATTGAGACCAGCGATATCACCGGCATCGATCATCGCTCGGCGCTGCACATCGGTGAACCAAGCGGGAACGCTAAGGGTGACATCGGAGACGGGCAGTCTCAGCTCCTTGGAGGTGATATCCTTGATCTTCTGAAGGTACATGGCCACCAGCTGGATAGCGGTGAACTTCTCCTTCTTGCCCAAGTAGTTGACCTCGACGCCAGCCTGGCCATTGACGTCACAGATGGGTGCGGTGCTGTACTCCTGCTCGATCTGAAGGTCCGGGTCGCTGAAGCTGCGGCCGATGAGGCGCTTGAGGCCTCCCACGGTGTTCTTCAGGTTGGAGGTCTCTTGTGTCTTGGCAGCTTCGCCAATGGCTCTGCTGCGGGCGTTGAATCCGACCAGAGACCTATTAGGGCACAAAAAAATCGAGTCAGCCTTTCAAAATCCGAATATGAGATTAATTCTCCCAAATGTCACTTACGGAGTCTGACGGTTGGAAACCTCATTGGTGATCTGTAGCAGTCATAAAAATTCCACGGTCAGCATCAATTACTGGCAAACGTTGTGACGTTGGGATGAGACAAAGATCGCAAAAAAAATCCGCAGGACTGGGGCGGGGCAGATACGCACAATGTCTATACCCTTGTTGCGAGCAACACCGATCTTGGTGCTCTGCGCACCAAAATCTATACCGACAACGCTCATTGTAGGAAGGAAATGGGGGGTGAATGCGGTGTTGGGGGGCGTAGTTGGGAGGTGGGAAGGGAGGATGGCAGAAGAGGCGGGAGGAGTGGGAGAATTTGCAGCGCCACTCGTCTATTGGATGGGCAGATAACACGGCCGATCAGCGATCAGATATAGGCGGGTAAGTGGTGGTCAAACAAATGGGGGGAAGGGAGATAGGAAGATAGAAGACAGTGTGAGAGGCAACTTTTGCAGCGGTACTTGTCTCTGCGCGGCCAGGCTGGTGGTGGCCATCGAATCTTCTGGCGGCTGCTGGATACATCTACGGGCTTCACCGCCTGGCATTCTGCAACGCAGAAAAAATCAGTTGACCGCCCGGAGGAGGGGCATTACATAAGCCTCCCTTGGATTTAACGTTACATCTATCGATAAGGCAAAGTAGGGCACGGAGACGACAACAGGAACACACAGTATAGTTGAAGCTATGAGATGCAGCAAGAAACACATACGCCCTCTCTATGGTCAGTCAGCACGAAGCACAGCCAGACAGCAAGGGACCACAAATCATAAGAATACAGGTGGCAATCCACCGGGTGGAAACATCGCGCCGAGCGAGGAAAAAAAAAAAAAGTGGGACAGATTGACGTCAAAAGAACATGCTCGGCCAACCTTCTCTGTTAGACCATGTGGCCTGCGTCGGACTTTCGGGACCCTCTGCGCAGCCTCTTCAATAGCGATGCTCGCCGCCCTTTCGGATCTGGGGGAGGATCGTCTTGGCTTTCAAGAGGACGCTTAAGAGTGGAATCGCTGACCATAGGCTGGGGAGGATCATTCGGACTCTCCGGGGTGGAATCGCTGGCCACAGGCTGGGCTTCCTCCGTTGGCTGCTCGCCATCAGGATCGCTCGTCTTCCTCATTGGGTAGATCGTCATGACTTCTGCAATATCAATCGAGGAGCGATGGGGTGGCGGTTCCAGCGCAGCAGCTAATACAGTTGGGTCGGGCCCCGGAGAAATAATATCGGTACTCTCATCCACACTGGTGATGTTGGCCGACGACCGAGCATGGCGAGCATAGAGCAACTTCTTCTGGTCCTCTTCGCTCATGAGAGTTTCCGCATTCCAGGGTAACGAGACCGAGTTGTCCGAGATGGTAGGTACGGAATCGCTCGATTCATGCGTGGGAAGGTGAATCCGAGGCACATTGGGCAGAGGAGGCCAGCGGCTTGCCATAATAGAGGGCCCGCTGTCGTTTGTGTTGACATAGTAACCATCGTCTAGTTGCGCTGCAGGCGCAAATCGACCTTCGATCTTGTCTGGCGGACGCACAGGAACGGACCGCCGGCGCACCAGACTGGTCCGGAAGGTATCGACGTTAACGTTGAGCTCATCACCCTGCGCCGTGGCCTGCTTGACTGCTTCCTCGGGTGTTGTATGAGCATCGGCCGCGGCGGCATCAGCCCGGGGTCCTCCCCAGGTGCGCTGGCCTGCTGTACAAATTCCATATACCATGTAGATCCAGTTGAAGAAGGGGTTGAAGATGAACATCAACGGATACAACCAAGCCTTGAACCGTTTGAGTCGGGCTCCAAAGTAGACCATTAGCAGGTAGTTCAGCCCCAGGGCTACTGCAATGAAGCCGATAGGAACCTCCTTGACCGATTTTGCGGTGGTCATCAGAGCAATGATCATGACGAAGAAAAGGAGTGCGGTAGTTCGAATGGTGTTTTGCAGGAAACGGACCAAGCAGAGCATGGGATAACGTCTCCACAACCGGGCATCCGTGAGCATGCAGACTTCGTTTGTGACGAACCCCAGAAACCATCGGCGCCGTTGTTTCAACAGACTGCCGAATGTCCGGACGGCCTCGGTCTTGCAGAAAGCGGACGTGCACATCTGAATCTGATATCGCTCCTTGGCTCCGATCATAAAGAGGTGGGTGAGCCACCGATCCTCGCCCAAATGACACTTCCCGTAATCGAAAAGGTCATCACACTGCTCGGCCTTGTCAGCAAAGTAATACTTGGCCATCTTTCGGAACGCAGAGAACCGTAGGATTGTCAAGGCACCAGGGAGACAAGTCACAGCACCGCATCCAGACTCGACAGAGCGCTCAAATAGCTGCCCATGGACGTACTCCATATCCTGAAGGACTGTGAGCACGTTCCACTTTTCTGTAGTCGAAGTGATGATGCCAGTCATGGCCAACATGTTGTGGTTGCTTCCCGGCTTGAGCTCCATGTCGTACATGAAATTTTGCAGACAGAGTTTGTCGATGAGGCAGTCCGAATCTATGAACAGCAGGAAGAGATCATCATTGCGCTTCAGGTATTCGGCGTATACCTTGTCGATCAGCTTGAAAGTCTGCTTCTGGCAATGTCGTTTCCCGCCGTGTGTGAACCGCGAAATGGTGATCCGAGCCCCCTTGTACACGACGTCGATGCTCTGGGGGTAGGTGTCGAACAGGAGCGGAACTCCCAGGTGGGTAATCACCTGCAAGTAGGACTCATCCACAGCGTTCCCATCGTAGGAGAGAAACACGTGGATACAATTGGTCGGATAATCGGATTCGACGACCGAGTCAACCGCCTTGATCAACACCTCTGGTTTCTCTTTGTACACCGGCATCACCACGACAGTCTTCGGGACCGTCCGGTCATCCAGCACTTCTTTGATCCGTTTCGTGCGACCCAACGAGTTGGTGGAGAGTCGGTAAACACAAAATAGCCACGGACCGACAAGAAGAACCGAGAAGGACCAGAAGGCAAACCACTGGAACCCCATCACCATCGATAGAGGGAAGTGCTCGGTGATAGGGGGCGGCAGGGGGAGTGTGACCAGCATGGCGGGAAGAAAAGCCAGTCTACCATTCAGCCTCTCTGGTTAGCCGACCCTTGAAGAGACTTCATCAAAGGCAACGTACCGTAGGACTATGAATAGGACGGTCATCAGCGCCGCAAGACACTGTACACTCCAGTGGTCGGCCTTTTGGAAGACCTTGACGAAACAATAGAGAAACGCTGCGAGCCATAGAAGCCACTCAATGATAGCCGCCAGCATAAACGGCCCAATGACTGACAAATAAATGATCTCGTCGAGGTTAGCATGCCATCCTGGGTTCCAGCATGGGTTGACTTACGTCCTTAGCTGGCCAATCATATTCCGCTGTTCCTCCGCTGTCGTCCTCCATCTTGCACGGTTTTGCTCAGCGGCGATCCTGGATATCTCAATGACCGTGCGTTTTTCGGGCCTGACAAGTATCCTGTATTCTTTGTACAGAGCCAAGGCAGTTCTCATTAAATGCGGGTCACGGCCAGTGATGGAGGCTTGCCGCGTGCGACTCGAAAACGATAACGGGGGTCACGGTCAAGTGGACGACATCGAGTCGGGGGAGAGAGAGGATTGGAGTATTAGTGTCAGGATGAGGTGAAGAAGGAAAGGACTGAGCATATTAAGCCCGTTTGGTCTGCGGCCTCAGGAAGGTGCAACCGGGTCGAATTAATTGCCGAATGCTGCCGTCGCAGACGTCCATGGTGGATTCAAGGTCATATAGACCTGGAAAATGTCCAGTCTCTCTCTTCTCCATTGCAAGACGCCTTTACCCTGCACCATCCCTCGGTACTGTGCCTGGTCTCCCGGTAGTGAAGTATAGATCCAGACTCGGTGCCCGTCTCGGCCTAGTGTGGCTGCCTCAGGCCCCCATCAAGCTGTACCGCAAAAAATTATTTCGGTGCTCCAGGATCCAGTCATTATTCACATCCATGCGCTTATTCCGCAGTTTCGTGCAGAATTTCTCCCGCGCACCCCGTGACTCAACTCGTCCTTCGTCGAGTCACTCTTCCAGTGTCTCAGAGTCACATTCCTCCCTTGACCCTTCCGCACGACCACTTCAGCGATCCCCGCTCGATCACACATCCGCAACCATGGCTGAGGTAGAGAAGACCGCTAATGCGGAAGCCGAGAAGGACGTCCAGAACGTGCTCGCTGAGCTGCAGGGCGAGGCGGGCGACAAGGCCCCCAAGGAGGACGCGGACGAGGCCCGCATCGTCGCCGAAGCGGCCAAGCTGGGCGAAAAGTCAGAGCAGGCCCAGGAGAAGTCCGAGTCCGCCAGACCACAGCGCCAGTATACCGGTGCGCGCGGTGGCCGCGGCGGCAAGCGCAACAATGCCAAGTTTGACCCCTCGTCGCTGAAGGAGACGGATGACCCCGTGGAGATCCGCAAGCAGGTATGCGCCGACCGAATTTTGGTCTTTCTTCCCTTTTTTCTAACCGTCCCCGGGTTAGGTCGAGTTCTACTTCTCCGACTCCAACCTCCCCATGGACAAGTTCCTCCTGTCCAAGGTGGGCGGGACCGCCAACAACGCCGTGCCCTTGGAGTTGCTCCACTCGTTCAAGCGCATGCACCGCTTCCAGCCGTTCAGCGCCATCGTCGAGGCCCTCAAGACGTCCGAGACTCTGGATCTCGTCGAAAACAACACCGCCGTGAAGCGCAAGCAGCCCCTGCCCGAGTCCGTGACCAACATGCCCGACCCCAGCGTCGTCAAGGTCTTCGAGGACCAGGCCATGGCCCGCAGCGTCTACGCCAAGGGCTTCGGATCGGAGGATGCCGACACCCAGCTCGAGATCGAGGCGTTCTTCGCCAAGTACGGACCCGTCAACGCTATCCGTCTGCGCCGGACCGCGGACAAGTCATTCAAGGGCAGCGTCTTTGTTGAATTTGCCTCGGAGGACAAGCAGAAGGAGTTCCTGGCTCTGGACCCCAAGCCGCAGTGGAAGGGTCAGGACCTGCTCATCAAGAGCAAGAAGGATTACTGTGACGAGAAGGTGGAAGAGATCAAGGCCGGCAAGGTCAGGCCCAACTATAACCGCGGCGGCCGCGGCCGGGGTGGAAACCGTGGTGGTCGCGGTGGACGCGGTGGCGACCGCAATCGGGAGCGCGACTGGCGGGAGCGCCGCGATGAGGACCAGAAGAATGGCTTCCAGGACCGCAAGGCTGAGAAAGATTCTCGGTGAGTTTGCCCAGTCCCCGAATAACTTGTTGAGATGCATAGACTGACACACGTTGGCAGTGGTGTTCCCGTGGTGCAGGCCACCGAGTCGGCAGGCCAGAAGCGAGGCCGTGAGGAGGATGCAAATGGTGACCACCCGGCCAAGAAGGTGGATGCCAAGGAGTAATCGAGAGTGTCTTCGGTTGGGCCTTTCATGGCAAGGTATTGAAGTGTTACGAACCCATTTCTGGCGTTTATGTCGCTTGTTTAATCATGGATGAGCTGGGCCATGCCTGTCGCAATGGTCTTTGCGGAAATGCTTAGGATATTGTTGATTTGTCTCGGAATTGTATAAACCAAAAGTTTCATTGATCATCTGAAGAGTAATAATTGTCCACTGGGGAGACCCTTGAATACAAATGTAAGCCTGCGGTATTCGATGTGGGCAAAATATATTGGTCCAGAAGCAGATTGATTGCATTCAATGCTAGTACCTGGTGGATATTCCAGCGGGCCATCTATATATCACCAATGTCTCCAAGATGCCCTATTTCTTTTTCTTCGTCTTATCAACCACTTCAACCCACTGCGATCGCAATCCCCTCCTCACCAGCGCTGTATCAACCGCTTTCCGCTGGTCTCCCTGTACCAGGACCTCCATGACCCCCTTCGCGCCACCCGTCGCCTGCGTGACACTCGTGCTACTGGCGCATTTTTTCTGCAGCTCCTCCGCAAGCAGACTAGGCGTAATACCAAAGATCTCCAGGTTCGTGACCTTGGTGACGGTCTTGGTGCCTGTGCGCTTCTCAATCGTGACGAGCGCTTTGGGTGTTGCGCCGGCTTTGGCTTTGACGTCTGCAAGTGTCTGGCCTGGTTTCAGGATAGCGTAGTGCGGTTGCAGGAAGGAGGAATCTTCCACGATGCGTTTCAGGAGACCGTCGCGGGTGGTTTTCCCGCGCGCGAGTGTGCCTTTGTCTTCGGTGGATGACGAGGTGAATATAGTGGTGGCGAGAAACGGGTTGAGGGTGATGATGCGTCGGTTTTCTTGCGAGATAAGGGGCGGATCCTGCGACTGTAGGTACTGATCCAGGTGGTTCGAGACGTCGGAATACTTGTAGTAGTTTTTTGGGTTCCCCGCCCCGAGAGATGGGAAGATGGCCGGGGTCAGTTTGCTTGTTGGTCTGTATAGACTCAAGACAGTAAGCGACTGTCCTACCGACGGATCGTCACCATTCGCGCCAGCTGGTTTCTTGTCCTCGGAGGGCTTGCCCTTCCCGGCATTCTCCACTGCATTCCGCGACGGCAGCTTGTATGGCACAAACCGCTCCACCCGGTGGTCGTTGAAGTCAACATCTAGAATGACGGTTTCCTGTCCGCTGCGGTCTTTCGCCTTCACCAACTGCATCTTGTCCAGATGTTTGATGAACTTCTTGACGTTTTTCCAGCTGGTCTTCTTAATGTTATAAAACTGAGCTTGCTGTACCGAGTATATAGGGAGATAAGGGGTGATGATGTTTGATATCAACGCCGAGGGTGTAATTGGGAGTGACAAGCCATGGTTTGGTGTCGATGGATTGTCATTCTTGAGCTTGTAGAGGGCGTAGATGAAAGAATTTATGAATGCGTCATCGATTTCTGGAGGCCATTAGCTGCGTGCAACTCCATACGATATTCAACATACCTTTCGTTGACGGCTCCCTTTCCTTGACAACGGGCTCTTCTGCTGGGGCCGGCTGTTCATTTGCAGATTCGCCAACGGTGTTTGCAGCGGGAGCCTCCTCTTGGTCCTCGAGCGTGAGTCCCTCAATGCCCTCCTCCACTCCATCAGCTTCTTCATCCCAGCCCTGAAGGTACTCCGGAGCGGGACCACCGGGGCGAGGGGAAGAGCTCCAAGCCCACAGCTCGTCCCCTTCCCAATGCAGCCCACGAACCGCATGGCCCTTGGTGCCCTGCACCTCCCCTAATGCCGAGACATCGATCTCACAAACGCCCACGAATAACGGCACAGTGTGTCGATCCACGCTTGCCACAGCGACCACCGCGCCCTTGACTGCGCGTTGCGGGAACGGCGGCTCGTTGGCCAGACCGGGCGTCATCAAGTCCGCGCCGCCATGCAGCTTTCGCATCACCATTTCCGGAGTATAGAGCAGCGGGATAATGTTGGGGTTATTCCATAATGTGTAGACTGTGGGATACAGGCGCCTGTCCGCGCCAGGGCCGTGTTCTAGCTTGAACCAGAGCACCCGGTCTTCGCCGTCGGAGTGGGCGCCAACATAGACAATGCCCTGGACCTCTTTGAGGTCAGGGCCCGCGGTTGTTGTGAATCGCGCGGTCTGCGAGTTATCAGGGAGGAGGGCATTGCGGATTGAGGAGAGGTTCGATGAGGGGCCCGACGCAGCTGGATCACTTGCGTCGCCGGACGGGTTTGTGGGCACGGAAATGTGGTAGTCGCTGATGATCTGGTCGGCGATCTTCCTCCTGTCTGACGATCGCAAGGGTGCTAGGTTTTTGATCTGATTGTTGCTGTTGTCAGTCTTCCTCGGGTCATGGAGGGGTAGGTGCGGGGAGGGCAAAGAGCTCTGCGCACCGTCGGCTTCTTCTTGAACATGGTCGCGGACGAGTTAGATTAGTCCTGGACTCGTCCTGTTCCGAGAAGAAGTAAAAGGGGAAGTGGGGAGAGAAAGATGGGAGGAATAATAATCGTGGTGGGATGTTGCAGGTGGAAAGATAGAAAAGAGCGGTGGTTGTCTCCACATAGAAGCAGCTAGTACATACAAAGTGGGAAGAATGGTGAGTACAGCCATGACTCCAGCAGTCACAGAAAACTAATCACATCCATCGGCACAGTAGTCGTCGTAGTGGTAGTCATCGTGCTCGGACGCGTCATAATCGGGCTCAGCTTCGTCCTCGTAGTATGACGCCTCGCTGCCTTCCCTGTAGTATCTTTCCCCGGTGTCATCGTCGTGGTCATGTTGGTGCTCATCTTGCTGTGGATCATGCGGTTGTTGATCTCCCGCGCTCTCTTGCGCCGCAGCCGATCGAGATAGCTCTTGTTCAGCATACTCCTGCGCTTCTTTCTCTCAAAGGGCATCCCGGATAGCCTTGGCTTCTTCGCATTCGTCAAGGGTCTCGAGCTTCAGCCCGGAAGCAAGCATGAAGTCCCTCGTGTTGTGGTTCCCAAATGGTGGTTGTCGTGGATGTTGGGATGCATACTGGGTTTCCAGCGGAGGGAAGAACCATTCTACATACACAATCACTATACTATATGACGATCCGACTATTTCCGACTGTAAACTTCGTGATAACCGAAAAGCAAGCTCGTTGAATACATCAAGGCAAGTGCGAACCAGGGCGTCACGCAGCTTCAGGTAGTAGTATATCGTGGTCTCGACAGAAGAAGCGAGACCACGTAAACGAGGCGTTCAGAAGTTGGGGAGTGTCTGCGTTTTGTATGCGCATGCGGCCACAAACCATCGGTTTTGCCCTTTCTGATGACCCTGCTGGTATCTTGCCCTGGGCTGATGAAAAGTACCTCGAGTTTGTGGCCCAGGCTCGCCGTAGTGACCCTGAATGGGACCACCTACTCTTATTCAAGTATATCTCTACTGTTTTAACGTTTGCATAATGCCATCTATGCTTCCATATTATAAGAATACTGGGCTTATCCAGTGCTCCATGAAAGAAGAAAGCAATCAAGGCCCCTCTTGCATAACGTCGTTTCTCTATGATACTCGACCTGGATAGCAACGCTCTGCTCATGAAACTGGAAAGCTTACTTTTTGCAACGGTATTTGAATACCTTCCTATCCCGAAAGGAATTGATTCAGGAGCTCATGTGGTCTTGACAGGGTATGATGAAGAACACTTTGCTGTGCTAGAATGCTCTGGAGTTATCTTGAGGTATTTGCCGTAAATTCTTTTAGGCGTTTGAAAACAACCGATGCTGGCCACCCAGAAAGCAAGATTCAGTTAACTTATCCATCAAAAATAGAAGATTGTTTTGCATAGCAAGAGTGATCCTAGACCTTTTTGATCAATGTGCATGAGCAGTGAGTAGAGGCTGTCTGTTTTACAAGGTAGCCAGCCATTTTCGGGTGCCCGATTTATCCTCACCTAGCGTTCTAGTGTAATTACCATTGCTCTTTAAGTGACTGAGAACAGACGCGAGGCTATAAATGTTAGTGGAATGTCTGAAGTGCCCATCAGACCAAGTGACATTAACAATAGGAGCTACGAATGACACTCATAATGAGCATTCCTTTCCAGTCTCAATACGCCCCCTTTTTTCAATTGCTGTCTGTTATTTGTTGGATTGCTAAATCTGGCCCACAATAATAATCCTTCCAGCTAGTTTCCCCATGTCGCCATTTACTTGCCTCTTCCGGCAGGGTATCTTCTTATCGATTTCCGCCTTCAATTTTTCCTACGCCACCTCCTGAATTGTCAGATCTCAACTTCGATTATTTCTCTTCCGTATGTCTTGCCTACTCGATAGATAGTTCCTTGCCGATGTCTTGCTAGTTATTGGGTAATTTGATTCGCCTGGTCTCTACGTGGAACACAACATCAACTGCTAATACTAATGTGGAAAAAAAAGATTATTTTCAAAGCACGTGAAAATAAATACGCGCTACTGTCAGGGGGATCCGAGCTAGCGATTAATTAGGCTTAAGCTTGCTGTCCGAGCCTATAATATTGGGTGGCTAGGGGTATTTAAAATTAACTAGGCGCTAAGACTAGAAAATAAAAAAATTCTCCACGTGAATCCCGTGCACATCAACGTCTGGCCAACGGTTCTGTTGGCTAGCTAAGCGAGTTCCAGGGACTCGGGCAATGTAGGAGTTACCCGGCCCTGTTGCAATTGGTCCGCCACCGCGCTCGCCCATGGATAGGGGCGGTCAACGTCTAGAAGTGGTCTAGAAAGGCTCCGCCTAGGGCTCCATGATTAGGGTACCCCAGGAACCAATCAATCGACCATGCGATTCATGTAAATAAAATTTTCTACCAGGGGCAAGAGAGCTCTTTTATCACTGCTCTTCACTCAGCTTTGCATTTTGTTTCCTGGAAGCAGCACTGCATACAGATATGTCTTCTTCAACAACTCAGACGGTAGAGCCGGTGGTCTACAAATTGAAGGCTGAAGTCGAGGTATTTCTTTCTCATGTCCCTTCAATGCGACAATTTTTCCAATCATGCTCACACCCCGCAAAGGCGAAAGATGTCACGTACGGGTTCTTGAGATCGAAAATCCCAGCGCATTGCTTTGAGCGTTCCGCGCTCAAAGCATTTGCATACCTGTTCCGCGACATTGTCTATGCATCTGCGCTCGTGTGGCTCGCCCTGAAGATCGATCTTCTGCCGTCACCGACGCTCCGGGCCGGAGCTTGGGTCCTTTATACCTTTCTCCAAGGCTGCGTTGGAACCGGGATGTGGATCATTGGACACGAATGTGGACACGGCGCCTTCTCTAAATTCCCTTTGCTCAATGATGTTGTTGGATGGGCTATTCATTCGGCACTCATGGTCCCCTACTTTTCGTGGAAGATCACCCATGCTCGTCACCATCGGTACCATGCCCACATTGACAAAGATGTGGTCTTTGTTCCTCCGACTGAAGCCGAGGTCGAGAACCAGCAGCCTACCCTCTACACCAAATTTGTGGAGCTGGTTGAAGAGACGCCTCTCTATCATGCTGTCACTTTGCTCGGCCATCAGCTGTTCGGGTGGCAACTATACATGTTGTTCAACGTCAGCGCCGGAAATAAGAGCCTGCCGCCCAAAGGCACCGGCGTTCAGATGTTTCGGAACAGTCACGTTGATCCCTTTGGCTCCTTGTTCAAGAATTCGCAAGCGCATCTAGTGGCGATTACTGACCTGGGCCTTCTGCTCGTGGGAGGTGCGCTTTACTACCTGGCTACACAGATCGGCGCATGGAACGTTGTGCTGCTCTACGTTGTGCCCTATTTCTGGGTCCATCAATGGCTAGGTAAGAATATCTCGTTCAGAATTGACAGTCTTGAAATTCTAACCCTTTTTACAGTCGCCATCACCTACCTGCATCATACTCACCCCACCGTCCCACACTACGACGAGAAGGCCTGGACCTTTGTCAAAGGCGCCCTTTGCACGGTCGATCGACGATTTGGCTTTATCGGACGCCACTTCTTCCACGAAATCATCGACTATCACGTTATCCACCACCTGTTCCCCCGGATTCCTTTCTACCATGCGGAGGAGGCAACGGAGGCAATTGTGCCCTTCCTTGGAGACCAGTATCGTCTCGATCAGGGTTCCTATCTGAAGTCTCTGGTCGACACGTTCGGTACCTGCAAGGTTAAGCATAATGCTGACTCGGAGGGGGCCTTGCATTGGAAACTGGAGCAAAGTGCAAGCAAGAAGCAAAGCTAGGCAACTGTTGGATTTGCCTGGTGCTCTTTTTTTCCAGTGATTTTCTCTTTGTGGATACATAATTAGAGATTTAGAGACCATATAGACAGATAGACGAGGATTAATACCCGATCTCGGACATGCTCCCGAACTTCACGGCGATCCTCCGCCTCACCTCTTCACCTCCTCTTCATCCTCTCTCATGACCACCACATTCAGAATGCCCGTCTATCATATCGGTAAAAACAACTCCCTTGTCCTAGTAATTGCGGTAGATTGACCTCTTGACCAGTCCTCTTCCGCCTCAAACCTGGCGTCACCCCGGCCCAGCTATCGACCTGGTCGCAGACTACCCAGGCGATGGTTGGGAAGATTCCTGGTGAGTGTAACCATAGTTACATCCCAGTAGCCGAAAGCCAAATCAGTCACTAATAGAAAAAAAATTTATAATAGGGCTCACTTCCATCAAGACCGGACAACCGTTGCCCATCTCCGTTCCCCGCGCCAAGGGATTCGATATGGGCCTCGTGGCTATTTTGGAGACGCCGGAGCATGTTGCTACCTACGCCACGCACCCGGCTCATCTCGAGTCAGTTTTCATCCTCCTGTAGACGTGTACCATTACTGATTATTTTTCTGTAGGGTCCATAAGATGCGGGAGGAGCTGTGCGAGGACACATTGGCGTATGATCTGGAGTTCTAATGAATATACACATACTCCTACATAATTATCTTTCAGACACAGAAAGAAGCTTGAACAGTCCAACAGTTCCATTTATGGGAAAAGAAGGAGTAGACCATGAGAAGGGCCACTACATATCCCCCAAAATGGGGGTAGATGAAAGATAAAAAGGGAACAGGATACCCGATCCAGTCAAAGAAGATAAATCAAATCCACCAGTCATCGCTTCCAAGTCTGTAGATCCGCGCTCAAAGTTTTCCCAGATTATAAGCAGACAGATCGCGCGAATGCTTCTTATCAGTGATGAGCCATTTCACCGTCTCGCGCATCATAGTTAAGAATTGTTCGGCGCTCAGCGAGTTGAGGAACGACATCCACTCGTGGTCGGTTTTGGCATTAAGTCCGTTGCCACTGCCAGTGTGGGACTCAGAGCTGGAAACAGAATCTGAGCTAGAGTCCGAGCCGGAGCCATTGGACTCAGAGGAGGAACTCGAGCTGGAACGAGAACTCGAGCTCGATTCAGAGGAGCTTGAGCTCGAGCTGGAACTGGAGCTAGAGCTAGAGCTCGAATCTGAACCAGAGCCAGTTCCTGATTCAGAGCTGGCGCCGGATTCGGACCCAGAGCCAGATTCAGATCCAGGTCCTCCAGAAGTAGGGCCAGCACCTGTAGGGCCATCGCCGCCAGCAGGAGGAGTCGGCTGGTGAGTGGGAGCTCCGCCCTCAGATTGTTCAGGGCCGCCGGGGTTAGGGCCAGCCAGGGAAGGGGATGCAACAGGGGTTCCTGTGGTACGGCTGAAAGAAGGACGCGAAGACGGAACCAGCGGGGTGCTTCGGATAGGAGTGGGACGAATCAAAGGAGTGCTGGTTGACGGTGAAGGAGTGACAGATCCCACTGCTGGGGAGGAGGCTTCTGGTGCCGGGACGGTGGCAGATGCAGCAGGGGTTGAAGTTGCCGTTGCCGTTGCAGGGACGGAGGCTGCCGTAGTAGTAGTCGCACCACCGGCAGATGCAGTATACAGCGCCGGACCGGGGATAACATATGTGCTCAGGGCATTCCAAATGTCGACTAGGATGCCCGGATCGGTGTCCTTGTAGAGTTCAGTGCCCAATGTCCCGCTGGGCGAGTCACTGCCGCCGCCTGTGACCTTAAGGTTCAGACACTGAGGATAGTTCTGGGCGCCGTTCTTGTTCTCTGCCGAGTGCAAGGCAATAATCTCATGGCGCAAAACATAGTTGCCGGACTTGATGCTGCTAGGGATCGTGACGGTGCGGCTGTTGTTATTGGCAATGAGGTTATCCGTAGCCCATGTACCTGGCACGGGGTCGTCGGTGATCATTCCGCCCTGGTCGATCTTGAAGAACTCGAGCTTCGTCTTATCGACTGATGCGCAGTCGCCGTTGCAATTGGCCATGTAGGTAATGACCGGGCCGTGGTGGTCGGATGGCCAGTCGGTCCACTGCAGCTCCACTGTGCCTCCGGCTGTGACCGGGGCTTCCAAAGCACCAGGCTTTGCATTCTTGTGGCAGATGATATTGGGGCCAGAGTACTCAGTGCCGTTGATGAAGCCATCGTCAAGCTCATCCTCGGACCACGCAATGACCTTGGGCGGGTCGTTCTCGTAAGGGTACAGGTCGATGAGATATCCGCCGTAGTATGTGCCATCCACCACAGCACCAGTCACGTATCCATGGCCGGCAACAAGGGCGGCCGAACCGAGGAGGATTCCAGCAAGTTTGGAAGCAGACATTTTCTCAAACGCACAGCGTTGTTCCGGAAAAGAATGACAAAAGGGAGACTTCAGTCAATGAAGTTCACCCTAAGAAGAGAATGGAAGCAGGTACTGGACCTTGAAGATAAAAGGAATGAAACGCAAGAGACTGGTGGTGTTGAGATGCTGTGGCCACTCGACTTGACCTTTATATACCTCTTCTCCTCGGCTATCCCGACTCGGCATATGGCGGCCATTCATGGAGACTGCGATGCATCACCTCCATGGGTGTTTGATATCTGTCGCGATAGGTGGGGTAAGTATACGGAGGTGTGAGATAGATGAGACCAGCCCTATCCCAAACCGCCCGGTGCCTGACTAGAGTTAATTAGGCTCACTTGAATATAGGGCCCGTCGATCTTGGGCGGTTGGCTGCGACATCCAGGGTTTCAGCTCTTTTGGCGCCTGCATGCCAAGCTGCTGCAGCTCCTGTTCCTCCGGGTAAATTCGTCGTCCTGCCATGATTATTGCAATGGTGGATCCAAACAGGTCATATTCTTCCAAATAGTCGCGACGACGGTGTCGGACAATCGGTGGTCTCAAGTGCCGCAATGGGATACGATTAATCCGAAAATAATCATCAATCGGATTATTTGTCCAACGGCCTTCCCAAGTCCGGTCCCTAGACGCATGTCGTACAATCGAACTGCTCTCGCACGATCTCGTCCACCCTGATCCGGCCATGATAGGACCTCTGCGGTGTGACCGCATCGACGAGAGACCAGACCGTCTTTTCCCGTGTGCTGCCTCAGGTGTCGACCAAGGTTTTGGTTCACCGAATCAACTCACCGTGGATTGGATGATGAACCACTGGCCCGGATTTTGATTTCTTTCTCTCCCGAACGGAGTTGACTATCTCTACCTAACTCACTAGGTAACTACTGACTGACCGGATCGTCGCCCACACAGTGTTGACGCCCCCGGGTCCACTTCGCCCAGGCAGGCCCTTTCCGTTCCGTTTCTGCCGACTCACCTCAACACTTCCTTTCTCAACTGTCAGCATCTCTCACCAACCCCCTTCTGCCTGCCATCACGATCGCAGCGTCCCCCCCAAATCACCGGTCATGGTCGCTGGAGGCCGGCTTTACTCCTGACTGCGTGAGCCTCGACCATTCTCCTGTGACCTGCCGACCTCCTGAGCCTCCCCCCCCCGGGTCTTCAACCACACGCGACCGGCCCACTGTCTGCCGTCTTTCGTCCCTCTTCCCTCTCTCCCAAATAACGGATCATTGTGAGTGTGGTTAGTCGCGTCCCACTCTCCCTCGTGGTTCTTGCAACACAAGGCGACACGAAGAATGGGATTGACGGAGGCGCCCTCTTCGCCCGCATTCCCCTCCCTCGACCCGATTATTGTCGACGACGAGATGCAGTCCACCTTCCACGACGCCGACATGGACTTCCTCGACCCGGCCAAATTGGAGATGTCCGCTGGGAACGCCGGGGGAGACTTTGACGACCTCTTCGCGGGAATTCCTAATTCTCACACAAATGGCACCGCGGAGTCATCCAAGGCCTACCAAGATCAAAATCCCTTGAGGAAGCCACCCCTCCTCTCCGCCGATTCACCTGCCGAATCTCCCGAGGATTCCAGCCGGAGCTCGTCGTCAGAATCGCCACGGAACCATCTTCGACAAGCCTCGGTCGCTTCGACCAACTCCGTCGCTCATAGTGACAACCCGCTCGCCTCGAATGGGTTTCCACCGGAGGACTGGATGCACCCGGAACTATCGTCGGTCAAGGAGGAGCCGTTATTCGGTGAGGACTCGTCCTTCCCGGCCGGTTTCTCAGCAGATCTGGAATTTAGCAACAAGGCGATGGACGCGGCCTTTGATTTTGAGAGCGCGGCGAGCAGCCCTAGTCCGTTGAAGATAGAGAATGCGCCACAGCCAAAGGGTCAGAAAAGACCCAAATCACAGGTTTGGAGTCCGAATTCTTCAGCAGCACAGCCATCAGCGGAAGCTGCGGCGGCATCCTCGGTGGGTCACCTCGTCTCTTTGAGTTTCAGCTGGTCTAATTACAATTCTTTCCCTCAGATCCCCACGGCGATGTCTCCCTTTTACCCCTTTGGATACAAGGAACAATCTCCCTTTTCAAACGGAATGCCCAACGATGCCCCGCAATGGGATGGGCAGTCCCCTTCTTCGCTTTTGGAGGAAAGTTTCGGGGGCATTAACATGAATGGCCAAACCTCTCTCAATCCCTCCGTATCTCCCAACATGAATTTTGGTTCGCCTCCGTCATTTCCCTTCCCGGCTACCTTCGCCCCCTTGCCGGCCCAAGTCCCGACGAACGCCTCCAACTCGGTGCAACCCGTCCTCACAGTCCATCCGACATCCCTCAAATCGCGAGTCGAGACCCAGATTCCGATTCGTCTCACTCTTTCCCCATTGCCAGCTGGTGTGAAGAAACTGCGCCTTCCCACGCACACCATATCCAAACTCAAATTCCTTGCTCCCCCCACCGAAACCAGCGCAGACACTCTTCAGTTAACTACCAGCCTTGTGTGTACCAGCGCCATGCAAGACCGCGATAACTTAAAACGGGCATTTGCACGGACAAGAGGCGAACGCCGGCGACCTTCGGCAGAGGAGGATCGAACGGTGGACGGTGGTGACGTGAAGATCTGTCCCGGATGCATACAGCGGGAGCGGAAACGCGCCTCTCGGAAGAAGCAACGGAAACCCGAGGAAGATGAGTTGTTCCAGAAGAACGAAGATAAGAGAGTCATTGTGTTCAACACCAACGAGATCAAGGAGTGGATCGAGCCTTCCAAGAATGCGACTGCTGGCTATGGAGAGATGGCGCCGCCAGGATCGATGCAGGTGGAGCTCCCAATGCGAATTGCGTGCTATTGCCGGCATCAAAATGAGAAGCTTGGATTCCAGGTTATTTTCACTCTCAAAGATCACATGGGAAACGTGGTCGCTCAGGCAATCACCAACTCCATCATGATCACGGACGATCACAAGACACAGGCTCCCGCTGCTCCTCAACCAACGGGCCCTTCACCCTCTTTGCCGGATGGGACACAGGTACCCGGTGTCGGGGTCTTCCCATCAGGACCTCAGTCACCGACTGACCTGCAGGGGCTTCAGCAACGATTCAATTCACAGTATCAGCTCACCCCCAGCTCGTTTGCTCCAGGACAAAGCCCAGGAAACGGCGGATCCTCGAGTTCACAGACTCCACGAAACCTTTCTCGACAGGCATCCCCAACCGAATCCACGGGTCCCCAGAGCAAACGACGCAAGCATAGTAGCTCTGGGAGACTACCATCGGAATTGACTATGACACGGCTTGAGACACCTCAGTCATCGTCATCAGCTGCTGCACAGTTTACTGCGAGTCGTGGATACGCTTCACCTACCGAGCGACCCTTCGTGACACCTTCCTCCATGTCCGGTCAATACGGGAACGGCCCGCCTACTCCGAACCAGAGCAATGACAACAACCCATTCTTTAACCCAACGCCTGCCCAACGACAGAGTTTGGATAGCCTGGCTCAGCAACCAATGGTGTCAGCGCCGAACTCGGCTCACCCCAGCCGTCCTGGAACGCCTGCCAGTTCAGCTCGGAACAGTTTCCAAGACCAGAACCTTGCTCTTGCGCTTGGTGCCAATTCCTCCAACCAGGCCTGGCCGCCTCTCAACAATGCTGCTAACCGGTTACCTTCGGTGATCCACAAACTGGTGCCCGCCGAAGGCTCAATAACCGGTGGGACGGAGGTCACGTTGCTGGGTAGTGGGTTCTATCCTGGCATGGAGGTTGTCTTCGGTGACACTCTCGCCACAACCACCACGTTCTGGGGTGACAAGTGCCTCAACTGCTTAACCCCTCCTGCGCTTCAGCCGGGGTGCGTCGCTGTTGTTTTCAAGCACGAGCATCCGACTTTTGGACAGGTCCAGCAATCTCAACCTCTCATGCCAAAGCAGCAGCTGTTCTTCCGATATGTGGATGATCGTGAACTTCAAATGTATCGTCTCGCACTGAACATCCTCGGGCAGAAGTTGGGCAGCCAAGCAGATGCGTTCCAAACTGCTCAACAAATCATGGGAAGCGATCCCAATGCCTTCTTCAATATGCAGAAGGATATGCAAAACGGCGGCTCTGGTGGAGGCAACCAACGGCAAGTCCCGGGACTGGAATCTCAGGGCAAGCTGAGCGACCTGGACTCCAAGATGCTCACCTATCTCGAGTTTATCGATTTGGATGACAGCCCACGTCCGCCACGGTACAATGCTCGTGGCGCAACTGGCCAGAGTCTCCTTCACTTCGCAGCTTCACTGGGTCTCACCCGTTTCGTTGCCGGGCTCTTGGCCCGAGGTGCCAACCCCGATGTGCAAGACAATACGGGCAACTCGCCAATGCACCTGGCGGCTCTTAATGGCCATGCACACATTGTTCACCGCTTGCGTCTCGCGGGTGCCAATGCCAATTCCCGCAGTATTCGGGGCTTCACTCCTGCGGACCTAGCGACATCTCTGCCAGCCCACCAGGCGGCCTTGCTTCCATCTCGCCATTACCGATCTCGCAGTGTTGGATCCCTCACCTCGCGCCGACGACACAGCAGCTCGGCATCCCTTAACTCTCTCTGGGAATCCACCTCGGCATCCGGCTCTCTTGGCCATGCCGTGGATGATTCAGAGGAGCTGGATGACGATACCGATGAAGTCAGCGACGACTCCGAGCCCAACGGGCTTTACTTCAGCGCATCACGGCGCTCGAGCATGCATCATCCGGAGGTTATGCCACCTATTGTGGGTGCCAATGAACAGCCTGCGGTTCCGGGAGACGCTCGTGGTTTCTCTCCACCAGCGGCTCTTATCGCATGGCGTAACCAGCTGGCTGGCCAGATCAATCACTTCCAGCAGAGCGTGTCCAACGCTTTCCCCAATCTTCCTAACCTGCCTGCGCTGCCACCAATGCCCGCCATGCCCGCCATGCCGGATTATCAGGCAAACCAGATGATGCGCCGCATCACCAATCTTGTTCCTCACCGGCCTGCCGCCCGGGATGGCTGGTGGGATTATCTAAAGGGCAACACCTCGCCGAGCGGTACCCTGCCACCGTCTTACGATGAGCTGTATCCCCACCAGGAGGACAAGGAGGATGAGGCGGTCGAGATGAAGAAGTCTACTCTTCTACGCGCGGCCACTGAGGCCGCATTGGATCAGCACTTTGAATCTCAAAGCAGTGCCGCGGGAGCTTCCGCATCGACAGCCATCGCCACACAGGTCCGAGCAGAGATGGATGATCTCAAGGACATCACTATCGGACGGAAGGTAATTTCACGCGAGCAGCAGAAGCATCTCCGCGCACAACAGGCCCGCCGAATGAAGGGCCTGGCTAGCGACCGGAATCTGTACTTCATTTGGGTATGTGACCATTCTTCTAACCAGAAATTCTACTTCGATAACTAACCAATTCATATTAGATTCCACTATTGCTTCTGGTTCTTTGTGCTTGGGGTCGGAACTATCTACCTGGGATCTGGCAAGGCGTCTCGGACGGCTTCGGGTTCGTGATGACTCGGTACACACAGCGGGCTGTGGGCGTTGGCATTTAGATTATCTTTCTAATTCTTTCTTTCTTTCGCTTCTTCCTGGTCACCTACCCGCGGCGTTCTGGCTGAGCGACTTGAGTTTCACTGACAACTTAATTGTTTGTTGTTTCTTTTCCTGTTATGTGGTACGACTGTACATGGAGGACTATATTACTGCGATTATCTTGTACGGATTTAGGACGAATGAAGACATTCCAACAGTAATTCCCTCGTAGTGATTGACTATAGATGCTATGCATAGTCCGAGTCTGTGCCAAGATGCGGCCTGTGCGGTCATCAACACTCGCCCAACTCCAACATCGCATCCCCCACGGAACTGAACACACCAAACAATCTTTTCCCTCCCGCCAGTCTGTGGAGCGGCATGCCCTGAAGACAATTAATTGTCCCTCTCCCGAATCGCCCCCGGGAGAAATCATGGACCCTTCCAAGGCTGCGTCTAGCAATGTGACCGGTACGCACCCCCATGCCGCAAACTCCCATCCGTGTAGCACACCGGACTGGAGAAGCTGACTGCCATGACACTCACAACCCAACAGTCGAGTACACGGACCCATCCGGGCTCTTCCCACTCGTCCAGCCCGTCATCGAAGCAAAGCTCCCTCTGAAGAACCTCCACTGGAAATCCCCCACCCGCCCGGTCCGCTCGATCGAGTCCCTACGAATTGGATTCGTGCCCGCGCAGTCCGAAGCCAGCGAGCGCAAATCCTCCAGCGATGCCGCCCGCGCCCGTGCCAGTACCAGTGCCCCTCCCCATCGGCGGCATCAAATCCCCGGCCTAAGGCAGACGCCCTACCTGAAAGTTTACTTGCTGCGGTGCGACGATAACGAGTCATACAAGGCAACTGCGCGGCGGGCGCTTCGTGAATGGATCAAAACATATGCTTCTTCGTCGAGCAGCTCGCAGTCGACTGCGACCAGCCAGGAAAAACATGATGCTTGCGAATGGTTAATTCTGCACGTCGTGCCGGACAGTGAGCCCGTGGACAAGACGCCCGCCCAAACAAGCAAATGGGGCCGTGGCACCACCACCGTTCTGGAGAAGATCAAGGCCGACTTCAATGGCTCGTCCAAGTCGGCTGTCGACCGGGTCGCGCAGCTAAGGCTTCCCAAGGAGGGGACCGCCAAGCCGCATGAATTGGCGGAGCAGCTGGAGGACTTGATTGACAAGATGAAGAATGGCATTCTTGCTTCTTTTGACCTGCGAGTTGCGCAGTATGAAGAGGATATCAAGGAGAAGGACTCCCAGCGCAGTCTGCCCGGTTGGAACTTCTGTACGTTCTTCATACTCAAGGAAGGCCTTGCCAGGGGCTTTGAGAACGTGGGTCTCTTTGAAGATGCTCTAGCTGGATACGACGAGCTGGCTGTCGGTCTCGATTCGGCTGTTCGAGACCAGCTGCAGGGAAGTGGCGATCAGCACGGAGGCGCACTCTTAACGTCGAGCAAGAGCTGGACTGAGAATGCCAAAAAGGCCTTGGATGCGGGCGTGCCCCCAGAAAATGGGGATGCAGACGAGAAACCTTCGTTCCCTGAGCTCCAGCCTGAAGACTTCCCGCTCGATGCGGGCAAACTGCTGTACCGGGAAATGATCCTGGCGAGCGACATCTCCATATTTGACTTCCGCACCTATATCTTCTCTCGGCAGCTCACTCTACTCCTCCGAGCGGCCCGAGCTCCTTCTCTGGGTAGCAGTTCTGGAGATAAGAATCCAACCAAACGCGACAAACCTGAAGACCTCAGAGTGCTCGCCGAGGTCTGTGGGAGGTCTACCGAGTTTATCAGTCTCGCTGCGCGAACGCTCCGGAGTGACCTCGAGTGCGGGCTTGCAGACATTACGAACGATGCGAAAACGGACATCATCAACAATATGGTGTCTGGCTGGGCCTATTCGGCAGCTTTCCAGATTCTGAACCAAACCTCCTCCTCGGCATTGGCCCTTCCCGACTCTTCGACTGCCCTTGCACAGCCTAGTGATGGACCAAGCTCCCCCGCTACCATGGCAGATAACCGTCCTGGTGTCCCCCGTCGGTCCAGTTCATTGATTTCTCCGACTGGTTCCCAACCCAGCCGTCCAGTGACCCAGGATATGTCTTCTGAAAGTATTGGCCTGCTGCAACGGCGCCAGACCATGGATCATCTGAAGACAGCCTCAACTACACAGAAAACTGGGTCTGAAGATTTAGCCTCTGGAAGAGGAGACCTGCTCTTGCTGGCACGCCGATCCCTAGAGGACATGGCTCGACGAAGAGGCTGGGCTGAGAAATGGAACGATCTCGGCCTTCTCTTCGATGATCGTCATCGTACGGGAGCAAATGACCTCGCTGATGTCTCGCTGGATGACAATGATGCCCCACAGCAGCAAGAAAAGCCAGAGGCAAAGCAGGCCTCGCTCATTGGTGTTGAACTACCTGCTCTACAGCTCGGTCTGAAATCGAAGACGGCATATCTGGCACTCTACGAAAATCTGACTGATCGCATGATTCGCCATCATCTGGCGGCGAATCGCGCCTATTCCGCTGAGATGACTCTTTCCGAGATTGCGGTTCTGCGGTTCCGACAGCAAGACTATGAAACCGCCGCCTCGTATTTCCAGCAGATAGCACCGTTTTACGGTAGCAAGCACTGGGTTGTTCTCGAGGGCAGCATGCTGGAGCTGCATACACGCTGTCTCAAGGAGCTCAAGCGGAATGAGGAGTATGTCCGAACGATGCTGCGGCTATTGGCCAATTTCGCCGCGTATCTACAAGCACAATTGACAGTTAAGCAAAAGGCTTTGGCTGCGTCGGCATCGTTTATGGAGCAAGAATTACTAGCTGGGTATGTTTCCGGTCTGTTTGATGCCTCGCAATCTCTCCAGAAGGAAGTCTCAGCGTCCTTGACGGACTTCTTTACCGACCTTCATGTCAACCCGGCGATCCGGCTTTTCGATGATAAGGATGGGTTCCAGATTCAGCTCTCATTACGGTTCCTGCTGGGCCAGCAAGTCGATATCGACTCCATCAAGGTCCGCCTGGTCAGTGCCGGCACCGCTCAACATGCGGAACATTGGATTGAAAGCTCGAACAAGTCTGTTGTCAAGTCGACGACGACGAAAATTTTGATTGACTCTCTAGTAAGTAGTCCTTCCTCCCTTGCAGGTCAATTTTCTAATGTGTTCGTTCCCAGACAACCCTCCATGGAAAATACTTTGTTGATCGAATGGAGATGAGGGCTGGTAACATCGTCTTCAACTTCAACTGCGGGCATCATTCGACACTTCCTATTGGCTTCAGAGAAGTAAGTGAAGCGGAGGAGGAAGATCAACGACCGTACATATATTGCTACTCTTCCCCGGATGGTCTGCAGGCCAGGGTTGTGTCTCCACGTTTGATTAATCTGGAAACGATGCGGACGCTGGAGCTGGAACTCAACAGTGGCCGGAATGACATCAAGACAGGTACTATCCGTGTACGGCCAGCAACCGCCGGCCTACGACTGCGGATTGCAGAGGCTGAGGTCGTCGATGGCAATCTCGAAGTGGTGGCCAACCACGAGTCCGGGGTGATCGAGTTTGCGCGGTTAGCGCAACACTCGTTCGTGCGTGTTCGCATCCCCTACACCGTGGAAGAAGCATTCTCCGCCCTATCTGCACGAGCAGAGATCGGGTACGAAACGGATCAGGGCCGCTTTGCATTCTCGTCCGTGCACAGTGTGGTGGCCACCTTGCCCATATCGGTCAACGTGCAGGACATCTTCAAGGATGAACTGCTGTTCTCCCGATTCACCGTCAGTCCCGCGATGCTGATCCCGCTTCGCATCACGAACTGCAGTCTACCCGGCTCGCACGCCTATGACGTGCAGTCCGGCGTCGCCGGGCCCGTCGCCCTGGACGTCTTCCCCAAGCAGCCCGCGTCGCTGCTCTACAAGATTCAGCCCAAGCAGCCTTCAAACACGTCAGCTGGTGTCCCACGCTCGTTGAAACTGAGCGTGGATTTTACCTGCATCGATGACGAATGCCTCGATGCAGTCGAGAAGCGGTTTGCGGCCGCCATTGGCGATAGCCCGTTCCGCCAATACACGACCCTGCTCACGTCGCACATTGTCAGTAGCTTCCGCGCGCAGCTCTCCACCGCAGACATGGAGGCCATTGCTCTTGTGCGCGAGGTAGAGATGCTCCCGTATCAGGTCGTCCGGTGGGATGAGCTGTTGAGTGCACTCAAGGAGCATGCCGAGGACATGCGACAGTGGCTCCAGGCGTGGCACCAGGTATGTTTCTTCTTTATTCCTCGTTGCTTCCAGCCGCTGATCGATGAACCAGCATCCGGATAACTCGATCATTCACCTACCCCCCACCCCCAACATCCCCTCCCGCCGCATCATCATCCCAGTCGAAGTACCCGAGATCCAAGTCGTGCATACAGCCGAGCTCCGCCTACCCGAAACCGACGTCTCAGGCCCAGGCGCCCACGCCGCCGTCGGCCAGATGATCTCCGCCGAACTATGTCTACGATACACGAGGCGGTGGTGCTCCCCCGCCGCACAAGAGCACGCCGGCCAGCCGCTGGAGTGTTCGTACGAGCTACACGCCAATCCGGATCTCTGGCTCCTCGGTGGTCGCCGGCGTGCCAACTTCCTCGCTCGCGACGGCGAAACCACCCGGTTCCCTGTTCTGCTACTGCCCCAGAAGCCGGGCCATTTGCTGCTGCCCGGTCTAGAGATCCGCACCTTTGTCCCATCGTCGACGACGCAGCCACCCGCGACCTCCGATCTGGGCGCGCCACAGCAGCGCCATCCAATCCCCTGTGAGGTCGACTACCGCAACCACGGCGAGACCGTGCTCGTGCTCCCGGATCTGCGGAAGACGACTGTCAGTCTGAGTGCGCATGGTGGCGGGGCGTCGTGGTTGGTTGATTCGGAGCGACGGGCTGAGGTGCATTGATCACTACGGTAATAGTCATAGTATATCGAGTGTCTAGAGCGACGAATAATAATGATCGAAGGCAATGGGATAGTCCTCGCCCTCGCTCAGTTGTATATATTTTGATCGTCCAATCCGTACTCTCTCGTTAGAGCATGCGCCTTCCTCACAACAAATAATAGTAGTTAGTCTCCCTCCCCACTAGTCTAACTAGTCCCCGATCAATGAATCCCACTACCGCTGCCCAGTAAAATACCAGTTTGCAAATTCTCGGGTGGGGCGTGATTGGCGAGGGGCGTCTCAACAAAATCGGCTCGGCCCAACAGTTAAATTGTATAGTTCCCGCCAGCGACCAAAACAGCAAGGAATTCTGGTGTGGCAATAATGTTTCTCTGGCTGCTATCGTAGTCAACCAATCCAACTGCCACATGTTAGTATTATCCACTGTGATAGTAGTCTGCTCTATCCGCCACCGATCGTCTAGGTTCGTCACGAACTAAACTACTGTACTACGCCCGGGCTCCATTTTCCACCACGGCCCAATCCCCGCGAGGCAGAACCGGCAGCAGACACGAAAATGGACCGCCGAAGATAAGGCGATCACACCAGACGGGCACTGACCCACTCCCGCGGCATGTGAAAGGGAGCTAGCTTCCCCATATCGTGTCAATGGCGGGCTCCATATGAAACCTCGGAAGGTTGTTGAGCGCGATAGAAGGCGGTCAGGAGTGTGTCTGGCGCTCTTCTTGTGTGTGCTGTTGCGTAGGACCGATGGAGGGTGTTCGGTCGTAACATGTTTAGCTGTCCTATCCCCATTGACACCTCGGTTAGACAGATAGTGCAGTAGTAGTGGCGGCGCTGAGCCAGAGGCGACCAGTTCATGCAGAAATGCTGGTTGTTGTATTTTGCAGTGGGGTATCACCGAGTGGCGCCATACTCAACTAGGGCCTGTGTATGCAAAATACGTACCCGGTAATAATTTTTGGCTCCCGCGGTCCCTGACTTATTTTTTTTTTGGGTTTTGATTTCCCTTTTTCGCCGTCGTCCCTTTTTCCTTCTTCTTCTTCCTTCTCTCCTGTGATCGTCCCTGCTATTCGATTCTGTTCGCAATTGTTCCGTCGCCTGGGTCTCGGGGTCGTCAACGGACTGGACTGGGTTTATCAACACCTTTATTATTCCCCCCACCCACACCATTCCTCTCACCCACCGCTTCTTGACTCGTTCGAGGGATCCCTGGCTTTGTGTAACCGCAGCGGCTGCTTTCACTGGTGAGTCGAATCTGCATGGCAGCGTGGCCTTGCCACGAAAAGGACATTGGACTGACGACCCATAGAACCCTACCTTCATTAAAAGCAGAGAACAAAAAGCACCTGGATCCGCCATCCATACCTCTTCCCCTATATACAATGTCGTCCACCGCTGTTCCCAAGCGCATGGCGCTCCGTCGCAACCAGGCCACGGACAGCTCTGTCCCCAGCTCGGTGTCGCCTTCGCCCTTTGATAGCCCGCGCCAGTCGCCCTCGTCGACCTCGCTGTCCTCGATGGCCTCGGACCAGCAGCAGGAGAGCAAGATGCTCGACACGTACGGCAACGAGTTCAAGCTGCCCGACTTCACCATCAAGCAGATCCGCGATGCCATTCCCGCCCACTGCTTCCACCGCTCCGCGGTCACCAGTCTGTACTATGTCTTCCGCGACATGACCATCCTGGCCTCGGTGTTTTACCTCTTCCACAACTATGTCACCCCGGAGACGGTTCCCTTCATGCCCGCTCGCGTGGCCCTGTGGACTCTGTACACCATTGTGCAGGGTCTGGTCGGCACCGGCGTGTGGGTGCTGGCCCACGAGTGCGGCCACCAGGCCTTCTCGCCGTCCAAGGTGCTCAACGACACCGTCGGGTGGATCTGCCACTCGCTTCTGCTGGTGCCGTACTTCTCGTGGAAGATCTCTCACGGCAAGCACCACAAGGCCACCGGTAACGTGGCGCGCGACATGGTGTTCGTGCCCAAGACTCGTTCCGAGTATGCTTCTCGCGTCGGCCGCACCCTCCACGAGGTCGGCGAGCTGATGGAGGACACCCCGATCCTGACCGCGACGAACCTGCTGCTCCAGCAGTTGTTCGGCTGGCCCATGTACCTGATCACCAACGTCACCGGCCACAACAACCACGAGCGCCAGATCGAGGGCCGCGGTAAGGGCAAGGCCAACGGATGGGGCGGTGGTGTCAACCACTTCAACCCGTCCAGCCCGCTGTACGAGGCCAAGGACGCCAAGCTCATCGCCCTGAGCGACCTGGGTCTCCTCATCACGGGTTCGATCCTGTACTATATCGGGTCGACCTATGGCTGGCTCAACCTGGCCGTGTGGTACGGCATCCCGTATCTGTGGGTGAACCACTGGCTGGTGGCCATCACCTTCCTGCAGCACACCGACCCCACGCTGCCACACTACCAGCCCGAGGTGTGGAACTTTGCCCGCGGCGCCGCTGCCACGATCGACCGCGACTTTGGCTTCGTCGGCCGCCATATCTTCCACGGCATCATTGAGACCCACGTGCTGCACCACTATGTCAGCAACATCCCCTTCTATAACGCCGACGAGGCCAGCGAGGCCATCAAGGGCGTGATGGGTAGCCACTACCGCACCGAGGCCCAGAGCGGCTGGACCGGTTTCTTCAAGGCCCTCTGGACCTCCGCTCGCGCCTGCCAGTTCGTCGAGCCCACCGAGGGCGCCACCGGCGAGAGCCAGGGCGTGCTCTTCTTCCGCAACCAGAACGGCATCGGTATCCCGCCCAGTAAGGTGCCTCAATAGATGAAGACATGCGCATTTGTTTTTGATGATGTTGTTGTTGTTCTTGTGTCTCATGATAGGCGAGCTCTGAGAATCTTTGGCACGACATAGAAAAGAAAAGACGGCTGCTGCTTCTTCCCTCATGGTGTGCTCTCGCTGGTTCGATATGATCACCCCCTTTCACTCCTCGCCACGCATTAGACCGTGCTTGTTTGTTTTTCATTGTGTTTGTCTCATGTGGAGATGATGAGTCGGGGTCGATGTTGGTGTTGATGTCGATCTCGAGTGAGGTGTATAGGGTCAGGAGGGGAAAGGAGGAAAGAAGAAAGACCCTGTTGGTGGCTGGGGTTAGGTTTGTCGATATATAGAGCTCGTTCCTGTCTCTGGTTACATTATTGTGTTTAATATGATGGAGAGCACTGTCGATTTTTTCTGTGTCAAAATTTTTCGGGTTTCTCGTCTTGAGCGAAAGTGGTGCCGTACCTTCTGTTGCTCTGCGTAGAGGGTAGCAGTGTATCCAGACTGGTTGTGCTTTGTCCGTCGAGGCCATGAGCCGAGACTAAGCATGCTTGTTCTTTCTCTTCACTTCCATTCTCGGATGTGGTAGTCGGAATAGGAGAAGGTAGTAGGCAGCAGTATTCCTCTAGATAGACAAGGCTCTTGTCATGTCACGGTTAGTGTTGCTGCTGTCTGTTAGTGGATATCATATCTGCCTCCAGAGCGGACAAGATTAAGATCAAGCAAGACAAGGCATTTTACAAAGACCAACAGATCAATAATCATGGTGATGATAATGATGATGACACGAGTGACGAGGACAAGGATGCCGGCAAGAAACAGAACCAAGAAACAAGCCGTTGGACTCGGATCCCTGTCGTTGCGGGGTCGGTTGGAAAGGAAACAAGGTACAGTTCCGACAGCAGCCGATGGCTTGCTTGGCCCGTTATTATCGGGGGGTTGTGGTTTGTTATTTATGTACAAGGAATGGTTATGTAGATTCTGTTGGTATAGTCTGTATCTTGTTTTATTGTTATGTTAAGGCAGGATCTGTTGTTTATTGGAGTTCGTTAGGGTCGTTCATCTATAACCTGTACGTTCATCCATACAGATGATTTATCTCCAGCTGGTGAGGGCAGCACTAGATACTTCGTAGCCCACCCTTCCAGATCTCAAAGTCGACTTCGCCGCGCCTCCTCCCATTCATGCCCGTACTCCCCGCCGTCCACGGCGCGAAGACGAGTTTCATACTTCGTCTAGTGATCCGCTGTGGCGTCTCCGGGCGCTGGAATTCCGGCGCCGGTCTTGAGGTCAAGTCCTGCACCGGCTTCGTACCCTCTTGACCAGTCCCTTGTTCAGACTCTTCCCCGGCCTTTTGGTCTGAAGGCTTCAGCCTTTTCTGTTCCTGGCTCTGGACTGCTGGATCACCCATCACCACCGCCCGGGCCTCATCTTCTTTCTTTAGCGCAATGCGACATGCAATCTGCGTGGACCAAAAGAATCCCAGTGCCGGAGTCTTGAGGGACCCCGTCTCTGGCGGCACACCATCTCCCCAGCCCGTGAAGAAGCGTTCCTGGTGCAGCAGACTCAGGAGCGCGTTGCGGGCCGGGTTACCGATGAGATAGGAACCGTCGAAGTGGTCGTCTTCTTGTGCGGGGAATGGTGAGGATGAGATTGCGGCGGGTGATGATGAGGGAAAGCTGGCCTGCTGGTCTGTCTCTGTCCGAGACCGCGGGTGAGGAGAATTGGCGCCGGACTCGCGTCCTCCCCCTCCTCCTGCTCCTGCGACTGCGGTATTCTGGCTAGGTGCCCACGGAAACCCAGCCTGAGCCATCCCATTATATCCGTCAACAGGATCAAAGCGATCCGAGACCTGATTCGCCAATACAACAGCGATATCATGCTTAACCGCCAGGTTGCGCAGCAGCTGGCCCAGCTTCGCGAGCTCGCTTGATCTTGCCGAGAGAGCCAGCATGCTATTGGAGGAGTGCTCGGCGCGGTAATTCGAAGTAATCGAGTCAATCACAATGAGACCGACATTATACCGGGCAATAGCGACGGGGAGCTGGTAGCTGAGGATATGGTCCTGCGTCTCGAGGTCCATGGCATTGATAGCCAGGATATTTTCTAGTGATGGTTTCTGGTCATCGGGCAGAGATGAGAGGTAGGGGTGGCATTCTTGGAGCTGGGAGAGCCGCGGCGTGGAGAGCGGGTGTTCGGTTGAGATGTACACGGCTCGACGATCGAGACCACCCTTCGATTTTGGTAGCTGCACAGAGAGCAGGATACTGAGCAGGAATTGGGTCTTGCCGCTCCCGCTCTCGCCGGTTATCTCGGTCACGTATCCGGTTGGAATGCCTCCTCCGAGCAGCGCGTCCAGCGCCGGGTCGAGTGTGCTAACGGTGTTCCATCGCGTCACGTCGAGGGTTGTTGTCCCCGAGCCGAGGGTGCGGTTCGGGGTGGACGGAGTTGTGGTGGTGGTGGTGGCGGCGGTGCTGGAGGGGGGTTCGGTGTCTGCTGTTGTTGTACTGTTCTCGAAGCCTAGGTCCGCGTGGAGGGCGTCGACGATGCGCGCGGCCAGCCGCCGCACGTCGGCGGGGGGCACATGGGCGCGCTTGGCGATCTCGAGGGTGTCGAGAGTGATGAGGTCGACGGTGGTGATCTTGCCGCGCTCGAGAGGGGGGAGGATGTGCGCGTAGGGTTTCGTTGCGAAGTCGGGTAGGACAGACAGAAGATCCATAAGAAGGGACAAGTCGGGCGCGATGGATGTCTTGAGGTTAATGGGCTGAGTGACCAATCAGAGGATGAGGAATGAGATAATTTTGTCGTACTATGTGTGTACGTATGTGCATTGGACTTTTGGAGTTAATGTAGTAAGGTCTCTTGTCATTTCTGCTCTCCGAAGTTAAATAGTCGGATGCTGATGGTGTGAATAATGTTGTTGATGCGATGTATATATATCTTGACTAAGCAGATTCATCCGACATGGCCAACAACGGCGAAAAGATTGGCTATCTGAAAGAGAATAAAACACTCGAATAATCACGATACATAGCATATAGAAAATAACCCTAAGAATCGTGATCCCTAGCAAGCTTAGATGGACTCTTGGAGAGGTGGGTGCCCGAGGTGTTCAGCCCTTCCCCTTTGGGAGATCCCTTCGTCCATACCACAACACACTCGCTCCTTTCCTTAGCTCGGAGAATCAAGAAACACGACCAACAATGCAACAATAGTACAGGTCCCTCCTACCCACCGCCATGATATCAATGAGGATCATCAAGAGGAGCGGTCCCTGATTTTCTCTCCCCGCACCGGCCGCGCGAAATGATGTACAGCAGATCTCGTTCAAGATGGCGAGTTCAAACCGGGCGGTCATCGCAGGGCCTGGACAGGTATGAGTTGTCTGGACTGAACTCGCCGAGACACGGGTCGGGTGGTTCTCCTACGTACGGATGGGCCCTGCCAAGCTTGTTCCTTCATTTCATATTTCCTTCATTTCATCTACTGGAAGTCTGCACCGCAGATCCCGGATAAACAGTATGATTTCCCATCGCTCACGGGCAGGGCTGTTACCAGATACCGCAGGGGGCGACAATGGTTCGGGCTGTATTCATCGCCAACATTCGTATGCACATCCTGCACTCGTCCCTGCTACTGCGGGTTGGGACGATCGCAACCACAACGGTTTCCCCATTGGGTAGTTACCCTCATCGTGTGGCGCTTGCGATCTGAGCGCCATCCATGGCCCTGGATGCCTGGTCGCCGCGCCAGTCCTCTTCACCTCTTCTCGGTGGATGCATGTACATATAATATGAAGCTAATTCTATCGTCGGTTGGTCCGTCGATGTCACCATCGTATTGACCGTTGGTTTCAGCTTCATGGCGAGTCGTCATCAGCTCCCACGTGGTGAATGAACAGTCAGAGGAGTCCCCGGCTCGCTTGCATCATGACAGATTCGTAATGGGGGCGGTATGCAGAAGAGGACTAGTTTTTCTCTTGTGGTACATTTGGCGTTTGAGCGCAGGGTAAGCGACTCACCTGATTGATTTCACCATGGTGAGCGGGGAGTTAAGCGGGACGGAGCAAGCTCGCTATCTCCGGTGCTCGGACTGGTCCGGACAGGGGGGAGCCATGGGTGGATAGATGGGGCTGGCGGGCCAGCCACTCGGTGCGGACCGTCGACGGTGGGGAGGAAGAGGAAGAATGGTTCGAAGTAGGAGAGGAAGAATCATGCCCAACTTCATTCATGGCCGATCGATATTTTAGTCCGGATCCACTGCTGCGCCCTTGACCGAGTCGTGAGGTCGGGCGTGTCCGATTGGATTTTCAATAGTCAAGGCAAACTAGTAGCCGCGGTCGATGATGACGGCATGGCGGTCGGCATAGTTGGTGCACGGGACGACTAATGCCATCGGAATCGTCATGAGCCAGTTGGGAAGCAACCAGAGAAGGAGAACGAATTGAATGCCCGAGAGGGAGCGCAGTCTGCAACACCGTTGCCCAACCCGACAGGTCGACTCCACGGCCTACGGAACGACTAGCTGGCCACGACTGATAATCTGCCCTGTATCTGCACACATCCTTCGCCAACCCGTGGAGCCTGGTGGATCATCGAGATCGACGAGTCCAATGTCCCAAGACCAGAGGACAGGAACTGGGTGAAGAGACGATGAGGCCCCCGTTAGAGGGAGACCAGCCGAAGGAGCCCTAGCGAACGGGGCTAAACCCAACGCAGCGAGGCCTAGGAGCTTGATGATCGCCGGACCGATTGGCGGTACGAGTGGGTATGGATGGGTATGGATGGGGATGGGTCAGATAGGTATGGAGAGAGAGGTTTTCGAGCTCCCATCGAGGGGACTCGTTGGGCCTGGGGAAGTTGGGGAGATGGAGTCTGATGAGGGTTGACCGTAGAGAAAAGAAGGAAGCGACCATGAACCACAATACGGCTGTACCTCACCGATACTTCGCTCTCACTGCATCGGCCCATAACAGCCCCCCGTACTCACTCGGTCACGGCTGAGTCGTGCCTAAAATACCCTTAGTGTCACCACCCCCCTCCCCCATCGTCGTGTTCCTCCCTCTCACACATTCTTCCTTCTTCCTTCTCTTCCTTTTTCATCCTCTTCCCCTTCACCCACCATCTTGGGGCCCTTGTATTTCCCCATCCTTATTTTCGGTGTTCCTGGGAATTGGCGCCACTGTTCGATCGGGTCGCCTCTCCCTTGTCTCGGATCCGCATTTCCATGTTCCAGCCCCCGGGGTTCCCTTCGATTGAGACCGCCTGCGATTGTGCTTAGGGTAGCCGCCGACGACGACGGTGCACAACACATTGGAGAAAGGAAAGGGAGGATACAAAAAATCGTCGATTTCACGAAAATCACTCGGTCGGACGTGATTGGGACATTGCGTGGTCGCCAAACAACCAGCACCCATCGACCGCCCATACCCATACTGATCCCGAAGAAACTGCCCCGTCGCCCAAGATGACGACCAGACCTTCCATGCTGCCGCCGCATAATGAGACAGAACACTCTGTCAGCCGCATTACGCGGGAGGGCAAACAGCTCACATACAAGTTGAGTGTGATGCAACAGCCCGAACGGGCGCGAGCATGTGGTGCCGGTGCCAAGTGTAAGCCTTTCCCATCATCTGTCGTCCTCGGCCTTGCTCACTGACAATGAAAAAAATAGCATCGGCTGATCGCCGACCGGTTGACCCGCCGCCGGTGGTGGAATTGCGGATTTTTGAATCGGAGCCGGGGAACGACGCGCAAAAGACCGACATTACCTTCGCCTACAACGCCAACTTCTTTCTATATGCAACGTTGGACTCTGCACGCCCTATCGCCCACGGTCGGCTGGCTGGACCGCCCTCGTGCCCGGTATTGACAGGTGTGCCCGTCGCCGGGGTTGCCTATTTGGACCGTCCGACCCAAGCGGGCTACTTTATCTTCCCAGATCTGTCGGTGCGACACGAGGGTCGGTACCGCCTGAACTTCCATCTCTACGAGGAGATCAAAGATGCCAAGGATGCGGATAAGGACTCGACCATGCCCATCCCCAGCCAGGTTCCCCGTGCGACTACGAACAGACCGGGATCGCCACAAGCGTTCCTGCATTTCCGCCTGGAGGTCAAGTCGGTGCCATTCACCGTCTACAGCGCCAAGAAGTTCCCTGGCCTGGCGACAAGCACCTCGCTCAGCCGTATCATCGCCGAACAGGGCTGCCGTGTCCGTATCCGCCGCGACGTTCGCATGAGACGCCGGGGCGACAAGCGCGAGGAAGATTACGACTTCGACGGGGATCGCTCCTCGGTGTATCGCCAGTCCGATCGGTACACCACCCCAGACCGCTATATCGCTGCTTCAATAGAGCGCCCGCGGTCAAACAGCAACCACAGCTCGATACAATCCCCCTACGGATTCCAGCCAGACCCGAACCGACGAACATCGGTATCGGACTATGGGTTCCCGGTTCCTCAGCCGTACGAACGACCGATGCCCCCTGCCCCTGTGCCTATGGCGCCTTCGCAGACACCCGGCTTCCAGTCTCATTTGTCGTTTGGCTCAACGCCCATGTCCTACCCGGCCCCTCAAATGCCTCCCACGCCGCCACCAATTGCAGCATCATCAGCCAGCATGTACTCACCGCAATCGAGCTTCTCACACCTGCGACAACCATCCACCACGTCAGAATATGAGTCAACGCCGGCTGGATACCCCATGGCAAATCCGATGGTGCAACAACAAATGTCATATCCCAAGAATATGCAGATGGGCATGCAGGCACCCATGCAACCATACCCGGTGGAAGCACCCAAAGCTCAACAACCATACATGGAGATGCGTTCTACGGACCCGATGCAATATCAACCCATGCCTCAAAATATGATTCCCCAGGCCCACACACCGCAAGTGGCTCACTCTCTGCCGCCACTGAAGGCACTGTCTAGCGAATATGTCAACCAGCCAATGCAATCGGTCGAGTCACCGAGCTCAGGATACGATGCCATGTCTGGCAGGCGCGTGTACTACCAGACCGGACCGGGCTCGGCTAAGCGGACCCACGAGGATTCGTTTGGTCTGGATGAGCGCCCGATGACCAACGGCATGCGTCCAGACATGGACACCTACTCCACCACCTCCCGCAGGCTCGAAGCCCAACGAGCGGCTCTGATCGCGGAACTTGGAGACGAGATGGCCTACAAGCGTGCCAACGGAAGGACGGTGATGAAAGTCCCGCCTTCCGTCATATAAAATACGAGGTGCTTATAAACGTTATCTTGGGAGCTTGGCCTCAAGAGATCACGATTCTTTTCTTGCCGATATTGCTCTGACCGTTGGACTCGGAAAGGCAGATTCCACCCACCCCGCTGGACAAAGGGTCCGGATGCCTCTTGTTTGCTGTACATGACCCTTTTGTTTCTTCTTGCACTACGCTCTCCATTCCCTCTTTTATCGCCCACCGCGCTTAGACCTCTCGATGCATTGTGCAGTCACGTCCACCCAGGAGCCATTTTCTTGCCTCTGTCCTTCTCTCTTTCCATTTTGTCTGTGTTTGATTACTCGTTGTTCTGTCTGGGTTTCACCTTGGGGTTCTCTGCGTGTTCATTGCTCTCTCTATTTATATTCTCCGGGCTTGATGATACTGTCGTTTACGCACTGTTCCGGGGCTTCTCACCTTTCTTTTCTTTTCTGCCTCCTTCGCCGCGAACTCGGCGTGGGTTGGATTTTCCTAATGGATGCTCAAAAAGGGACATGGCAAGAAATCTTGTTCTTTCTTCGTTTTTTTCCCCAGCAAACGGTGCGCTGTCTCTCTCTCCCTCCGGCGTTTCCATTCCGCCGAGTGGAGAGCAAAAGGCCAGGACAGTACGGAATTGAGAGAGACGTTCAAAGCGCGATGCTGGAGCGTTTCCCTTGCTTCTTCCGCTCAATGGGCGCGTGCCCCTTGGCCTACCCCGTTGCTTAATCTATCCTGTTTTTATCCTGGCGTTGGGGCATCTCCTTGATACCTGATATCTAGCGCATTATTTTTGGAATTGATCATTTGGAAATCCATTTCTTGCTGCACATGTAGGGCTATCGCCATGAATGTAGGAGCCCGTCAATGCCATAGTCATTCCGAGCAGCTGAAACAAGTGCCTACATTCTGGAAATCGAAGGCCTGCAGGATCGCCCCGGGGTGGTGGTGCAGACCCGGACCAACCAAAACACGGGCCGAGTATGTAAACAAACCCATTGTTGTCGCATCCTCAACCGCTGCCAACATCCACCCGCTCACTCTCTGATCTTCAGTGATCTATGAATTCCCTCTGATTATTTCCATCGCTCGTGGTGTCTCACCCACCACGTACCTCCCAATCGATCATCCGAGACAAGGGCGTGGGGATACCGGGATCAGACAGGCAGGGATAGCAGCCGACATGACGGCGGGTACCAAGGTAAATTCTCTCCTTGACCCGAACCATCCAGGGGACCTGTATGCGCCTCCCTGGCACGGGCATGAATGAAACAATAAGAATTAAAAACAGAGGAGCGCCGCTAACTCCTTCTCGCTATGTGCTTCACAGAGATCCCACGACCCCGTCGCAATGGAGGTCGACCAGCAACCCGCCACCAAGCAGCCACAGCACCAGCGCACATCGCGCAAGCACCAGCGCTCTAGCGACGACGAAGATGTCTACCCAGACTGGAGCTCGGATGTCTCTGGCCAGTTTGATGACGCCGAAGAAGCAGGTCAGGACGACTACAGGTCTCCTACTGCCAAGTCGGTCAAACGCCGCCGCTCAAATGACTGGCCGCTGCCCGAGGAAAGCGCGGACTACGGATCGTTGGAGCGTCGCGGTGCCCGAGCAGGCTATGCGAGTCTTGTTGGCAGTTCTGCCGGCATGAAATCCTCGCCACGGGCTTCGCCTCGCGCGTCACCCCGAGGGTCGTTGGCGTCTCTTCGCAATAGACACCATGGTGGTGGTGGAGGAGGAGGAGGAGTAGGGACATCGTCCAGCCCACGGCACTGGAGTGGTCGGCGCTCGCGGTTCATCGAAGCTAGTATGAGCGACAGCATCAGTGAGAAACCGCCTAGCGTCTTTACGCGCGAGGGCAAGCCAACTGGCTCGCAGCGGCAGTCTGGGATCTTTCGGTTCGGCAAGGCTATTGCAGCGGCATTCAACCCCTTCGGCGGTTGGGGCAAGACGACTTCCCCGGAATCGAACAAGGCGCAGGCGCAGCCGCAGACGGATGCGCTGAGCCAGGCCGAGCAGGCATATGCGGAGCTCAAGAAGACCGGCTACAAGGGTACCAACAAAGGCGCTTACATCCAGAGCCAGCATGTTGATTCAAACATGGCGGACCAGACCTGGGAGTCTATCAAGGAGAATGTCAACTGTGGGGGCGATGCGGCGGCTGTTGAGGGTTCGGGTCGCTATTCGACGGAGCATGGAGGAGACCGCAGCACTGCAATAATGCCGCGGCGAGACTCCGGGGCCTCCTCTAAACGGTCTTCTTTCCAGGACCTACGCAAGGCCAAGATTCCATTCATGAAGACTCACGAGGCGCCGTCGACTGCCGTGGTATCGGAACACAATCCAGATCAAATTTCTGAGGATTCGGAGGGCCATGGGATTCGGAGACAAAGATCGAAAAAGGAGCTTTCACGCCAGGCGAAGCTGCTCAAGAAAGTTAACAACCTGGAAGACAAGCTGGATCGTGCGAGACGCGAGCTTCGCGAGCTGACGGGCAATGAGGATCGGACATCTGCTCCTGCGTTGCCGTCCCAGACACAGACACACGCACAGATACAGTCGCAGTCGCAGTCGCAGCCACAACCACCGTCGCAGCCACAGCTACAGCCGGAGCCGCAGCCGCAGCCAAAGACAATGTGCATGGAAATGGATCCCGAAAGTTATCCGCGCAAATTCGTCCCTGGTGCTCTCCCAACCCTACCGTCCGAAAGACTCCTTGATCAACAAGCCGCCGAATCCGAGTCTTCTCCTGATAAACCTTCTGTCGGTGCAAATGTGTCCCAGGAAGAAGAATCACGACTGGCCCAACAAAACGCCGCTCCAGTGGCGGCGATTAAGTCCCCGAAACGGCGGTCCAAAGAGCCCTCCCGGCCGTCGTCTATGGGTAAGGACAGCTCTTCCTCTTCCTCCCGCAAAAGGAAGTCACCAGTTCCTGAATCTCTCGGTAGTGGGAAGTCTGCTCAGCCCCGTGCGACGGAGAGCATCGACGACGATGACGACGCGCTCAAAGAACAACAAGAACTCCTAGCCGACTACGGGTTCATGCTGAGTCCGCCACCTCGTCAAGCGAAGTGGCAGAAATTCGAGGCTGGCGATAGTCCCGGATCGGTGGAGCGCAAACGCACCGCGAACGAAGATGACCCTGATGCTGCTGCAGCTGCCACGCACAAAATGTCGCCATATCAAACCCGAAGAAGATCAGCTACTCCCCACTCCGCCGCCCTCAAAAACCGCTCACCAAACTCCAAATCCAAGTCCTCCACGAGATCTCCCCCGCCAAGCAGATCTCCAGCTCGAGCCACTATCCATGCGGTGCCTTCCTCCCCTACCAAGAAAACCGCCAATACCAATAGCCCCGCCAATAACAACGACTCAACAATCCCGGACTCAGACGCCCCTTCAGAAGCCTGGCCCTCCCCATCCCCAGCATCACCATCCCAAAACCGCGCCTTCTACCTCCAGCCAGACAGCCAACTTAACCCGGACCGCAGTCCGCGGCGCTCATCACCCTCACCATCCTCCTCGCCTTCAAAGCGGAGCCCGAATCGGAGCAGTCGCACATACATGCATGAAGACATCCCGCCCGTCCCGCCTCTTCCGAAGGAACTTCTCCCCAATGCTGCGAAGGTGAATAAGTCGCCGACCAAGTCGCCGAAACGGGGGTCGAGATCGATGGCGGCGGCTCTCGAGCAGCAGACTGAGTCTGTCAGGAATCGGAAGGCGCCTGCGCCTTGGCAGACGGACGATTATCCATGGCCGGAGGATATCTTTTGATTTTTATTGATGTTGTTGGAAGCAGATTGTATGTTTGAGATAGATGGATGGAGAGAGAGAGAGAGAGAGAGTGTGTGTGTGTGTGGAGATGCATGTGGAATTGAATTGACTCGGGTGGAGGGAATGAATGGCCTGTTTTGGGAGTTGCGATTACGATATGATGACTTGTTGATTATACCCTGTCCTGTGTATTATTAATGATGCTTATTATCTGGGTAGCTCTGGCTTGAATACGATGTTGCATTTTGACGGGAGTTGATAGTTTATCATACTGGGTGTGGTTTGAACAGTCCGTAAGAGATGTAAGTTAGGGCTGTCGCACAACCAGGTCTCGACGTTTTATTTTCTTCTTGCAATGCCTTAGCACAGCCATAAAGTGACAAGAACTCCAAACTCTTTACTGTTGAAAAGTGATAGTTGGAATTTGACACAGAATACGGTTTCAAAACTGGATCAGACTGGAAATAGAGATGGCTGTGAACAACAGCCCTAACTGCAACCAAAATTGACTACATCCTCCCAAAAGCACCTACCCAACCAACTGCCAAATCCACACCACACATCTACTGCACACCACTAAAGAATAGCAGTAGCATTAGCATGCGACCCCACACCACCTAATAGCGAAAGCCGTTAGTTAGCACGCCAATCAACCCAAGGCCACACACACAGAGAGAGAGAGATAGAGAGGGAGAGACAGGGAGACATACCAGGCATATTAGCAGGCGCACTCGTCAAAAAGAAAGTCCACTTGCCCCTCTTCCTACACAACTCAGCAAGCCTCTCAAGATCCCACATCTCGCCAATCGGACACCCCCACAGCGCCAGAAGATTCTGATGCAGATAATCCTCCCCCTCTCTCACAGGCCACACCTCGAAAGTGGGCGAGTCCCCAGCAACAGCCGCGAAGTACGAATTGTGCAGAAAATCCTTGGTGTCCTCTCCGCGCGCCACGCCCGCAAAGCACAGATCGTCGTGCGCGCGCGTCGCAGCCGCGTACCGCTCTACCGGACTGAGCTGGTCATACCGCGCCACGAACCCGGACCGCACGAGCAGTATGTCGCCGACGCGGATGGACCCGCCTTCGCTGGCGGGCCGCAGGTCGAGGCCTTGCCAGCTTGCGCAGGCGCGTAGTTCGGGAAGAGTTATTGCGTGTGAGCTGTACGGGTCGTACGCCTTGTTGTGTGCGTTTGCGTAGCCCCAGTAGTCGAGGAGGATGCCGCGGCCGGCGATCCCGTGGAGAGCCCAGTGGTGGATGCTGCAGCGGTCGTTGCTGGTGGGACCGACTATGTCGCTGCTTTTTGCCTGTTTATTTTGTGTTTTTAGTCTTGTTTTTTTTTGTTTCTGGTAGGTAGACGGGTTGCTTGGGAGTACTAACCCCGTTGTAGAATGTCTTTGTGGGGATGTGTGAGAACTGATAGTTACCGTTGATATTAGGGTTAGTATGGTTCTAAACATATGATGCCTTATATGATATCTTAGGTACCTAGTAGGTTCCTAAAGTACCTAGGTCAGACTTACATGCCTGAAACCATCCCACTGCGTACCGCTTTGCGTGTTCATCGAGTAGATATCGTCGTATGCGACGTCCGGCACAAGCGTCTTGATACTATGCTGGAACGTCTCGCGGTTGAACGCGGGCTTCTCGGGGACTGTGAGTGGGAGACTGTGTCGTGTGTTAGCGCCTACCTTGCAGTCCTCATTCCCTGCAGAAAGAGAAAAAGGGTACCACGTACTCAAGTCTCACCATCTCCCCCGTCAAGATCTCCGCCGCAGACGCCTTGACACGCTGCGGTGTGAGGAGATTCAGCCGTCCAATCTATAGAGACACCTCGTTAATATCTCATCCCATTTCATATCCATTTGTCAGGGCAATGCATAAATACCTGATCAGCTTTCCCCCACACCCACGCCGCACCTTCCGGTGCACCAGGGAGACGAGGAAGGTCCTTCCTCACTGGGAAGCGCGAGCAGTTGGGGTCCCAGGGGAGCTGGGCCGGGTTCTGGGCGTTGGCGGAGGACATTTCCGGTGAATTTTGGACGTGGTTTGCGAGTGCGGAGAGTCTGGTAGATGGGGATGTAACGGACATTGCCGAATATCCTGTTTTCTTATATAGAATGGATCAAGTGGAGAAGGGAGTGTCGTAAACTCTACTGGCGGGACACGCGGAGTGTTTAGTCGGCAGTACCACGATTTTATAAATTATGTGGAGAGTGACGACTCACTGCCGAGGGTTTGTCTTCGTAGTACATCCCGAGGTCTGTGGATGTGGAGAGGTGCTTCTCCGCACGGCTGTGCTCCACTTGACGTAGTGTAGTTACGGAAGGTGAAGGTGGTGTAGAGAGACCGAATGTGGCCCCCTTTTGTTTTTTTGTTTATCAAGGGCAAGTGCCTCCTATGGTACATACAAAACACCAATCTGATGACTCGCCCTTGTCAATCAATCAAGCCTGCTGTGTCTGTCCTTCACTGACTCGATTGTCCTCAAGAGGAGGTAAAGACATGACCGACAGCTGGAGCAGAAAACATTGAAAAAAAAAAAAAAGATATCGCAAAAATCAAATCACCGTAATTGCCTACCGCAATGTCACCGTATTGCCCTCCCAGAATGCCCGGTTCCCCCGGTTCCGATTGCGCCAAAAAGACTCGAGAAAAGAAAGATGTCAACCATGAGTTATTCGTTTCGGTCATGGGTCTGGCCACCCAGAAAGCAGAGTAACAATCGCTAAACGCGCAACGCGGGAACAAATGAAGAAACAGTTCAGTTCTGTGACGGAACGCCCGTCGACTGCGCCGATGGAGCACGGCCCCCGCGCATTCCACCCCGGCCTCGCCCATAGCCTTGACCGTATCCACGACCGTAGCCGCCGCGGCCGCGGCCATAGCCTCGTCCGCGTCCACGACCACGACCACGGTACCCGTCGACACTGCCTTGGCCGAAGGTATCCATGTTCCGTTTCTCCTCTTCAGCGCGCCACTCGCGGCCGCCGAACCGGGTGCTCACATTCTCTTCGCGGTCCCGAGCCTCACTCGAGATGTTATCGAAGAATGAGGTGGTCCGGTTGTAGGCACCGTGGGTGCCGTTGGTATCATCAACTTGGTCCTCGCTAGTGGGAGGGGCATGAGCTTCCGCCTCGGCCGCCGGAGATCCAGTGGCAATGGCTTCCTTGACCAAATCCTGCTTGTTGAATTTGGCATTCGCCGTCTCAAAGTCGTAATCCGACTGAGGGAGTTCCATCTTCTTGTGCTGCTGCTGCTGCGTGCGAGCAGCCCCACGCCCACCGCGTCCACCTCGAGGCGCACGGTTGTTATCGTACGGCCGCATCTCGTTCATCTTCCGTGTAACGGTCTCAACGTCGGCCTTCTGCGCACCGGGCTGCGGTAACTTGGCCATCGCTGCGGCAACGGCGGCCGTAGCAGCAGCTGTAGCATCCGTAGCAGGAGGGCCAGCAACGGGTGCGGCAGGCTTAGCAGGAGCAGCAATCGGGATAGCCGGCACAGCCCGCCCACCCCTCTGAGCGGCAGCCGCAACAGAAGGAGGCACTGAACTTTGCATAGCTTCCGCTACCGTTGGCTTGGACTCAACGGGAGGAGTAGGAGCATTTTGTGCGGCGGGTGTAGCATTTCGGCTTGAAGGCTTATCCCCAACAGGGAGTTCAGAGGTAGGTTTGGGCGGAGGTGCAGCACCAGGAGGCCCAATTGGCATTTGAGGAGGGAACTGGCCAGGGCCCTGAGGGAATGGGTGGCCTGGAGGAGGATACCAGCCTGGCGGAGCGCCATAGGGCATGTTGGGGAAACCAGGTCCAGGAGGAAAGGGAGGAGGTGGCCCAAACCGTTGGCCGTATGGTGGGTAGTAGCCTGGCGGGAATTGCGGCTGTTGAGGGAAGCCCTGAGGAGGCTGGCGAGCGCCCTGAGCCTGTTGCGGAGGAGGTTGGGACTGAGGGATAGCCTGGGGGGCAGATCCCGGCTCAGGGCCGGGTCCCGGTCCAGGTCGCGGCATGCTCTGTTCGACTCCAGTCAGTAAGGAAGCCGACAAGACGAAACGAAATGGAAGCAATGTGAAAGGAGATTGATCAGATCAGAAGGAAGGCAACGGAAAATATCAACACGGATTTTGCGCATTCAGAACAGGTCTGTGAGTTTACATCCGAAAATATTTCATCATTTGATCAATTGGCCGACCGCGACGAAGTGTCTACGGCGGAGACGGGGAAGACTGAAAGCAAAGGATGTAAGGTTCACTTACTCCTAGGATGGCAGGGTCATTTGGGACCTGAGGTTGCTCTGGCTTCGCGGGTTCTGGTTTTTCCTCCCCAGCGACGCTGATGTCCTTCACATCGCTACCCCGAAAGACGATGTACTCGTAGACACTGCTGGATGGGGCAACCTCATCGGCGGGATTCCCCCGCCGGCCTTCTGTGCCATAGGACATGACATTCTCAAGGGCTATCGTGGAGGCTTCCGGGTTGATTTCATGGAGGGTGCCGACATATCTGACAGGCAATGAGCAAGGGAACCGACTATGACAGTCTGGAGGACTTACCGAATGTCGCTCTTGGAGATCAGGTTGAAACGCTGACTGCCAGGTGTTAACTCCTGCCGAGCCGCACAAACCCTACCGACCAGCAGGTGCAGATGACTGACCCTATTAAATGGTTCATATCCATCCTGACGGAGTGTTGCGCGAGACGCGCGAGGTGTGAGGGAGAGGAAACTAGAGGAGAGAGGGAAAGAAGAGAATAAATCGAATTGGAGAAGAAGGAGAAGTCAGGATGGAGGAGGAGGTTGGGGGCAGAGGATGAGAAGAGAAGGGGGAAGAAGGGAAGAAGTGAAAATCTGCGTGGCTTTTGGTGGATTCGGACTACGGCGGACTGCAGGAGCTCCGAGAGCAGTTCCCTTTTTGTCGCGACTGGTGGTGCGTGTGCGATGGTGACTAACGCCATGACGACCTCAACCAACCGCGATCATTTCTTCCAGACTTCGTGAGAATGCGACTTCTAGCTTTTAGAGACCCAGTCTGACCATGACAGTGCTTCCCTGGACGAGCAGGAGCGAAAACAGGCCAAGTCCCAGAACAGCAATGGGAACCCCATCAAACTCAAGAGCAAGATCCTGGCCGTGTGCGCCGATCCGGTGAACCAGGGCTCCGTCTATGTGGCACTGAGCAGCGGCGCAGTAAGAAGAGTCAATATCGAGGTGAGCGCATTTCGTGAGCGGGAAATAGCACACTATCTAAGTGTCTCTACAGACAGGAGAGCCGACTGCTCTATTTACAGGCCCCGTGGCCCCCCTCACCAGTGTCTGTCTGAGCCCAGACCGCAAGCAACTATTTGCCGGGTGCTGGGACAAGACCGTTTGGAGCTGGGAGATAGCTTCAGGGAAACCCGGGCGCCAATACGCAGGACATACGGATTTCGTCAAATCCGTTATCGCCGCACGACTGCGTGGGGAAGACTTTCTCATCACGGGGGCAGCTGATGCCCAAGTGCTCGTGTTTAACATTGCAAATGGCGAGCGACTGGAGACCTTCAAGGGTCACGCCCGTGGCATTCAGGACTTGATCCTTGACCCGGAAGCCGAGGACTCGAAAGCGACGGTGTTCAGTGCTGGTAGTGATCGAGAGATCCGGCAATTCAATATCTTTGGCGGCGATCATTCTACCGAACCATTGCTGCCCCACGACACCAGCGTCTACAAGCTCTTCTTCGATAGCGACGGAGACCTCTGGACGGCGTCGGCGGATAAAACCGCCAAATGCCTCGTTCGGGAGAACGGATGGCAAGCCAACTTGACTCTGGAACATCCAGACTTTGTACGCGACGTTGTTGTCTACGAACAGGGCGGCTGGGTGGTCACTGCATGCCGGGACGAAGAGGTTCGCGTGTGGAACCGATCTGTATGTTCTACTTTTTCCCTCTTGAAGGGTCTATGCTGACAATTCTAGACGGGGGAGCTGCATCATACGTTCTCCGGGCATTTTGAGGAAGTCACCGGGCTGGTCCTGGTAGGGTCGACGGTAGTCAGTGTTGGCATTGATGCGACCATCCGTCAATGGTCACTTCGCGCGGATGAACTGCAACGGGCCGTGGAGTTGGTCAAGAACGGCCCGACCGAAACAGAGGAGGAGTCGAATGACGGGCCGATGCTGACCGAAGAAGAGGAGCGCGAGCTAGCCGAGCTGATGGACGAGTAGATAGTTAGATCTTGTATACTTAGTCATGTAGCATCCCCAGATCGAACCCGATCCCCGCCAACACGTGACCATGGCGTGTCAATGACGACAGGGCCGATCGCCTGAACTTGTCTCTGTGAATGCTCCATCGCTCCTTGTCCGGCCCCTTCTCAGTGGTTCCCTTGAGTCGATCCCTGCGAGGCTAACCTATTATTCTTATACGATTCATCCCGTGATTCCCCGTATCTCTTCAGCATCGCCTGTTCCTGATTACTAGCAACATCACCCCGCCTGTCAGGATGGCAGCGTCGGACGCGCATGTGCAGTCGCACGACAGTCTGGCTGACCGGGGACCGAAGATGATTAACCGTCTCCAGCAGTCTAGATCGCCCTATGTGAGATGACCCTCCCCCACCATAGATGCTTATCAAGTGAGATTAACCCGACGTCAGGTCCGGGGCCACATGAATAATCCGGTAGCATGGCAGCTCTGGGATGCAGAGTCCATCTCCCTGGCAAAGAAGCACAACCGGTTGGTGTTTTTGAGCATCGGATATTCAGCATGTCACTGTGCGTCCCGCACTTGCCCCTCCTACCCTATCTTAGTGTCTAATGTGATGTAGGGTGCCATGTCATGGAGAAGGAGTCTTTCATGTCACCTGAGGTGGCTGCAATTCTCAATGAGTCGTTCGTTCCGATCAAGATCGACCGGGAAGAGCGACCAGATATCGACGATGTCTACATGAACTATGTCCAGGCCACCACTGGATCCGGCGGCTGGCCTTTGAATGTCTTTCTCACCCCAGACCTGGAGCCAGTCTTTGGCGGCACCTACTGGCCCGGCCCTAATTCGTCGACCCACACAGGACCGGATACCATTGGGTTCGTCGAGATCTTGGAGAAACTGCGCGATGTGTGGCAAACACAACAGGAGCGCTGTCTGGAAAGTGCCAAAGACATCACGAAGCAGTTGCGGGAGTTTGCCGAGGAAGGAACACACTCGCAACATGCGGACCGGGATGGTGATGAGGACCTGGACATTGAGCTGTTGGAAGAAGGGTATCAACATTTCGTGTCTCGATACGACTCCATCAACGGGGGATTTGGCAGGGCACCAAAGTTCCCTACACCAGCCAACCTGAGCTTTCTTCTGCGACTCGGTGCCTACCCCAGCCAGGTGACCGATATTGTGGGACAGGACGAGTGCGAAAAGGCCACTGCAATGGCGGTCACGACCCTAGTCAATATGGCTCGAGGCGGAATTCGGGATCATATCGGCCATGGGTTTGCTCGCTATAGTGTGACCCCTGACTGGAGCGTACCTCACTTTGAGAAGATGTTGTACGACCAAGCACAGTTGCTGGATGTCTACGTTGATGCTTTCCGGCTAACGCATGAACCCGAACTATTGGGTGCCGTCTATGACTTGGCCACCTACTTGACGACTGCTCCCATGCAGTCGCCCACGGGAGGATTCTTCTCGTCGGAAGATGCAGACAGTTTCCCTAGCCCCAACGACACGGAAAAGCGAGAGGGTGCTTTCTACGTCTGGACCCAAAAGGAGCTCATCCAGGTGCTGGGCCAGCGAGACGCCGGAGTGTGCGCCCGGCACTGGGGTGTCTTGGCAGATGGGAATGTGGCACCAGAGTACGACCCTCATGACGAGTTTATGAACCAGAATGTGTTGTCCGTTCGTGCTACCCCCAGCAAGCTCGCCAAAGAGTTTGGACTCAGTGAAGATGAGGTGGTGAAGGTCATCAAGACCGGGAAGCAGAAACTCCGCGACTACCGCGAGAAGACGCGAGTGCGGCCAGACCTGGACGACAAGATCATTGTGGCCTGGAATGGCCTGGCGATCGGTGCGCTGGCTAAGTGCAGTGTGCTGTTCGAGGAGATCGAGAGCTCCAAGGCGGTGCAGTGCAGAGAAGCCGCCGCGAAAGCGATCAGCTTCATCAAAGACAACCTGTTCGAGAAGGCCACTGGACAACTGTGGCGTATCTATCGGGATGGTAGCCGTGGAGACACCCCTGCTTTCGCGGATGATTATGCGTACCTCACTAGTGGACTGCTGGACATGTACGAAGCCACCTTTGATGACAGCTACCTCCAGTTCGCTGAACGCCTACAAAGTAAGGACTTGCGTTTTCTCAGCCGTGAGCATTTGCTGACAATTCTGATTTTACAGAGTATCTGAATGAATACTTCATTGCCCAGACGGGTTCTAAGACTGCTGGGTACTACACCACCTCGTCGATGTCGACCCCCGGCATGCCTGGTCCGCTACTCCGTCTGAAGACCGGCACCGAGTCAGCCACGCCGTCCGTTAATGGTGTTATCGCGCGCAATTTGCTGCGTCTGGCCGCGCTAGTCGAGGAAGACGGCTACCGCACCCTGGCACGAGAGACCTGCAATTCATTCTCCGTGGAGATCATGCAGCACCCGTTCCTGTTTGTGGGCATGTTGGATGTCATCGTGGGACTCCAGATTGGCACTCGCACCGTGACGGGCGTGTTCTGCACCGCCGATGTCTCCTCGTTGCCCGGGCGCGAGGAAGGTCTGCTCAGTCGCGCCGACGAGCCCACGTCGGCACGCGATCTGATCATTCAGCGTGTGCGTGCCGAAGCTGGGCACGCGTTGTCGCCATCCCGGACGACGACTTCGCTCGTGGATGTGCGGCCGTCGCACTTGAAGGACTTTGTGGGGAACCAGAGCTTCTGGTTGAAATCGCGTAATCCGCTGTTCAAGGAGCTCAAGGCGGCCGAGCCGCCTAAGAACTACATGCTTGTGTGTGAGAGTGGAAAGTGCAAAAGTGTTGATCTTTAGAGGATGATTTCTGCTGTGTTCTGATTGTCTATTACTACAACGCGGTTGCGAGGATCATGGAGACACGAAAAGCACCATGCTGCAAGAGGAAAGGGGGGTGTCAGTGGTTTACCACGAACTAGATCACTGTGTACCTAAATGTTCTGATTGGTGTATTGTACTCCGCCCTAGCACATCTCTCTATAAGTTGGTCCCGTTGTGTTGGCCTGAATCATGATCGGCGGCCATGGATGGTTCCTGGGCCGGCCGAACTCTATCCCAGAGGCAGGATTTTCTTCCCTGAGCACCCAAGGTGCACACTCATCGTAGAAGTGAGAGCCAAGCGAGAGCATTCTTGTAGTCATATTTGTTTGACTAGAGCTCCCTTAATCACCACAAATGATTGCCCAGTGCCCGAGGGCTGAAACAGCCATGATCGGGTTAATCTATCTCAGATCAGCCACGGCAAGCCACGGATCCAAATAATATGGGCCCAGTGCGAAGCCAAGTTTCTTAGCGCCCACGCCGTTGCAGTGGGCAATTTCCTTTTTCCTCAGGGGGGCAAATGGATTGGAACGCTAGGACCACTCCTGAAACCAGGGGAACAACAGGATGCGTGGGACGAGGTTTTCTCTTCGGATAGAATGCCTTGGGGTATCGTGTTTATTTATTTACCATCTAACCCGCCTCCTCCTAGATCTCGATCTGCTCCCGGCAGCTCAAGTCCGAAACAATACATACTCTCCGACCCAGGACGCGCGGCAAAGCAAGTCTCCCCCGGAGCGGGCCAGGGCACTAGTGGATTGAAGATCCACCCAGGGGGCGGCCCAGACATATCGTCATCGTGCTCCTTTGGCTGGTGCAGACTCGGAACGGGGCCAGTTCACATTTCAGCCATAGTCCAGAGCCAAAGAGTCTCCAATATGTTCCAGCCTCTTCGGAGGAGTCCAGTGGGGAGTGGTGCGAGACGCGTTGGAATGTAGAATGTATCGCACCACTCCAGGCCGTGGCGGGCAGTGGCATGTTGTGATGGCGAGGTTGGAGGACAACAGTATAGATAGTACGGCGTCTTCTTTTCGCCAGCCCTTTCAATAACCGCCCCAAATCAATAATAATCATCTTGAAGCCACTCATCTCCCGCATCTCCACTCGCAATCAATCCCAATCACTCCCCATCAACTCGGCCCTAACTCTCTTAGCCTGGCCTTCGCACGGCCCCACTGGGCCTTTTCCCCTTTCTACCACCACCACCTCATCCTCTTCTTCTTCTTCTCTTTCTCTCTCCACACGCTTGACTCTCACTTCCCGCCCACGGCGCCTTTTCTTTCTTCCCTCGTTTGAGAGAAAGAAGGTGTTTTCGGGCCTGTCACTCCTTTGTCCATACAAAAGCGTCCCACCCCCTTCCCAAGTACATAAACAACACTCGTTTCAACAGCAGTCGATCTGCTTTGTTGATCACCACAACCACTCGTCGAATCCACTCTTTTGCTTCGACTTCACTTCCTGGGGAAGTTAGCACCGCTACCTCAATCCCGATTCCAGTTGATCTGCGATTCCAACCATGCGCTCCGCGATTCTCCTGACCGCCGCCCTGGCTGCCGGCGCTTGTGCGACCGAGCTTGACAAGCGGGTCTACGTGACCGATTGGACCACCGTGATCGTCACCAAGACCGTCACCGAGGCTCTCGCCCCAGCTCAGACTGTGGCTCCGGTCCAGGCCGACCAGGAGTCGACCCTGACCAAGAAGACCACCGCCGTTCCCGAGGTGTCGACCGACACCCCCAAGGTGCACAATGCCCAGGTCGACTCCGGCTCTGGTGGCCTGCTGGGAGCTCTGCTCGGTGGAGGAAGTGGCTCGGATAACGATTCTGGTGCCACGGCCAACACCAACCCGGACATCACCAAGGATGAGAAGCCGGCGCACCACGCGCACCACCACAAGCACAAGCCTGCCCCGGCGCCGACCACCACCGAGGAGGCGCCTGCTCCCGAGCCCACTACTATCACCGAAACCGCCTCCGCTCCGACGACCATGTCGACCACCACCACCACCACGGCTGACACCCCTGCCCCGACCACTAACTCGTACCAAGCTGACGTTCTGTACAACCACAACATCCACCGCAGCAACCACTCTGCCCCCTCTGTTTCTTGGGATGATAAGCTCGAGCAAACCGCCCACACTCTGGCCGCTCGCTGCGTCTACGAGCACGACACGTAAGGATCTTCTTGTCTGTTGGAAAAAGAGAGTCGTAACTAACGTTCTTGTCTTCAGTTCCATTGGCGGTTTTGCTTATGGTCAGAACATTGGATACGGTGTCAAGGCGGACCAGGTTGGCCAGATGATCACCAACCTGATGTACAACGACGAGATGGAATACTTTTCCGACCTGTACGGCGAAGCCAGCCCCTCCATGTCCAACTTCGACAGCTGGGGCCACTTCAGCCAGATCGTATGGAAGGATACCAAGAAGGTCGGATGCTCTACCGTTATGTGCAACAGCTTGGGCAACGTCGATTCCAGCGATCCCCTTCCCTTCACCGTCTGCAACTACTCCCCGCCTGGCAACTACGCGGGCGAATACAACAAGAACGTCCTCAGGCCCGTCGGCGACAAGATTTTCGTTGCCCAATAAACGAGGTCTTCTTCCCCCTTTTGGCTAGTCGTCCTGGAAGAAGGCGAGGCGAAGTGTCCGTGGCTTTGACGTGACCCCTCTGGCCTTGGGGGGAAATGTTCACCTCAGCCCCTGATACCTCCTCTCAGCTTGTTTCGTGACATGCCACCATTCGTTTTTCCTTCTTTTTTTGACCATGTTTTACTTCTGCCTTTCATGTCTTCTTCTCAGATCTCCGGCCTGTCGTCCCTCGCGGTTGTTTCGGGAGGGAGTCGGATGGGCATTGGATTTCTTTGCATCTCACGCGCGCCTGGCCTCGCAGCCCTCTGTGTATGTATGCTACCCGTGGTCCTCCAACCGAGTCGGGCATGTGGATGTGATTTGTTTCAGTTGTGAATACTTTTTGACTTCTTGTCTCACCGGCAGCCGATGTTGACGGTCTTCCTGTGGATACAATCTGCGGTGTCTTTATATTTCCGAGCGTTATGTACTACGTATGACATGAAGTTGTTCTCTACACTACTTCGATAACCTAAAATACATACAACGGTTGTAGCTCTCCCCACAAAATTAACATATCACGTGCACCCAGGATTCATTCTCCCTTCGCCCGAAAACGTCATCGCGAACAACAGAACGGTTCAAGACGAACTCCATTTGTTTCGACCACGTCTACTGTTGTTATTATCCTATCTCTTTCTTCGGACCAATCTTACTTGTTGAACCCCCTTGGAAATATCCGACACTGAGACCAACTTGAGCAACTCTTGCGCGAAACCAACCCGGCCTAGCTAGCCCGGTCCGTCCATCCCACCCTACCCACGCCGGACACGGGCCCATGCAGGGTTCAACAGCTTAGGCTCGCGTAAGTCCTTTCTGCCTTCGCGTCATATTAGATAGTCGTTCGCCATCTACAGAGGAAGATCTCATCGGCTGGAGCACCCGAAGATACCCTGCTGAGTTCCCGAAATCATACCCGCTGACGGCCAACCATCCAGCCGCGCCAAGCTCATCCGTTTCTCCGGCACTACCAATCACTTCGGACACCCGATCGCCGCACAGCAATTTTACTACTAGGCCACTCTTATCTCGGCTGTTCCCGCTGTAAGTCCTTTGATCCGGTGTCTTTTTTTCCCTTCGCCCTGGGGTTTCGTTTCGCTGCTCCCTTCCCACCTTGCCCCGCTGGGAGGTGTCATTGCATTTTCTTGTCATTTTGTTTATATACATGCAACCTCTCCCTATCCTACCCCCGTTACCATACCAGCATGATTCTTTCCCCCCATCTCTGAAAACCAAATCCGCATCCCGCCATGTGAGGTAGCCTCAATGCCACCATACTACTTACAAGACTGCCACTACTTCTACCGCACCGCCCTGCGTCTTCTGTCTCTTCCAACCTTCCTCGCCAGTCGTTACTCTTGAAGCAATAATAAAAAAAAGAAAAAAAAAAGAAAGAAAGAAAACTAACAGCATGTCCTATTCCTCCACGGCAGTGCGATTTTTCACAACACCAACCCCCCTGGGGAATGCCATGGATGCCCACAATCCACAACCGGGGCCAGGAGCGCACGGCCACACGGTCGTGAGGCCCAATGTGTCGACTGACATGCCCTCGTCCGAAGTGGCGAAAGAGCACACCCCCAAGAAGCAGGGCATTACTTTTGCTAATCAGGACTCATTGCCAAAACTGCCTATTCCGGACCTGGAGGATACGTGCCGCAGGCACCTGGAGTCTTTGGAGGCCCTGCAGACGCCTCGTGAACATGAGGAGAGTAAGGCTGCTATTCGGGAATTTCTGAAGACAGATGGACCCATCTTGCAAGAGAAGCTGAAGACCTATGCCTCTTCGAAGACGAGTTACATCGAGCAGTTTTGTGAGTTGGGATGAACACGAATCCGGAAACAAATTGCTAATATTCGGCTAGGGTATGATTCTTATTTGAATTATGATAACCGTAAGTCCCTGTCTTATAACCGAAATAAAATGAGAGAGAAGCTGACATTGGAACAGCCGTGGTCTTGAATCTCAACCCTTTCTTCCTGTTGGAAGATGACCCTACTCCTGCCCGGAGCCACCAAGTGACTCGGGCTGCTTCTTTGGTGATTTCTGCCCTGTCATTTGTCCGGGCTGTTCGACGGGAAGAATTGCCCCCGGACACCGTCCGTGGAACTCCTCTGTGCATGTACCAGTATTCGCGACTCTTCGGCACAGCACGGGTGCCCACTGATAATGGCTGCGTTATCAGCCAGGATCCTTTGGCCAAGCATGTCGTGGTTCTCTGCCGGGGCCAGTTCTACTGGTTTGACGTCTTAGACGACAATAGCGATCACATAATGAGTGAAAAGGACATCGCGCTCAACCTGCAGGTCATTATCGATGACGCCAACCAGACTTCGCTTCAGGATGCAGCCAAGGGCGCTCTAGGTGTACTCAGTACGGAAAATCGAAAAGTGTGGTCTGGACTGCGGGATATCATGACCAAGGACCCGGCATCGAACAACGCCGAGTGTTTGAACATTGTCGACACAGCCCTCTTTGCTTTGTGTCTGGACGACACGGAACCAACCACCACATCTGAACTTTGCGCTAATATGCTCTGCGGCAGTAGCGAAGTGATCAAGGGGGTGCAGGTTGGCACTTGCACCAACCGCTGGTACGACAAGCTACAGATTATCGTGTGCAAGAACGGCAGCGCTGGAATCAACTTTGAGCATACGGGCGTGGACGGACATACCGTGCTGCGCTTTGCTAGCGATGTTTACACTGATACCATTCTCCGGTTCGCCAAAACCATCAACGGCCAGGCCCCAAGTCTCTGGGCAACGACCAGCCCTGACCCGACCAAGCGCGATCCACGGAGTTTTGGAAATGTCAGCACCACGCCCCGCAAACTCGAGTGGGACATGACGCCCGAGCTGAATATCGCCCTGCGTTTCGCCGAGTCACACCTGTCTGACCTGCTGTACCAGCATGAATTCCAGGTGTTGGATTTTGAAGGCTACGGGAAGAACTTCATCACCTCCATGGGCTTCTCGCCTGATGCATTCGTGCAGATGGCCTTCCAGGCCGCCTACTACGGTCTGTACGGCCGTGTAGAGAACACGTACGAGCCGGCCATGACCAAGGTCTTTTTACATGGTCGCACAGAGGCCGTCCGCACGGTGACGCCTGAGTGTGTGAATTTTGTCAAGACGTTCTGGGGCGAGAATCCAGCCGAGCAGAAGGTGGACGCACTTCGCACCGCAACAAAAAGGCACACTGCCATGACTAAGGAATGCTCCAAGGCCCAAGGCCAGGACCGCCACTTGTACGCACTGTACTGCCTGTGGCAACGGTCCTTTGAGGAGGGGATGTACCAAGAGACCAGCTCGACGGGCGGGTACTCCAGCCCAAGCGATGGGCCCGAGTCACCCAAGCTCTCCGAGGGATCAGGCGATGATTTATCCTCTTCTCCAGGAAGCGGCAGCCTCCGTGGTCTCCGGGCCGCCACCGCACCGACACCAGCTCTTTTCGCAGATCCGGGATGGGACAAGATCAACAACACGGTCCTGTCGACCTCCAACTGCGGGAATCCCTGCCTGCGCCATTTCGGGTTCGGCCCCACGTCCGGCGATGGGTTCGGGATCGGATATATTATCAAAGACGAGTCGATCTCGTTCTGCGCTTCGTCAAAGCACCGCCAAACTGCACGTTTGATGCAGACGCTCGAGTCGTACCTCTTTGAGATCAGGAAGTTGCTGCGTGCCACGAACCGCACGGCCGCGAGCGCGCGGACGAGCCGTGCGAGGGAGACCGAGGCGCAGGCTGAGCGTTTGCAGAATGATATGCGTCGTCGCGGCCGGGTTGTGCGCGGTGATAGGGGCGTGTCTGAGACTCCGACTGCTACTACTGATAGTGGGGAGATGGATGATGATGATGGCATGGGAGGATGTAAGTGTTTTACTTTGCTCTCCTGGACACTGGGACATAGATTCGGAACTAACTTGACTGATTAGATGGTTTCTTTGATGCCGGCATGCTCCTTCATGCCCTCAAGGGCCTCGATGCTGAGCGCGAACAGCGAGGTGACAAACCGTCCAAGAGGCGGTTTGTGGGGAAGAAGCTGTATCTGAGTGACTATTGATTTGGGTGGCAGGGAAAGAGGAGACCGATAATTTTTCACACATACTTTCTACTATTGTTGTTTTAGCTGTCATCAGTTCCTATATATCCATCTATGATTACGACGAGGAGTTGTAGCAACGCAATTCTGGCACATAAGAAACAGAGTCTAGTGAGCTGCTAAACGAGAGTAGGCCATAGCTAGCTAGGACAGCCTAGCTATACACGACATCCCCAGACAACACGGCTGGCTTCTGTACATCTCTCTGTACATGTCACCCTGCTGGGCACTTAGTGACCATGGTGAGCATAGGCACACTTGCTCTGGATCCTCATGGGGTGGCACTCAGTGTTGAACACCCACTGGTCGAGGCTGACGACATCTGGCTCGGCGAATGACAGGTAGAGGTACTTGAGGACCTCGGCGAAGTAGAAGCTGGAAGAGAAAAAGGTTAGTCCTTATCCTCTAACACACACAATCATTGATGACGTTTGATTTCTTACCTCGAAACGTAGTTGACCAGCGGCAGACCATATGGCGCATTCACATTGGTGATCTCCGCGTACGGCACGGCCGCAGAGCGAGACGTGTTCAGCGCCTGAAAGATCTCCCAGTTGTAGTCCTGGAAGCGGGTGTCGCCCGTCGTGCGGTAGGCGTAGAAGATACTCTCGAGCGGCTCGGGGTACGAGCGGTACGAGGGGTCCGTGAACCAGAAGCCGTACTTGGAGGCAGCGGCGCGATCTTGCGGGTTGCTGTTGGCAGAGGAGTCGTAGGCCTCATTGCTAGCGTTGTACCAGGAAACCGCTACAAAACTCGTAATTAGTCAAGAGGCATCAATTCAGCAAAGGCACATTACTTACCGCTACCTCCCAGGCCGGTGAGGGTCGAGTTGTACCACCGGTGGCAGCTGTCGGCGACCTTCACGCCCAGGTCCGAGAAGTCAGGCCGGTTCAGATACTTGCCTCCGAGGAGGAGGTTGCCACCCGCGAAGCAGGCGTAGTCATCCATTGTCCACATGAGGCTACCGTTCGTGTCCGATTGGGACAGGAAGGTGAGCTCGGGGTGCTGGTATGGGTGCAGTGCGATGTTCTGGATGCTGGACTCGGCGGCCGTCACCCAGAAGTCTTTCATCTGCGGAGTGAGGCTGTCCTCCGGTTGGTACACGTAGGTTTTGATCAGGTACTGTATAGTCCTCGGTCAGGTCTGGCATATTAATGCGTTGGCACTTTCGCACTTACCTCGATGAAACTGTCAACACCGGCCTGCCAGCCCGCGTCGAAAGTGATGAAGTTGCCCGTGTCCGTGTCGAGCTCTGTGCCCACGAGACCGGGGTACGTTGGTGCCGGGTTAGGCTTGATCAGGAACTCCTCAGCTCTTTGGGCCTAAATTGAGCATTAACATTATTCTTAGAAGATTACCCGCTAGAGAGAGGGGCCATACATTCTTGCGGAACGATTCGTCGCCCGTCAGATCCGAAAGACGGTAATACTCCAGGATCAGGGTGCCCGCCTGCGCGGTGTTGGTGCTGTTGTACGTCTTTCCATTGACTGTGGTCGTGCTCTGGATGACCTGACCGGACGTGAAGTTCCGTTGAGATGCTGGCAGACCAGTGACGGTGTCGAACACCGGGCTGATGGCTGTCCCCAGAGACTTGGCTTGGGACAGCAGGGCGTCAACAAGCTTGGGGTCATACTTGTTGGGGAACATGCCACTCTTGAGCAAGTCATAAGCACTCAGCAATCTACAGTTAGAGAGATTTAGTACATGCAGGCCTAGAAGATCTCAAAAGCTAAAACTTACCCGCCGAGGTACCGGATGTTTACATCGAAGAAGTTGACGATCTCAGCCGACTTGGTGAAGTCAACTGATGCAATGTGCTTCAGCTGCTCCTCGACGATATCCGTCAGGCCCATGACAATGGCCGTGTCAATGCCGTCGACAGCGGACGCGCCCCAGCCAAACAGGTCGGCGGTGCCATTGTGCGTGATGGGCAGAAGATCGTCCTTGGGGTATGCGTATTTATAGTATTCATTCCACTCGCGCGCATACGCCTGCTTGACAGCCTCGGCGCGGGGATCGTTCCTGTTCGTGCCCGCAGGAAAGTCATACTGGATTTTGTTGCATGCGTGACGCGACGAAGTAGCAGCAGCACTGGCCTGGCGTAGAGCAGCCAGGGCCAGCAGAGCGTGGGAAACACCAACCATTGTTGATCGTCAGTCTTGGCCTAACTACTGCGAAGTCAATTGAGGATCGAATGACAAGAAAACCAAGATCTCTCGGCGATGGAGGTAGGGGGCAATCCTTTTTGTTATTTATGGATATTTCTCCTGTAGATCGACAGAGAGCCCATTGTTACATCGTCGAGGGGTTACATTTCTCCCCTGGATTGATTACAATCCTGGAGCACAAGCTTTTTCGGCTACACAGCTTTATTTAGGAAGATTAATTTAGTCCCGGTCTTTCGGGCTTTTGTCATTGCGAGATTGTTTACCATTTCCCCTTCGCTCTGGATCATCCCTGTACTTACGTTGCCGGAGAATCTATGTCGGGAAGTTGGAGTAATGTTACTTACCTGTAATTTTGTGGCTGAAGCGGGGAATGGGGCTAAAGACGCCCCTATTGTTTTTTGGGCTTGCTGGTGTGCCTTCCCGCCGTGCACTGACTTGTTGCTTGGCGGGGCACCCGCTCCTTGGCCACTCAATTCGTGGCGGATACTGCCGCTAGACTCGGACAAAAACAAGCCGATCTACGCGGGGGACCCTTCCAGATTGGACCTAGACATGGGTCCCGAGTTCCCAGGTAGGAAGTCCACATTATGGAGGCTGATTAAGGTCACATTTGGACTCAGCCATGGCAATTGGATGATGTAGGTGCATATCCAACCAACAGGGTCTTAAGAAGCCCAGTGCCCCAGCCAATTACAATACGGTAAAGACCGAAATCATTAACTAGCGGGATCAAGACTTTGATAGTGTTGATAGTGGGACTCGAACAAGCAAAAACAGAATACTGCCCGGCAGTATATGCAGAAACATACAAACAAGCCTAAACAAAGGTCAAGAGTATGTGAGCGTCGTCGCCAGCTAAGCTATGTTCAAGCTGCTTGGCTTCCCCGCTCTGTTCTAGCGATCGGACTTTGGCATCTAAAACTCCGGACCGGGGAAGGTTAGGCTGGGCAAAATGTTCCAAGCTTCTGAGGAGATGATATAACAGTCAAGGCCAACTGCAACCCTTTGACGGCAAGGGCCGCCGAACAACACCGGATAGAAGCGAGGAATGTACTAGTAAATAAGTTTGTTATTTTCCCGGTGTTGTTAGTAGCTCAAACCACTTCTTGGTAAACGAGACGCGAGACTTGAGAAACAGCCAAAGGATGCAGCGTCTCATTCCTGTGTTGTTTGCTGGTGTGGCGCTGTGCCAGCACACCATCGACCTTAGCTCCCAGCAATGGACCTTGAAAGGTCCAAATGTTACAGTGCCTGGATCAGTGCCCTCTCAAGCCCATCTAGACCTCTATGCAGCCGGTGCTATCGATGATCCGTTATACGGAGAAAATGACACTGCGCTACTCTGGGTGCAGCGCTCCAACTGGACGTACTCGTCCACTATTAAGAACGTGTAAGAGAGAAACGGAGCGTGCTAAGATAGAACTTTGTCCTAATCGGGTGGCAGGCACCGAGGACATGGATATTCCACATGGCTTGTTTTTGATGGCATTGACACTTTTGCTTCAATCGAGCTATGTGGGAAATTTGTTGCGAACGTTGACAACCAATTCCGCCAGTGGTATTTTGACGTGACAGACATTGTTAGATCTTGCAAAGATGATCCCAAACTGAGTCTCAACTTTGGCTCTGCGTCTAAGATCGTACGGGAAATTGCCCGCCACGGAGACCGTACGTCTTGTCATTTCTCCAAACTAGTATCGGTATTCCTGACCAATCGGTTATAGCTTTACTGAATAGTGTCGACGGTGGATACACAGAAGAATTCTGCTGCAAAGAATTCATGAGAAAAGAACAATCTGACTTTGGCTGGGACTGGGCTCCCAAGATTGCTCCAGCGGGCATTTGGCAACCAGGGCGCGTCGTGCAGCTGAATACTGCATCACCAGCCTATGTGCGCAATGCGTTGATTGATATCTATCGCAAGGATCAAATGAACAACATTCCTCCTGACCAGTCTCAGCCATGGGTGTTTAATGCAAGTCTCGATTACGTAGGCTCATTGCCTAGGGACATCTCTTTGGAACTGATCTTGAACGACGCAAGTGGCCACGAAATTTTGAAGAAACCCTTGGATGATGTTCATCATTCCGACGATACTATCACCGGCAGCGTGATTATCGACCCAAGTCTGGTGGAGCTTTGGTGGCCCATCAACCTGGGCTCCCAACCACTTTATGACGCGTCTATCAAAGTTGTCCATGGTAGCAGCATTGTTGCAGAAGTTAAAAGAAGAGTTGGCTTTCGTACTATTGTTATGAATCTACTTCCAATCACTGAGGAGCAACTCGCTGCTGGGATCGCCCCGGGCTCCAACTTTCATTTCGAGGTCAACGGACATGAGTTCTATGCCAAGGGCTCCAACCTGGTTCCTCCGGATGTATTTTGGCCCAGAGTCAATGAAACAAAAATGAGAAAGTATGTACGGCAGGCAATTATTTGAGAAAACGCGTGCTAACAGTTTATCTAGCTTGTTCGAGGCTGTCGCTGTTGGGGTAAGCTCTCATATTCGGGGAAGGTGTCTTCAGTTAGCTCACACTCACAGAACCAAAACATGCTGCGGGTCTGGTCATCGGGAGCATACCTTCCGGACTGGATTTATGGGATTGCCGATGAGATGGGGATATTCCTGTGGTCTGAGTTCGGTAAGAATTGCAGTACAGAAAACGACGGACCCAGCACTAACTCGGTGACAGAATTCTCTGATGCAGAATATCCTGCTAATGCAAGTTATCTGAGTCAATACAAAGCAGAGGCCTCATATCAAGTTGTATGATATCAACACATCCCCTTGGTAAGGAGCAGATACTGACAAGTCAATTCTGCAGCGTCGCGTCAACCATCACCCAAGTCTTGCACTTTGGGTAGGAGGAAACGAGCTAGAGCAGATTATGCTCGCGTACTTTTTTAGTGCCACCAACCCTGGCACTTTATTGCTCGAGTATCAGCACATCTTCATGGAGCTCCTCATTGGTGAAGTTTACGCAAACACTAGGTCGATCAGCTATATGCCATCCTCGTGAGTACTTACCCATTTTATCATGCATAATTAATTTAGTTAACCACCAACAGAACATACCACGGGTTTTTGAAACTGAACTTCAGCTCCGTTATGCCTCAGGTTCCGCGATATCTGAACACGTCGGGCCCCAATTATATCTATAGCGACACCGGTGAGTTTCATGGAATTATAGGAGACAGACATATGCTGATAAGTGCGTAGACGACTATAACTACGATGCAAGCCAAGCTTTCAAGCTCAGCTCATACCCCATAGGCCGTTTTGCCACTGAGTTCGGCTTCCATTCGATGCCATCAGTATACTCGTGGGAGCAAGCAGTGCCAGCAGATCAGCTATCCTTCTTCTCTGATATGGTCATTCATCATAACCGGCATTATCCGTTTGGAGCCCCAGCAAATGCTACAGATCGTGAACTTTCCATTATGGGACTTGAGGAGATGACCGTGGCTGTGCAGGAATGGTATCCGATCCCGGATATGCAAGACAGTGTGGCAAATTTCAGGTTGGATTATACATAGATCAGCATGAAGATCATTGCTAATAAGAATACAGTGCATGGTGTTGGACAACCCAAGTCTTCCAGGCAGACTACTATACTTCTGAACTGGCCTTTTACCGCCGAGGATCTGGGATGCCGCAACGCAACTTGGGATCATTGTACTGGCAACTGGAAGATCTATGGTATATTTCTTCCCTATTATTTTCTACTACAAACTCTAACAACGCCTAGGACTGCTCCCACTTGGGCCAGCATCGAGGCCGATGGCAGATGGAAAGTCCTGTTCTATCGCGCGAAGGACATCTTCGAGCCGGTGATCGGATACCCATACTACAACACCTCAACAGGTGACTTGGAGGTTTGGGTAACATCTGACCTGTGGTCCCCTGTCCACGGAACGGTCAAACTGACATGGATGGACTGGGCCGGAAAATCACTTTCAGCGCCGAACAGTCCCGTTAGCAAGACCGTTCCTTTCACAGTCGGTGGGGTCAATTCAACTCGCGCCATGCAGACCAACATGTTCCAGGACTACAAAGGCCTCGACCTCAACAACACCATTCTTCGAGTTGAAGTCAATGGAAAGGGTGTAGCACCCAATGATCCTCATGAGAAAGAACAAACATACAGGCACATATCATACTTTCACCCGCAATCGCTCCAGAACGCAAAGCTGCAAGACCCTGTACTGAAGTTGTCGCACGTCCACGGTACCAACACATTCAGTGTTACTGCCACAAAGGGGGTCGCGGCATGGGTTTGGCTAGATTACCCACTAGGCGTACAGGGATACTTTTCCGACAATGGGTTTTGGCTGACTCCGGGCGAGACCAGGAATATCCATTTCACGGTCAAGCAGGACTGGACAGATGGGAAGTGGGATTCAGCTGTCACTTACAGAAGTATCTGGAACAACACTTTGACAGAGTGAGAATATTTGCCTTTTGCACGGGGTCTAATCAGACTCTATAATCTGGCTTGGACATGAACAGGTTACAGTTTAGCATTACCTTTGAATTTCGTGTCTCGAGATAATTGAGAAGTTAGTTGTATAGTTCCAACTTGCCGTTCGGATGAGCGATATATGAAATAACAGACAACCCTCGTTGCTCGCCAAGCTAAATTACCAACTGCTTGTATAAAATTGATTACAAGCCACTATTCTTTAACAACCATCTGGCAGCAATAATTAGTCTGCTTCATTTTACCCCGCGCGCTGGGTTACATCATGCTTGAACTCCCTTATCCAAGTCCGTGCCCTTTACGGAGTATGGTAGTAAGAGACTAAGAAGGACTTTTCCAATCGGCTCCTTCCGATGAGGTAATCCTGTTCGGGCATCTCTCCGCAATTAGTCCGCGTAAGTTTTACTCGCTTAGTGATGGTCTATGCATTAAGTAACTAGTTAGCTGAAATGAATTGGTCATTAGTTCCTTGAGATGATCTACGGAAGCTCGTGTTTTCTGTGGGAGCAATTTAAAAGCCCCTCGCATTAATGACTACATATAGCTAAGTCTATTCCTTGGAAGCAACGCAACTGGTCTGTGGAACAGTTGCTTTTTATATTCGTTGTTGAAAGTCAAGTGCACAATAACATCAATAGCAAGAATGAAGCTAGTATCTCTGGCAGCAGGCCTATTGATTCCTGTGCTTGTTTACGCTGCACCAACATCTTCAAACCCAGTCAATCCCAAGGTCAAGGGCACACCACAAGTACTCGGACTTGTGACAGATCCGTCGCTGGACCGAGACTCGTGCGGCTCTGCCAAATTCAATGACCGTGTCCTCTGGGTGTGTCGAGACACACAGAACTGGGGACCAAATGGTCTACCGACATTCCCACTCATCACGAGCTCCGCCTCATGGACGGAGTACAACTCGCACGGCGGACCACGTCTCGTCACGCCCGCTGGCGCAGACACCGCGGAATACCTGATGTACGGCGACAATAACAACCAGGCATTCTACCCCCTTGTGTACGACGAGTGCAACGAGACGCAATCGGGCCAATGTGGCGATCTCTCGCGCTACGCCCTTTGGCCAGACAGTCCTCCCATGGTCACTATGACCAACCCGGACGCATCGGTGCTTGCATACACGTGGGTGAAAAAGAGCCACATCATGCCTGATCTATCTACTCTAATCGCTGACCCGGCTACGTCCCTTTATCGTGTCAATTATGTCCCCTACCGCGATGGTCCTACCGGTCTGCCGCAGGTGGAAATAGTCAACGAGACATTTTGGGGAGAGAATGAGATCCCCTATGGAGATTATGGCAATGTCGTCCAAGACGGAACAGCCTATTTATATGGTCAAAACTCCAACGGGACCATTGCGCTTGCCAAGGTGGACCCGCTGGACATCGAGAAGAAATGGATGTATGAGTATTGGGATGATGGCTCCTGGACTTCGCAGCAGCCTGCGAGCGACGATCCAAGCATTAATATCCCCAACGTCACGGCCGGTGGTCAGGGCACGTTCTACTGGTCCGACTCATGGCAGTCGTTTGTGTGGATCGGTCAGCATAGTCGGTCTGTCTCGGCGGACTTTTACATCACCACAGCTCCTAAACCGCAGGGCCCGTGGACTGAGCCTGTCAATTTTTATTCAGGTGTCAATGGTAACTATACCCTGGGCGCTTATACATTGCAGGCACATCCTTCTCTTACTACCCCGTGGGGCAATGATATTTATTTGACATATACCAAGACGGACGTTGTGGATGGACAGGCTATTTATTCTCATCCGTTGATTCATGTGCAATGGGAATGACCGGAGCACGGGAGTATAGTTGTTGCTGAATGATCGGTGCTATATCTTTGAATTCAAGTTAGTCTACGTTGAACAGGCAGATGTGTATACCACGGGAATTTAGGACGCTCCAAGTCACTAATAATATATATTCCGGCATGGATACCTCCTCGGAGGACTAGTCTCACCCAAAAAAACCAACTAAAAATAACTAAAACCTAACCCCCTCACTTAGGGTCATCGCCCATGACCGTTTTCTTAACGAGGGCGCCGCAAAGCCCAGCTAACGCTTTGAGAGCCTCTCGTCGGCCCTCTGCAGCGGCGGCCGGAGGACGAATCCAGGCTGGGGGAGGATTGGGGACACTCCATCCAGGAGGGAGCGGCACTAGCCGGACGTCAGTGCTGGGAAAGAGATAGAAATTTTCCCTGTTCTTCTCGGGGTCTTCGGCTTCAAGGAGAACTGAGAGGCGGCCCGCTTCATCATTATCCAGTGTTGTTAGCGTGGCCACTAGTATATTGGGAGCTCCCATGAACTATTCTACCTTGGCCTTTCTGCTTCTTCCGCAGCCACTCGTGCGTAAGCGCCGTCTGAGGGGAGATGCCGGCGGCGGCGGCGTAGTAGGCGCTAATATCATGAGATTTTCAGCCAAGATCTAAGAGTAGGGCGGCTGAGGAGCACAGCGATGTTCGAAACTATTCAAAGCGCCATCTAAAGCCACAGCGATATAAAACAGAACTTACGGACGGAGGCAGAGCTTCAGGAAAAGGCAAGCCAGGGTGACAAAGATGATGCCGGCAATCACCGACATCAGAATCCAGAACCCGAGGGGCATGTCGGCGGCGGCCATAGCGGCGGTGGCGGTGATGGTGGGAATGGTGCGGGTGGTTCTGACGCAGGTGACGTTGGTGTTGATGTTGATGCTGATTGATCCAGGTGGTGCTCAGGGGGTGGTAAAGCTGTTAGATACACACAGAGGTCCGTTCCTGGTAAATCACTAGATGACGTCCGTCGCTTCCCAATTAACGACGAGTTACATCTATTCCGTTGCACTTGCCCATCCTATGAGCTCTGTGCCTTGTTGCTTTCTCTTCAAGCCATTCAGAGCTTCAAATAACGAATGATTACGATGCCCTCGGATTCAAGCAAGGGCGAGGTCTTAGGAGGTTTAGAGATCAACTCGATACTATAGCAATACAGAAATTCGGTATCTCCTAGTCTAATTTTCAAATGCCTAGCTAGTCAGGCGTAAGCAACGATTCTACCGCATCCAGGATTTATTCCATCGACTAGGCTTCACGAAAAACCCATCTGTCATCTTCAAAAGATAAGCCGGGTTCCAGGATCGAAGGCTTTCGCCAAGTTCCTTTTCGGCCTTCTGCTTCTCCTCCGCCGAAACGTCAAATCCTCGGTAATGAGAGCAGCACCAACAATCCCAGGTACAGTGTCCAATTCCTTTCATCTTTTCAGAAGTCAAATAGCGTTGAGCACAGCATCCACAACCTCTGCTACAGCATCCGCCACGATCTTTGCAGTCCTGGATCAGCTCGTGTCGCATATACCAATCTGGATTCCGCCTCAAGGAATCATAGTTCTGTTTCAATGGACGCTCGGGGATCATTGACTCGGCAATATAAAGCCGATGCTCCTGAAGTCTATATTTCTTTTGAACCTCCTCTAACTCCGTATTCAGTTGAGCGAACTGAATCTGGTGGACTTCGATGCTGGACACCTTTTTTAATGCTTTCATCTTTTTCTGTAGCATTTCTATTCGTTGGCCTGACACTCGGAGAGCATACTCGTTGCAGATGATAGAAATGAATAGCTCACGGTCGTACTTGAACGAGCCATATTGAAGGCGTCTATCGAGGTCATGTTCCACATACTCATATTCTTCTGGAGTCCAGTATTGATCTACTGGCTGGAATTTCCGGCCTCTGAATAAATCAAAACGAGAGCGTTTGAACATGTCCTGAGGTGCCATTTTTGAGTGAATGATGGCGTCCAGCAATGCATGATTTTCGATACGGGAAATGAGTGGCCGATTTATAAAAGGCAAGAAATCTTATGACGAGTGAGTGATACTTCCATGAGTTTCGTTATCTAGCAGGCCGCCGCCTAATAATGATTCCAAACCCGTGGTAGCATCTCAGTACCCAGCTAATTTAGGTAAAGTGGAAATCCCATGGTCAGACCTGGTCCCATCAGTCAAGAAACATTTGTAAATAATATATTATAAAAACTACATAACAGTTTGTATCGAGACTCAACTACGATTAGAATCATGTAAGGGTCGGCTACTAAATGGCGCTTAGCCTAAGTACAACCGGGCTTGGCGCCTCGTGCGCCGAACTGTGGAGAGCCGAGTTCGGACAATAGCCGACTCAACTCGGGAACTTGCTGCTTGCCCGACTGACGTATTTATTCCTTCGTTCAACGACAACCAGCAGGCAATTGACTGACTATATGTTAAGTCAAGCTTAACATGGCCCTGCTCCACACTCTGCCAAGACGGGCGCCCGCATGGCGGCTGCCGGCGTTGGCGAGACGCTTCTCAACCTCTCCCCGCCACGCCAACTATGCGGACACGCTGCCCAATCTCAAGATTGGCGCCCACACGAGGGTGCTCTTCCAGGGATTTACGGGGCGACAGGCTACGGCTAATGTGAAGGAGTCGCTGGAATGGGGCACGAAGATCGTCGGCGGTGTCAAGCCGGGGGTTGAGGGCGAGCACCTGGGCTTGCCGGTGTTTCCGTCCGTCAGCGCTGTATGTGTTTGGTGCCGGGACTAAGGATGTAATCACGACAGATTGAACTAATTTTTATTTTCAGGCCCAGCAGAGAGCCAAGCCCGATGCCTCGGCCATCTATGTGCCCGGTAACCAAACGGCAAAGGCCATTGAGGAAGCCATTGAGGCGGAAATTCCGCTGGTTGTGGCTGTGGCCGAGCATGTTCCAATCCATGATATCCTCCGGGTATGATTTATAGTACCTTCAGTCATGCTCTCCTAGCTAACTCATGTCAGATCCATTCCATGTTGCAAACGCAATCTAAGACCCGTCTGGTCGGAGCCAATTGCCCGGGCATCATCTCTGCCATTGGTAAGTGCCGAATTGGGTTCCAGCCGCTGCCATGCTTCGCGCCCGGGAACATTGGCATTATCGCCAAGTCGGGCACTCTCAGCTACGAAACCGTGGCCTCGACGACGCGGGCAGGGCTTGGACAGAGCCTCTGTATTAGTATGGGCGGCGACGTGTTGGCCGGTACCAATTTTGTCGATGCTCTTCGCATTTTCGAACATGATCCTGATACCCAGGGGATTATTCTTGTTGGGGAGATTGGTGGTGTTGCAGAGATGGATGCTGCGGAGTGGATTCGAGATTATCGGAGGAGGACTCCCAACCCGAAGTAAGTATTCTCACTCTTTATTCTGAATACAGAGAAGGTTCATACTGATCCTGTTTAGGCCTATAATGGCTCTCATTGGCGGATTGGAAGCTCCTCCTGGGCGCATCATGGGCCATGCTGGTGCTTGGGCTGCTCCTGGAGAACCGGACGCACAGACGAAATACCAGGCCCTGGAACGTGCCGGAGCAGTCATGGTCAATCACCCGGAGAAGTTTGGTGAGGGCATGAAGACTCTCCTGAGTAATGGTGCTCGGCCGGGCACAAGTGTACGTTTTGGTCTCCTTGCTTCCACCATCAATATGCTGACATGACTGGCAGCCTCTCTCGGGAACAGGCTCGCAAAGACGAGGTCTGCACACCCTGAGGCGAGTTATCCCATCCCCAAAGTCAACCACCCAGCAGAGACGCAGCCTGTACATCAAACAATTCCAGGCTCTGGAAATCCTCAAACAGAAAGCCGTGCTTGTGAAAGACACACCGGCAGCACCTTCTGATAAATCTATTTCGATTACGGTCGACCGAACTGCCTTGTCACCATGCATCATTGCCTCTCCAACTGCAGATTTCGACTCAACTCAGTCCCGCAAATTCCCATTCAGTTACACCCAAACCAACTTTGTAAATAGCCCCGTCATTGCCGCAGTGGCCTCGCACTTGGGTCTCCCGGACTCGGCACACAGCAAGCTGGCAAGCCTGGTTCAAGCACTGTGGGAGATCTTCACGGAGAAAGAGGCTTTCGTGCTGGAGACTCGGGTGGACATATCGGCCACTAGTGATATGGAAGTTCACGGCGCACGGTTTGGCTTTGATGATGCTGCATTCCGCAGCTCCGGTCGCCAGGAAGAGATCCATCGTCTGCGGAACACGGCCGAGGAAGTTCCAGAGGAGGTTGAGGCTGAGAAGGACGGGATTGTATACGTTAAGTATGAATGCTCTACTAGTCCATAATCCCCCGGTACTAACCGTAGCAGGTTGGAAGGCGAAGGCAGTGTCGGCACGCTGGGTAAGTTTTCCTTCGCCTGATACCCCAGTAACTATAGCGACTAATAGAGATGATATAGTCAACGGAGCCGGCCTAGCCATGAACACAGTCGACGCCCTAACAATCCACGGCGGCCACTGCGCCAACTTCCTCGACACGGGCGGCAAGGCCACCTCAGAGACCGTCAAGTCGTCGTTCCGGATCATCTGCTCGGACACGCGCGTGAAGGCGATTTTCGTCAACATTTTCGGCGGGTTAACGCGCTGCGACATGATCGCCGAGGGTATCATCCTGGCATTCCGGGATCTGGATATGAAAGTGCCGGTGGTGGTACGGTTGCGTGGCACGAATGAAGAAAGGGGACAGAAGATGGTAAGTTTTTTGTTGGTCTTGTGTATGTCATTTCTTGCTCGACTCATCTGATTGTGCCTGTATAGATTGCCGAGAGTGGACTGCCGCTGCATGCATTTGATGGATTTGAAGCGGCCGCAAAGAAGGTGATTGCATTGGCCAAGAGTACATAGTTAGTTCGTTAGACGTAGAAAGGGTCCCAGGTTACATATAGATTGCAATCGCACCCCTCCCTCCTCGTGCCCCAGACAGGGTTGCCTCAGGTGTCTATCCCCGGCCCGCCTTCTCCACGATCGCCCGAGTCTGACGCCATTACTCTAAATCTTGTCTTCTAGACCCTGTCATCTCTACCCCGGCCCCCAATCTCTTCACACCACTCTTTTTGACCCATCCTCTTCTTCACCTATGCCCTCGCCCGCCCTCCCGCACCATGTCTGACCCCCGAGCCGAGCTGCAATCTACTCTCCGCAGCCTATCCATTGGCTCCAAGGGTCCTGTGCAGGACATTCCACGGCCGACCCCGCCCCGATCCTCCATCGCCGGGTCCGCAACATCAACCTCAAAGCCCAAAAAGCCTCCCAGAGCAGTCGCCGACTCCTGGGAAGACGAGGCGGAGCTCTCCGCCGACGACAACGACCTCCAGTCACCAGTCGACGGTCCCTCGTCTTTGTTCTCACGAACGATCAGCGGCGAGGGTCCGCTCGATCCCCCGCCGACCCCGATCTCGCCCCAGACGTCTCAACCCGGAGCGGCGGGGTGGTATTCCTCGTCGCCGACCTCGGCTGGCGGGTACGGTGCTGCGCCGCAGTCGGGTGGCACCTCGAGGCGGCCGGAGAAACAGACCGCCGTTGCGGGACGATTGATTGCCGGTGCGTTAGGGATTAGGGCACCGAAGCGCACGGAGGAGCAGAGGTCGTATGACCGTGCCGTGAAAGAGCAGGAGATACGGAGGCGGGAGCGCGAGCGCGAGGAGCTGGCCAAGGCGAAGGAGGAGGAAGAGAAGCTCAAGTCGTCGGTGTGGAATGATTGATTATCGTTTGGATTTTAATTTTGCTTCTACTTTTGCTTTTTACTTGCTATTTGGGGGGCTTGTTTCTCTCCTTCATTTCTCCTTTTGTTCCTGTATAGGCGCTGCTACTGCATGGTTTGATTGGCCTTTGGAAGGGATCGCTACTGGGAACGGTCCGGTGCGCTGTTGGTTGGTTTACTGCTTCTTTTGAACGCCTTCGGGCCCTTGTGAGATGTATTTATAGACTCTGGGCATTTGAGCCCGGTGCTTTCTGTAGTGCTGAGTGAATGACTCCAAGTGTCTCTTTCCGGTTGCTGGAACTAAAGGGGTTACAGTATGTACGAGGTAACCATTCGACCAGAATGAAAAGCAAGACACAGAGTCCATAATGTCTACACCGTATATCCAGTGTATGCGACCGACTGTCCGAGAGACCAGAGAGACTTTCTTTAAATTCGTTGACTCGTTAAAAAAGCAGCATCAACACCCCGCGAGACACACCGCCGACAAAAGAACCCAGCGAGTCCGTTCGCACTTGATACATGTAGGATCATCCAGTGCGCTCACGACGGTTCGCCTCGCAGATGCTACACTCCCCATGTGTGGTGAGGCGCAGCGCTCTAGCCTCCGATCTGCTCCTGGTGGACTTCCAACGTGTCGCCATCAGCCATGTCGAGCTATAAAAATTGCCAAGTTAGTTTCTTCTCGAGACTTGAGATCAACGCAAGGAGACAGGGAGAAAGAAAGAGACATACCGTGTCAGGCGTATCCTCTGGCCGAACGCGGGTGCCGTCAAAGAGGAAGCGAACGGTGGCAATCTGCTTGCCCTGGCGCTCGCAGAAGGCATCCATCAGCTTCTTCAGCTGGGTGGACCGCTTGATCTTGAAGAAGACTTCGTTGTGGTTGTCGGTCACCTTGATGTTGAGGTGCTGGGTCTCCCCGGGCGCTGAGCCCTTGTCTCCTTCTTCGGTCATTTTGGCTGAGTCTGTGGCGGGTCAGAGATGGTTCAGGTCGCGGAGGCGCGTGCGATGCGATGCTTACGCGGAAACGAAGACGATGATTAGAAATGCGCGGGGCAGAATCAAGTGGCGTTTGCGACTCTTGAGAAAATGGTCAGTTTGGAGGTCTGGAGGGGGATTATTTTGGGGATTGGAGTACTCACTGGGGACGATGAGTAAAGCAACGATGGGGGGAAAGACAGAAGTCCAAGAGGCGAGTTTGGAGAGAGAAGGAAGGAAGGAAAGAGACGAGGTTGAGCGCGAAAGAGGGAAGATATCAGGCCCGGATAATCTACTTTTTCCGTGCCTGGTTGGCCGGATGCTGCAACTCCCTTTCTCTGTGATCTCATTGTTGCCTTTGTACATTTCTTCGTGATGGTAGGAGAATTACTCTGATTGTCTCACCCATCCACACACTGACCGGTCGCCGCAGGGCAATCTCAAGCAGGATCTGGCCCATGATCCTCCCTGCCACCCGCGTGCGGTAAGTGTTCACTCTCCTCTTTTCTATCGGTCTCGGACTGACCGACTGACGTGACTCTCTACCAGTGCGCCATCCAAGGTAATTACACCTCTCAATAGACCTACCAGACCATCTCTGACCGAGACAGACTGCCTGACCAAGAACGGCTACAAGGAGGACAAGTGCCAGGCACAGATCGATGCCCTGTATGAATGCTGCAATGCCTTCTACCAGGCCCAAGGGGACACGGCGTCGACCGTGAGCTGTCCCAAGGCCAACTTGTTGCGACTGAAGATGAGGCAACGGGCGAATAATAATAATAATAACAACAATCATAGTTGAATGAATGTACCAGTGCCTACAAGCTGAGCCCCCATGAAGAGAGAACTAGGCTAGTTGTAAGAACTGGCGAAGCTGCTCTAAGACAATCTTGAGCACGCTGAGAGGCCCCAATGGACCTGAGCAAACATGGAGTAAATTTTCGCTCCGAGACTCTAATGATTGCCTAATGACATTTGTGGAAGAAAGAAAGAGGAAGAGAAGCGGAAAATGAGAAAAATATGTGCCCGAATCCCCACTAGACCCGATCGCGTTAGTTCGTTCGCCGGCCAACCAACGCGCTCAACAACGCAAAAGAGACAAACACCACGACCGACTTTCTTCATCAACAACATCCACCACCCATGGCGCCGCTGACTCGCTCTGCGGCTTCGGGCCCGAATGTACGCCAGGTCAGTATGCTGCGATCACTGCTCCAGCTTCCTGCTAATGGCTTCCTCACAGGCTGCCCGTGCTCCGGCCAAGGCACAGGAAGTTATCGACATCGATGACGACGAGGAGTCCGTCGAGGAAGACGAGGACGAGATCCTCGGCGATGAAGAAGAGCAATATGAGGACGAGGACGAGGACGAGGAAATGGACGAGACGATGGACGACGTGACCGGCGACTCGGACGCGGGATCCGGCGTCCCTCTCCTCGAGCCCCGTCTCAAGTCAGTTTCCGGCCTGCTGAGCAAAACTCAAGGTAGGTTTGCAGAATCTCTTGGTCGCATCCTCAAGACTGACCGCCACCAGGTTCCCCCGAGCTGTTTACGGCCACGAGCGCCCAGGAAGCATTGCAACCCCTTCGCCGGACCGCCGACCGCGTCACTCGCCAGATCGAAGCTTTCGCGGACAAACTCGATCAATTTAAGCGGAAAAACACGACAGATGAGTTCCAAAAAGTCCAGGCAGCGTACAAGCTCGTGGAGGGCTATCGCGACCTAGCGCAGAACGCCATGCAAGACATCCACAAACAACAAACCCTGAAGCGAGCCAAGATGGGGTATCGGTCGAGCGGGTCGCACGACACCAAGACCGAAGAGGAGCTGCAACGGCTGCAGCTGGAGGTCGACACCTGGCGCCTCTTGCTTAATCTCATCAGTATTGACGATCCCGCCAGCCGGGCTGCTTTCAAGGAGGGCCGGCAGGCGGCCTTCCAGAATCTCCACCGGTACTCGTCGGACCGCGAGGTCTGGGAGGAGTTCTTGGCCGCGGACCAGTACGGACTCGAGTGCGTGGTCGCCATGCGATGGCTGGAGGAGACGGCGAAGACCGGAAACCAAGATCTCGACCTGCTGATCACCGACATGGAAGCTCAAGCGGAAAGAGGCCAGGGTTTATGGGCGCATGGATGGCTCTTCACCAAGGAAGCGATCAAGGGACATAAACGCCTGCGCGCGTGGCCACAACCTCTGGATCCGAACGAGCCGGGGGTCTCGCGTGCTCTGCAGAGCAGCGACAAGCAGAAGCCCTTGATCACCCAGCTAGATCCCGACGCGCTCACTCGGCAAAAACAGGATCTTCAGAAGCAGGATGAATTCTATGAGCGCGCCACCTGGATGACGTGCTGGAAGATGTTGAGACAGGGCGAGAACTGGACCAAAATCCGCGACTGGGCTCGGGGCCGCATGGAGAATTGGAGAGCAGTCAGCCTGTGTGGTTCCAGCGTGGACGACACTCACGGTGTCAATACTCGAACGCCCGCCGATGATGGCATGACTCGCATGATGAATAGTCGCTCGAACGAGTCGTGGCGTGCCGCCTGCTCAGCCCTGACGCGCAGCTCCAACACGGATGACTTCGAGCGTGCCGTGTATGCGCTGCTCTGTGGTGAGACCGAGGCTGCCGCCAAGGTCTGTCGGAGCTGGGATGACTACCTCTACGTTTACTTCAATCGCGTCGTGCTGTCGCGCTACCAGGGATTCTGCAAGCAGTTCCAACGGAAGCTGAGCCATTCTCCCAACACACCTGTCGCCTACAAGCCGGAACCGGCTGGACACACAGACCTGCAAAAGTTCCTCCAGTACCTGAGGGGCAATGATCAGGTCGGCGGCGAAGCGCGCAACCCCTTCCGCAATCTCCAAGCCGCCATCTTGAGCAAAGGATACGATACATTTTTCTCGGCCCTCGCTCACGCGATTTCTCAAGTCAGTGCCAACAAATTCGGAGCAGCCTCCATCGTTCCGGAGTTGGCCCGTGAGCCAGTGGATGAGGCTTTCCTCATTGCTGCCGAAGACGAAGAGGCGTTGAAGATCGCTACTCACATCTACGTGGCCGTCAGCTCCCTTGGATACGCTTCCTCAGACCCTCAATTCTTGGAGATGGCGTCGGTGATCGTGGCCGGATACATTGCGAATCTGGAAGTGATGGATCTCTATGACCGCATCCCGCTGTACGCGTCTCTCCTGCCGACAAAGATGGCCCATAGCGTCTTTTCGAAGATTTTGATCGATATTGTTGATCCCACTCAGCGGAAACAACAGCTCCGGCTCATGCAGAAGCACGGCATCGATGTCGAGGCTGTCCTCGACGTTCAATGGGCGTGGCTGAGTGCAAAGGTGTCTACCATCGAGCGCGCCAGTGCCGTGACTGGGTATTCGCGGGTGAAACGGCAGAAAGATGGTCTCGTGCTGAACGCTGTCAAGAAGGATCTGATTGGGACGGACATCACCGACGAGGACGAAAAGATGATCCGCAGTCTCGAATGGGTCCGCTCGTCGAACAATCAATTCCTCAAGATCGCCGAGCGTTGTGCTTGGATGTACCGGAAATTCTTTGGTATGTTCCCAGACAACATGTGTTTGGTTGTCTGATGATGCTAACCTGTTATATAGTTGCTGGCAAACTTGCCGCTGCTCGTGAATTGGCTCAGCGTATGCCCATGGGCGAGATCTCGCAGGAGACTTTCGGGTCCGATATTTTCCAGTTCCCGCCCCAGGAAGACGACTCCGGGGAAGGGTCTGTCCCGGCCAGTCCGACTAAGTCACGGAAGAACAGCGTTCACCGACGGAGCCTGTCGGGCTCCAACGGCGCTGCACAACCGAAGCCGACTGGCCTGTATGCGACCTATCTGCGATCTGCCAAGACTTCCGATCTGGAGTCTTTGATCGCTGGATTCGACACGCTGGAACAGTTTGCCGTTTTGCATGAGCAAATCTCCAAGTGAGTGTCCTCTTCGTAGTGTGGCCGATGCAAACAAAAGCTCATCAATCAATCCAGGACAAAACGCCGTCGAGACTCCGGCACTCTTCAGACACTTTTTGGCGACATGTCTGATGTGATGGCGGATATCGAAGTCAACATTGGATGTGTGGTCGAGGACGACTGGCTGGCTGAGAGCCCCGACAGTACGTGCATTTCTTTCCACTTCACGATCCTCTCTAACCCTGACCGTGTGTAGCCGACGAAGAAAAAGACTTCGAGTACATCCGCCGGACCTACCTCCCAGAATTGCTGCTCGACTATCACAACGCGTTGTACTACGCCAGCAACACCCTAGGGGAAGGGAATCTCCTCATGCAGTGCATGACCGTTTCGATCTGGATCGCCAGCAAACCACATCTGACCCGCAGCTTCACCGAATCGAAGCGCATGGCCGAGCTGGTCGAGGCGCTTGCGTGTTCCAGTAAGGCGATGGTGCTCGACAAGACGATGAAGGACCGCCATTTGGAGTCTGGGCAGTACCCTTTTATCTGGCAGGTCAAGGCGGAGGAAGAGAGTGGCAGTGAGGTGCCACAGTAGCCATCTATCTCTCTTGTGTGTTGTGTTATGTTGTACATTAGCATGGGTTTATCAGAACTGGGAGGAAGAACCCTTCGAATTCGATACGAATACGAGTGGGAGAGAACATCTATGATAGGAGAGAAAGACAATTGGCATCAATCTCAATGGACTACAAATACATCATCTCTTTCATAGCTCGTGTCTCATCGTCGCCTGTCTGCTAGTTCGTTCACCTATCCACTACTCATATGGCTCCATCAGCGTATTCGCCAACACCTTGGCTGGAAAAGCCTCCTCGCCCAACGCCGTGGTATGCGCCCACGGCTTCAGGCCATTCTCACGCCGAATGGTCGCCGCAAAGCAGTTGCTCCAGTGGTGGCGCGGGAAATGGGCGCAGACGTCCTTGATCGTGTCCCGGTGGACCAGATCGGCATAGGTGCCCGTGTTGTCTATTCCGGAGTGGTTAATGATCAGCATCCACCGAGATTTGTTTAGGTTTAGCTTCCCGGCATTTCTTCCCCTTCTCTTCTCCCTCTACAAATATACATATTTCCAGGCTATAGTGATGATTGGCGGAAGACAAGTACTTACCAAAGATAGTCGCCAACTGCAATAGCTGGCCTAGTGCGGTAATCTTCCCGACCTCGCATAAATCCTGGTGTCGGATAATAGCCTCGACCACGCTCTCGGCCTGGTCGCGCGACGCCACACCTGCCGGAGCTCCGCCCTGGCCATTTCCGCCGTCTCCGCCGACATTGTCGTTGGGATTCTTCTGAAGCACATCCATAGCAAGCAGTCCCCCAAAGAACTCAAAGCTCAAATGCGTTGCGGTGATGTTCTCCTCTGTAGTTCCGATATCATGCAGCACGCACGCCAGGAAGTATGTTTCATCGGAAAATTGCCAGTCTGCCTGTGCCGCGAACCGGTACTGCTTGATCGCGAGCCCGAAGTGGTACACGCGCAGCGAGTGGTTGTATGTCGGCTCGGGGAGACGCGCTTTGGCGTAGCTATTGATGCGCTGCGCCAGTGGTGTGTTTGGGATTGGGGTCGAGGTGACGGGGATTGGGCTTGGTTGGCTGGTAGGTGCTGGGTAGGCGGGTGTTGACGTTAGGAGGGTTGTGGCAGAGGCGGGGACGGAAGTGAAGCCGTGGGTGGTTATGGGGTTGGGCATTGTGGTGGTAGTGATAATGGTGGTGATGGTGGTTGGGTTGTAATTGGGAAGAAGAGGTGAGGTGAAGCAGGGTACACGCAGCGACTCTACAGGTAGGAGATGGTGGCAACGAGGATGATGATGATGTTGTGAGTTAGTTAGGACTATAGATTAATAATAGCGAGTCCAGACTGATGATGATTCTTCATCCAAGGAGAAGTACTAACTAACTCTACCGGACTGTGGTAGAAGAGGTTAATAGTGACTCCAGTAACTAATCATCTGTGGATCCAAGCCGGATGGGTCGGGCAGTGTCGAGGGTCTTGGCAATGAGGCAGTGCAAACGCTATGAGCTTGTCTTGGGAGACAGTCCTCGTGAGGAAGATGGAAGCCATGAATGATTCTATTGATACTCAAGCTGAAGGGAGGAAAGAGTTCAATAATCCACTAGCTAGTGATCACTGACTGTCTTTTCCAATCCCTGTGCTTGGTGCTCCTACTCTCGTGGCTGGAGCAAAACATCGCCCGATCGGCACAAAGGGGTTGACCTCATCGGTTTCGGCATCCAAGCCTTCTCTTCTCCCTTTTCGCCCTTCGTTGCTCCTCACTCTCCCTCTCTTCCCTCCCATGGGACCTATCTCTACCTCTCTCCCTCCTGCGTCCTTCCAGCCACCTCACTGCCGCGCGACTGCTATCTCCATGAGCGCGAGGCCAGCGGTAGATGAGTCGGCGTGATCTGCGATCCTTTCTTCACCATGTCCGACTCGCGAGCAGAGGACGACGAGCCAATCCCCTCTCCCTCCACGCCGCTGCGCCGGGAACGGGCCCCAACCATCACCATTGACACGTCCGCCGTGAGCACCCCGGATACCGCCCACCCACCGATCCAGATCCTCTCGGGTCCGCCACCGGCCTCGCTCCAGCTCTCCACAGACAATGTCGATGCCACCGACACGAGCGCCCTGCTCAACAACGGCAATGTCTCCCCCACCGACATGCGGTCCCCAGGATCCATCCGCTCCAGCGCCTCGTTCGAGAACCCACGTCGCGAATCGAGGGACCGAGAGAGTCGGCCAACCTCGCCACATAATATCTCCTCGCCCAAGACCAAGGCCCCCGAGACACATTCCAATTACCTCGCCGTGCCCGGGACGCGCTCGCGCGGCAATTCGTTAGAGTCCGAGGACACCAGCCAAACATCGAGCACTTACGGCGGAGACACCTACGTGCAGACAACATCACCATCTGATACCACCAAGTGTACAAATGTCGATGACGAGGACGCACTCAAGCCCGATCCGGACCACGAATCTGATTTCGTCGTGGAGGATAACAAGTTCGCTTTCTCGCCTGGCCAACTAAACAAGCTGCTGAATCCCAAGAGCCTGGGCGCGTTATACGCTCTCGGTGGACTGCGCGGGTTGGAAAAGGGGCTACGGACGAATCTGCGAAGTGGACTGAGTGTGGATGAAACGGTATTGGATGGGACAGTCGACTTTGATGATGCGGTTTCGACCGCTCCAATGCCCAAGTCGGCTTCACCATCACCAACCTCGCCCACTGGGGACAACCGGCCAGGGACGGCAGGAACACATAAGGATAAGGCGCCACACCAGTTTTCAGATCGGAGACGGGTATATGGCGATAACCGATTGCCGGAGAGAAAAACGAAAACTATTTGGGAGCTGGCCTGGATTGCGTATAACGACAAGGTGCTTATCTTGCTGACCATCGCTGCTGTCGTTTCCCTTGCTGTGGGAATCCCGCAGTCCATCCATCCGAAGAACGGCGAGCCGGGTGTGGAGTGGGTCGAAGGCCTTGCGATTATCATTGCCATTGTTGTTGTGGTTGTGGTCGGTGCTGCCAACGACTGGCAAAAGGAACGACAGTTTGCCAAGCTCAACAAGAAGAAAGAGAATCGACGGGTCAAGGTCATGCGGTCCGGGAAGACGGAGGAAATTTCCGTCTATGATATTCTTGTCGGCGATGTGATGTACCTGGAACCGGGCGATATGGTGCCTGTGGACGGAATCTTTATCGACGGTCACGATGTCAAGTTTGATGAGTCTTCTGCGACGGGCGAGTCAGATCTTCTCCGAAAAACCGGTGGTGATGAGGTCTACAAGGCGATCGAACACCACGACAACCTGAGAAAGATGGATCCCTTTATCGTGTCAGGCGGCAAAGTTTCCGAAGGCATGGGAACGTTTCTGGTCACTGCCACCGGTGTTCACTCGTCTTACGGCCGGACGATGATGTCTCTCCAGGAAGAGGGCGAAACCACCCCGTTGCAAACGAAGCTGAACGTGTTGGCCGAATACATTGCGAAGCTTGGTCTCGCCGCGGGCCTGCTGTTGTTCGTGGTGCTTTTCATCAAATTCCTCGTCCGACTCAAGTCCATGGACGGCGGCGCCGACGTCAAAGGCCAGGCCTTCCTTCAGATCTTCATTGTGGCCGTCACCATCGTCGTCGTGGCCGTACCTGAAGGCCTACCACTCGCGGTCACGCTTGCTCTCGCTTTTGCCACGACGAGGATGATCAAGGATAACAACCTGGTGCGCTTCCTCAAGGCGTGCGAGACCATGGGCAATGCCACAACCATTTGCTCCGACAAGACCGGAACACTCACAGAAAACAAAATGAGCGTTGTTTCTGCGACTCTCGGCACATCTTCGAGGTTTGGGGACAAGCGTGGTGGTTCATCCGATCAGTCGGGCGATGTTTCTGCTTCTGAGTTCGTGTCCACACTTTCGTCGCCTGTTAAGGACCTCCTACTCAAGTCGATCGTGCTCAACTCAACTGCCTTCGAAGGCGAGCAAGAAGGTGTGAAGACGTTCATCGGATCGAAAACAGAGACTGCGCTTCTTTCCTTCGCCAGGGAATACCTAGGTATGGGACCACCGAGCGAGGAGCGTGCAAACACCAAGCTTGTGCAGATGTTCCCGTTTGACTCCAGCCGCAAATGCATGGCCGTAGTCATCCGGATGGAAAATGGAAAATATCGCATGCTGGTGAAGGGTGCCGCAGAAATCTTGACTTCCAATTCTACTCGCATCTTGCGTGATCCTACCAATGACCTGTCCGAGGTCTCGGTGGACGATGAAACCCGGACCTCGCTGGAGAACATAACGGAAACCTATGCGTCGCGATCTCTGCGATGCATTGGCCTGGTGTACCGTGACTATGAGCAATGGCCACCCCGTGGGTTCCCGACCCAGGAAAACGACCGTCAGTTGGCGGTTTTCGAACCTCTCTTCAAGGACATGACGTTGTTCGGCATCTTTGGCATCCAGGATCCCGTCCGACAGGGAGTTGCCGAAGCTGTCAATGTGTGCCAGCGCGCTGGAGTGTTTGTGCGGATGGTGACAGGTGACAACCTCACGACGGCCAAAGCCATTGCCCAAGAGTGTGGCATCTACACCCCCGGTGGTCTTGCCATTGAAGGCCCTCGGTTTCGCCGGTTAAGTCCACGTCAAATGAACCAACTCCTTCCACGGCTGCAGGTTATTGCGCGGTCAAGTCCAGAAGACAAGAAGATTCTGGTCAATCAGCTCAAGAAGTTGGGAGAGACTGTCGCCGTGACGGGAGATGGAACCAACGATGCCCAGGCGCTCAAAACCGCCGATGTTGGCTTTGCCATGGGTATTACCGGGACTGAGGTCGCCAAGGAAGCGTCCGATATCATTCTGATGGACGACAATTTTGCCTCGATCGTCAAGGCCATGGCTTGGGGTCGCACTGTGAGCGACGCTGTCAAGAAGTTCCTCCAATTCCAAATCACTGTCAACATCACTGCTGTCGTCCTTACTTTCGTGTCGGCCGTGGCCAGCAGCAGCGAGGATTCGGTCCTCAGCGCGGTTCAGCTGTTGTGGGTCAACCTCATCATGGACACTTTCGCCGCTTTGGCCTTGGCGACGGATCCTCCTTTGCCATACGTTCTCAACCGCAGACCCGAGTCCAAGTCGATGCCACTTATCACTCTGACAATGTGGAAGATGATCGTCGGACAGGCCATCTATCAGTTGGTTGTGACGTTCGTCCTCAACTTTGCTGGCCAGTCTATCTTCCCTTGGGATGAAGGCCATATGCAGACGGTTGTTTTCAACACCTTTGTCTTCATGCAAATCTTCAACCAGTACAACAGCCGCCGCATTGACAACAACCTCAACATCTTGGAGGGTGTCCTCAAGAACAAGTGGTTTTTGGGTATCCAATTCATCATCATTGGCGGTCAAGTGCTGATCGCCTTTGTTGGTGGCGCGGCATTTTCCGTATCGCGCCTCGACAAGGGCTCCTACTGGGCTGTCAGCTTGGTTCTGGGTGCCATTTCGGTGCCAATTGGGGTAGTGATTCGCCTCATTCCCGATGAATTCATCAGAAAACTCATCCCACACCTCTGGCACCGCAAACAGCGCCCCGAAGTTGTTGTTTCGGACGAAGACCGTCGCTACGAGTGGAACCCCGCCCTCGAAGAGATCCGCGACCAACTAGCCTTCATCAAGAGGGTTCGCGGAGGCCGACTGCGACATATCAAGCACAAGCTCCAGAATCCGCAAGAATTGCTGCCTCGCTCACGCAGCAACTCCCGCTCAGCCGATTCTTCCGCGCCCCCCACCCCCAACGACGACAATGGCAGCCCGACTCCTCAGCCAGCCACACCGGAGTCTCGGACCCGCCGCAACACACGCTCCCGATCCAACTCCACATTCGGCCCCGCTGCCGCCATGGCCGGTGTCATCGCTGGCAGTATTGCCGGCTGGTCACCCATCGAGCGCCCTCAAGACATGACTTTCCCATCTGACAGTCCTCACGCGGGCCTAGCCCAGCAAGAAGGCATCGAGATTCACCCAGAAACTGCCGCGGACGACCGCATCCTTAACGAGTACTCTACTCAGTCGAAAACGCCGCCCAGCCAGAACCCGGACCTCGTGCCTTTCTTCGAACATGCGCCCCCGGCCTCGTCGGATCGGGCGCCCTCCAGCCGTGGCCGGAGGTCTCTGTCTCAGCGCTCGAGGTCCAGCCAGAGCCAGTCGCAGGTGTAAACTCTCGTTTCTTTATATTTTGTTCTCTGTTTGAATAGCCATTGCATTCATGGGGGTTGGATGGGTATCCAAAAGCATTGTGTCTTTTTGGACGGCGTTCTGTGTATTTTTCCTTCTTTTCCACCTTGTTTCCTTCATCTCTCTCTGTGTGTCTCCTCGAACATCGGGCACGCTCCTCCTCCCATCACTACATCTCTCTTCGATCCTGGTTTGATTGGTGTACGGAACGGGGAATGGCATTGAACCACAAACCAAGCATAGACTTTTGCCCTTTTCTTTTTCTTTTCACTGCCGCTTTCGCTTTCGCTTTCGCATTGTTGGGGATGGTTATGTACTCGGGGTCTTGATTTAATATCCGTCTGTTTTTGGGCTTCTCGGCGCACACAACAAGGCTGGGGCGGCAGTCCACCTTCACTATTCTTTTTTGTTTCTCTTTTCCTCCCTGGCAATTGTCCGGCTGCATTGTTGATCTCTTTCCTACTATATATCCCAATCGGGACACTTCTTTTATCCTTAAGCTTATCGTTTCGCGTGAAAAAACTAGGGCTTTGATTGTTAGTGCTAGCATATTGCCACTGCCAGTACATGCGTAAATCTGTCTCAAGATACTGAGACAGCTTGTTTCGGAATATCAAAATGATAGAAGTGCCAGGTCCTTGTCATAAGAAAAGAGAAAATGTCGAAGCCCCTCAGTGAGAAAAAGACTGCCCTAAGGCAATCCGATATCCGCCGCGCTCTTCGTCTCCATGGGTTCAACCAATCGGTCAAGTAAATAGTTCGCTGAAAAAAAGAACAACATCAGCGCTGATTATATTAAAGCAAACAAAAACAGGGAGGACCATACCGGCCTAGGCGTTCTGCACAGGGCCCGCAGCAGCAGCCCGTTCAGCTCTCTCAGCAGCTCTCCGCTCCGCTCTGGCCTTAGCCTGTGCCACCCTCCTCACAATCCCCGGGATCTTCTCCGTGATACGGAAAGTCTTCCCCACGCGCGCGCGGACCATATTCACCCGCTCCGACAGCACAGCGGCGCCCTGCATGCGCGCCAGCGCCATCATCCAGGATTGGTATCCGTCGACGACCATCCACATCTGAGGAGTGTTGGGGGGCTAGCATTGAGCGGGTCAGCAATCGCCATGGGCAGGTAGACGCGGATCTCCTCGAGGTCCGGGTCGAAGCTGAACTTGGCCAAGAGGCACTGCCTGAAGGCGTCCCAGCTCATCTGGGCGTGATCCAGCGTGCCGTCGGCGTAGACGTCGCGCTTGTCGCGGAGGAACTCGGATAGCTGGACCGTGCCTAGGCTACGGGACTCGCGGGCGATGGTGACTTTGTCGTTGTGCAGAGCGTGGGGCGCGAGCACAGCAGCCTGGACGTGCGGGTGCAGCTTCTGCTCCAGCTGGTCGACCGTGTACACGTGGTTCCTGATTTGGTCGTGCAGCTTGCTGTTCACGATCTGCTGGGCTGTGATCTTGTTGCGCAGCTTGTCGATCTCGGCCTGCAGCTGGCTCTGGCGCGCCTGGCCGGTGCGGACCAGGCGCACGAGATTGGCCATGTCCGGTATGGTGTTGTGGCGGTTGTATGCGTGCATCTGCTCGACGGCGATCTCGACGAGACGGTTCAGTGCTGACTCGGGGTCGTCGTGGTAGGCACGGCGGATGGCTTGTCCGAAGCGGTGCATTGCAGCCTTGATGGGCTCGCGCAGCCCAATGCGGGCCTCGGGGGTTGAGATCGGGTTTTCGAGGGCTCCAAACTCGCGGACGATGTCGCGCAGACGGGCTGTGACTATGTTCTGCAGGGGGATATCTGCGCCGATGCCCAACGAGTTCCAGTAGCGGCGCTTGGTCATTTTGGGAGGTTCATGAAAGGGGACAAACATGGACGGGGAGACAGAGGGAGAGTGGGCAGGAAGGGAAGCAAGTCAGCGATAGGTCTGCGTGGGTTCATGACTGGGAAGGTTGCGCAGTGTTATGCGCATAGTCTTGTGCGCATAGAGCTAGATGAAGTATAAGATCGGGAAGATAAGGAATGATATTTGTCTGTGTCTTGCTAGAAACAACCTTCATGCCTTGGTGCTCGCACGCTGTATGCCCTGCTTTATCAGGGAAACCAATCCCAAGTCCTTCTTCAACGAGAAAACCGCATGTTCAGCTATTTCTTAAGCCTTCGAGGCCCCAGTAGTGGTGGTGTTGGTGTTGGCTGCGTCGTCCTGCCCAGCAATTGCTGGCTTTTAATGTTTATACCTTTAGCCTTGATACAAAAAGAAAGAACAAACTAGTTACCTAACTGATTCTTGTGCACGATCGTGAAAGTGCAGACCGCAGGAGAGTGAATCTCACCGGGCACATGCGGGTGAGAGTTCTGCATAGTGATCATAGCAGTAACCCAGATGTCTGTTACTTGCTGTTCCATAAGTATCTAATCAAGACAAAATTCGGGCTTGGTTAAAAGATACCTTGCTTTATGACATTTCTTCTAATTGAAATGTTTACAATTCTACTCATTTATATGTTTCCCTTCCATCATCAAAATGATCTATGTAGTTGTTGTGAAATTTGTGATATATATTTTGTGGAAGCTAACTATCAAAAATCCGGCAGAACCAGATAACCAAACCCTACACTCATACATAACCTTTTTTTTTCTTTTTCTTCAAGTTCCTTTTAGTTGCCTCAAAGAGTGTTATTTTTGTCTTTTTGGTTATTTAATTATTTATTTTGCTTTCTAGCTAGTCAGAGAAGACGCTTCTCTGCGTCGCCACTTTCCATGTAGGAAAAGTAAACAAAAGACACAGAGAGAGTTGATTCAGCTGATGATATACTACCATGCATTTATGAGACAGACAACTGTAATGTAGTAATCCAGTCAAACCTGTACATTGTACTGACTTGAAAAGCGTCACAATTCCGCAGTAAGGAAATCCATCGACCAGGCTAACCAAAGATCAGGGATCTTTGGATCATTCTCTACAAGCACAAATTCTAAGAGAAACCACAAAGTACTATGTATGCAGGTAACCACTCCTGTTCATTGGAATTACCAGCTTTGTACATCTGTACCTCAAAGCACGAGCGCGAGGGCATCCAAAACAAGCAGCTGACATCATAAATCCGACGCACCGAGACAGAAAAGAAGACCAAAATCTTTGCAGCAGAGGACAGATCAGTGTGAAGATCCCGAAGGAGATGCATAACAGATAAGCATACTCCAACTTAGCTCATGTCGTCATCCCGCACCTGTATAAAAACCAAGGTAGCGCTAATAGGGATGAACAGCCGATCAAGCACCCCATCGTACCCACAGGGTGACGGCATTGCCTGTTTCTCCGTCAGATCCAGCATCCGGAGTGTACTCTGCAGATTCAAGGGTAGACAGCACTGTTCAGCTCATTCTGCGGTGGAGAATAACAGAAGGATATGCATAACAGATGAGCATAATCGGGGGATAAGCTAGCGAACAAAGCAAGCTGCCGATCACCGTTTATCCTTTCTGTCTCAAGTAGAAGAATCGAATCTCGGTAGGCTGGTGAGTGGACCTAGGTTTCCGATGGCGGTTGCACAGTTCGGGACCCGGGTTCGCTAATGGTTCACGGGGATGCACATAACATTCGCACCCGCCGGCTTGTGGGTCATTAACTCTGAAGTGGAAAAAGCTTGGCCCTCAACTGTTCTACGAGAGAGGACTTGGCTGGGTCCTGCGGTACGTAAGTCCATAATTAGAGATCCCGCCCTACCGACTCACTCTTCGTCGAGTGAGTCTTTCAATCACACAATCTCGAGACGATACCCGTATAGGTACGATACACGGCTTTGAGGAATACCTAAAAATGGCCAAAAGAAGGGGCAATAGTAAAAAGTACCTGTCTGCAATGTTGACAGCAACCGCACTGAGAAAGCTCGAGAGTTAGCCGAAGCCAAAGTATGACGGAGTCGGGATAAATATCGAGTCAAACGACCACCTACACCCCCTTTCTTCGTATCAGCTGCTGCCACATGCTGGGAACGAATCACGGGCTGCCGGGCAAATCCATGAAACTGGGGGGGTCGATGGAATCAAATCGCGCGACGATGAGCAAGCATAGTTTAGCGGACCCCCGTTGGCTCGTGTTGAGCTCGAAACGGAGTAGAACTGTCTGCTATTCCTGCCCTTTCTTCCTCCTCAATCTGACTGTCGTATAGGAAGCACCGTGGGGAGTCCGAAGCTCCTTGCAGGGCTCACATTCCAGCCGATGCATTTTCGGAGCTTTAGAGTATGCTGGATCCTGCTCTATCCGGTAGGACACTGTCGATCAAGACTAAGGAAAGGAGGTTGCTGCACTGGACTATCGGTGCGGTCATGAGTAGCATCCCTCGTTCAGATGGCATCATGGGGCAGAGTTCGATCGAATAATGCAGATGAAGACTGAGATTCTCCACCGGGATACTTGGGTCGAGGTTGATACCCGGCGGCCATCTCCACATGATGGGTCCACGGTTTAGTTCCCGGCTGCTGAGGCGCGTCCCAACCATTGGCTCACGGCTCCCGGCAGCTGGTCGTGTCCTTGATTGCTAAGGAATGCCTGGTATCGTGTGCTGCAGGCGTTACACACTAGGGACGGGGTCCGCAGGGCAAGGTGATGTCAGCTCAGTTCCACTGCGTAACGAAGGCACAAGGGAATAGTCCCCAGCTATATCTATCATGCCGGAGCTCCCCCTGCCCCTCTCTTCACTCGCACGGCAATTTTTCTTGCACCTCAAGTGGCTACTTCGACGGGAGGAATACACCGAAGGACGTTCGACCATTCAACTTGTCTGTGGGCGTGGCTTGTTGGGCCTGTCAACCGTTGACAGAACAAACACTCGTCGTTGTCGACACTAGGTACATTTGAAATTGATCAATAATGAAATCCGACGACATCGAAAAGATCAGCGGCTGCTCCCTGTCTCTGCACAGCGTGAGCCAGCCCGAGCTCGACACTGACTCCACGAACGAAATCAACGCGAACGCGGCAGATTCCAAACCGCAAAACAAATATAAGAAATGGGCCGCGAGTATCAAGAACATGGAGGGCCGCGGCATTGGGCCGGTGCCTTTGGAAGAGCGCCAGCCACTGACCCCGTCCACATCGTTGCACATGCTGCTGATGTGGTTCAGCATGACGCTGGCAACGAATAATATCATCGTGGGGTCGATGGGCACGCTCGTCTTAGGTCTTCGATACAAGGACGCTGCTCTCTGTGCGATTTTTGGCAATCTGGTGGGAGCTGCCACCGTGGGATACATGAGCACTTGGGGTCCTATTAGTGGGAACCGCACACTGGTCAGTGGATACCCTCCAACAGGACGTGGATACGAGTGTTGATGAAGTGTGATAGATCGTCGCCCGCTACTTCATGGGCTACTATCCCAGCATGGTCTGCACCACCCTGAACCTTCTGACCAACGTGGGATACAGCATGGTCAACAGCGTTGTCGGAGGCCAGATCCTCTCCAAGGTCTCCGGCGGTCACATCTCCGTCTTGGTGGGTATTGTCATCGTCGCTGGGTCCAGCTGGGCCATGGCCATGTTCGGCATGCGCATCTTCCAAGTCTATGAACGGTAAGCTCTCCACAGGGTTCTTCACGACCATACATCTGATGTATGAGCAGGTTCGCATGGCTGCCACAATTGATGGTACTCTGCGTCATGCTGGGATCTGCCGGTCCGCACTTCGACTTCAACATCCAAGCCGAGGCTTCACCATCGCGACTGATAGCCAAGCGCATCACCTTCTTCTCCCTGTGTCTGTCAATCGCCCTCGCCTGGGCCCCGCTGGCAGCCGACTACTACGTGTACTATCCGCCGCACGTCAAGCGTTGGCGTACATTCACCGTCACCATGCTGGGAGCGTGGCAGGCGATGATCGTCACGCTCCTCATCGGAATCGGACTCGGCACCGTGATGGCCAGCTCGCCGCAGTATGCCAACAAGTACGGCACTACGCCAGGCGGGCTGCTAATGACAGCGTACGACTCGCTCGGCGGATTTGGCAAATTCTGCGCGGTGATCAATGTCCTCGCTGTGGTGGCCAACAACGCGCCAGGGGCGTACTCGATGGGCATGAACTTCCAGATGCTCGGCCAGTGCTGGCAGAAGATCCCGCGCCCGGTCTACACCACGCTCAGCACAGTGATCTATACCGGCTGCGCGATGGGCGGCCGCAATGCGCTGTACGAGGTCTTTAAGAGCTTTCTGCCCCTGATCGGGTACTGGGTGATTATCTGGTTCACCATCGTCGTCGAGGAGGACCTGCTCTTCCGCCGCAAGAGGGGATATGACTGGTCGGCCTGGGACCAGCGCCAGAAGCTGCCCTTGGGCATCGCAGCGGGGATTTCATTCCTTATTGGCTGGGTGGGAGCAATTGTTGGCATGGTAAGTTCTTTTCTTGCTGTAATTGTGTCGAATGAGCCGTTGCTGAGGTCGACATCCAGAGTCAATCGTACTGTACCGGCCCCATCGCGCATCTCTCGAATGGCGCCGATTTGGGCCTGTGGCTGGGAGCCGGGTTCACCGCAGTGACATTCCCCGCACTGCGAGCACTGGAGTTGTGGTGGGTTGGTCGTTGATCGTGGAGTATTATTATTGGTTTCCGTGACGAACCCGATCGGACCGCGGTATCTGCTGCTTAGAGTTTGGTTGGTTGGTTGTAGGTAGTTCGGAGTACATAAGTCGGTCAACTACATAGGCTGGACTCAATCCACTTACCCGTTTTCATCCCTTACATACTTCTATCTACGTCTTTTGTAACGACGCCATGGACTACGCCTCTTTCTTACCGCAGCCGCTGCACAGGCTGATGGCGGGCGCCACCCCGCTGGTTTGCACCGTGAGCTTGCTGGTCGCCTACCCGATCGTGACGACCTCTCTTCGCTTCCGGCGGCTACGCCAGCTGCACAAACGGTACCCTTACCGGACGCGCGAGTCTCTGGCCCAAATGACCGATGAAGAGGCCTATCAGATCCAAAAGGCCGTGGCGCAACTGGAGTTCCCGTTTATGTTTATCAAGGCGCTCCAGTTTGCCTTGTTCAGGGTAATCCCCCTCTCGCTCCCTCACTCTTTGTCAAGGACTATGTTTTTAAACATAAACATGACAAGAAAAGAAATCAAAACTAACAATAATTATAGACCTACGGGATCCCAACAATCTCCCACCTGCTCACCAAAACCAGCCAGTTCTCCCACCCAGAGACCTCACTGAAGCGCTACACCGACACGAGCGCCCTAGTGCAAGAGATGGTCGGCAACGCGCCGACCTCGCAGCGCGCCTACATCTCCCTAGCACGCACGCGATTCCTGCACAGCGGGTATCGCGCCTCGGGCAAGATCCTCGAGTCTGACATGCTGTACACGCTGGCCCTGTTCGCGCTGCAGCCAATCCGGTTCATAGCCATGTTTGAGTGGCGCGAGCTGAGCGACCTCGAGCGCTGTGCGATTGGCACATTCTGGAAATCTGTCGGCGATGGCTTGGGTATTAGCTATGATGTCTTGCCGTCGGGTAAGACGGGGTTCCAGGATGGGATCCAGTGGCTTGAGGAGCTGGGTGTGTGGAGTGACGCTTATGAAGCGAAAGCTATGGTTCCTGATCCTAAGAACCGGGAGACGGCTGATCAGACTACTGCTGTGCTGCTGTATATGCTGCCCAAGCCGTTGCATCCTGTTGGACTGCAATTTGTCTCGTTTATGATGGATGATCGGCTGCGCAAGGCTATGCTGTAAGTCTTCGATCCTCATAAACAGAAGAGATTCACTCGATTGCCGAACGAAAAGAAGAAGAAAAAATGCCTAACTAATGATGTTAGATACGACCCCCCATCCCCTATCTTCACCTCAATCTTCTCCAGTCTCCTCACAATCCGCAAACTCTTCCTACGCTATCTCGCTCCACCACGGCCAGATTTCCTGCGCTACTCCTCTTTCACAGAGAAAGCCGACGAAAACAACCGCTTTTTCCTAACGCAATGGGAGGCCGCACCGTACTACGTCAAGCCGACGTTCTGGAACCGCTGGGGTCCCGTAGCGTGGCTGACGTGGATGCTGGGTCGTCCGCTTCCTGGGGACGAAGGGGATAAGTATTACCCGCGGGGTTATACTATCCAGGATATTGGGCCCAAGTATTTTGAGGGGAAGGGGGGAAGGCCTTGGAGGAGATGATGGAGGAGTTTAAGGGATATCGGACGGGGAAATGCCCGTTTCATTGAAGACTTTGGGGACTTTTACGGAGTATACCTGACTTTCTCGATGATGCACTTGATCGGTAGATACAAATCAAATGAATTCCAGTTCTAACTTTGTTTGGCTGCTACACAGACAAGAACGGAAAGTCATTTTCGTGAATTGCTTTTCCACTAGGTGCTATTCTTGCCGCGGCAGTCGAGGACCACCGAGGACCAGCAGGCAGGAAAATAGATACAGAAAAAAAAAGGGGTAAATTAGGAGCGCTCAAACAAATACTGGGGTTTCGGAGCACAGGCCCGCAAAGCCGCCCCGAGCGGAAGAGAATGTAGTAGCAAGGGTATTACGGTGAGCAGAGATCGGTGCCAGAGGGCAGCCCGTTTACAGGGGCTCCTCATCCTCAAGAACACCCTCCTCGGCGATGCTAGACAATCGTTAGTATAGGTCCTCAGAGGAGAAAAGGGGATGCTTACTACTCTTCCTCGCCCTCGGAGATGGAGGCCTCCTGGTACTGCTGGTACTCAGAGACCAGATCGTTCATGTTGCTCTCAGCCTCGGTGAACTCCATCTCGTCCATACCCTCACCAGTGTACCAATGCAAGAAAGCCTTGCGACGGAACATGGCGGTGAACTGGTCACCGACACGCTTGAACAGCTCCTGAATGGAGGTCGAGTTACCGACGAAGGTGGACGACATGCGCAGGCCACGCGGGGGAACGGAGCAGAGAGCGGTCTGGACGTTGTTGGGAATCCACTCAACGAAGTAGCTCTGGTTCTTGCTCTGGATGTTGCGCATCTGGTCCTCAACCTCCTTCATGGAGACCTTACCGCGGAAGAGAGCGGAGCAAGTGAGGTAGCGGCCATTGCGGAAGTCAGTGGCAGCCATCATGTTCTTGGGGTCGAACATCTGCTGGGTCAGCTCAGCAACGCTGATCTGGCGGTACTGGTGGGAGCCACGGCTGGTCAGGGGAGCGAAGCCGACCATGAAGAAGTGCAGACGCGGGAACGGAACCATGTTGACAGCCAGCTTGCGCAGATCCGAGTTGAGCTGACCGGGGAAACGGAGCGAGGTGGTGACACCGGACATGACAGCCGAGACCAGGTGGTTCAGATCACCGTACGAGGGCTGGGGGAGCTTGAGGGTACGCATGCAGATGTCGTACAGAGCCTGGATTCGTTAGTAAAGACCTCCTCTCAACAATTTGCAAGACAAACCTCGTTATCGATACAGAAAGTCTCGTCAGAGTGCTCAACGAGCTGGTGAACAGAGAGAGTAGCGTTGTAAGGCTCAACAACGGTGTCCGACACCTTGGGAGAGGGGACGACCGAGAAGGTGGCCATCATGCGGTCGGGGAACTCCTCACGGATCTTGGAGATCAGGAGGGTACCCATACCGGCACCGGTACCACCACCCAGGGAGTGGGTGATCTGGAAACCCTGCAGGCAGTCGCAAGCCTCGGCCTCACGGCGGACGACGTCGACGACCTGGTCAACCAGCTCGGCACCCTCGGTGTAGTGACCCTTGGCCCAGTTGTTACCAGCACCGGACTGGCCGAAGATGAAGTTATCGGGGCGGAAAAGCTTGCCGAAGGGGCCGGCACGGACGGCATCCATGGTGCCAGGCTCAAGATCGACCAGGACGGCACGGGGAACGTAGCGGTCACCGGAGGCCTGGAATGGTATTAGATTGTATCAATTGAGACAAGGGGGAGGCCACCCACATGGTTGAAGTAAACGTTCATGCGCTCCAGCTGCAGGTCGGAGGCGCCATTGTAGCTGTCAAAACATCAGACGTGTATCCCGCATCCAAGCCATCACATTGTACTCACTGGCCATCGCCATCGAGGCCGTGCTCGCCAGAAATGTTCTGCCTGTAGTACTGTCAGTCCCTTGTCGATCGAACAAGAATGCAATGGCCACGAGGCCGGATCCTGCACGTACCAGAAAGCGGCACCAATTTGGTTACCCTACAACCACACCCGATTTAGTCACCCAGACACATTGTTTATTCCACCAAACACGTCTCATCGTCGGAATTGTACTTACACACTGGCCGGTTTGAAGGTGCACCTAAAAAAAAGTTGTCAGTTCAAAATGTTGAGGTTGAACAGGTGGGGTCTGCATTCAGGGGCCGGGGGTGGTGGGAGGAAAAACGGGGTGGTGGGAGGAAAAACAAGGACGCGTTTCTCGCCAGGGAGTCATTCAGGGGAGGGGAAGACATACGATCTCACGCATTGTGGAGGTAGTGATTCCTGGAGCGGTAGACGAGTTCGAAAAAGAAGAGGATGATGGGAGGAAGAGAGATGGGAAAGGGAAGAAGTTGAGCGGTGTGTGGTGTGTGTGCGTGGGGATCAACAACACACGCTCAGGGGGGATGCCCAATCCGGTAAGACCGGGTCACGGGACCGGGAGCGAACCACCGGTTGGGATTCTGTGGACCGCGTGGGAGTAATTAGGTGTTTACAGCTAACGACTAGGGATCATACAGTGTCCTATTACTGCGCCCGATTCTCAACCACCCGCGAGCTCTCCAGCCAATTCCCAAACTCATCCAGTCGCTGGTTCTCATCCTCATCCTCCGCATCAATGCCCCGCTCCGCCATATCCTCCAGAGCCGCCCGCCGTTCATTGGTCTTCTTAAATTTCTCACGCCCGTCGGAGATATAGGCCTCGACCTGGGTTCCTCCAAAGAACCGGCCACCCATGACCTGGGAGAGGATATTAGCATGGTCACAGGGCATTCTGTAGGAGAGATAACTCACCTGAACGCACTGTCGGGCAGCGTTAGGGTCCGTGAAGCGCACGCTCACCACTCCCTCGGGTTCCTTGTCGTAGAGAACAACATTGGTCACCTCGCCAAGCTTCGAGCATTCGTCGCGGATATCCTGTTTGATGTCGAGGATGGCGCCGGCATCGTCCTGTGTCCGGGGGTCAGTCGTTGACGTGAAGCCAAAAGCAACACACCGTACATACCTCTAGCTCCTTCAAAGTAAACATATGTTTCAGGATCACCACTTTTTCCACGCGTGACGTCGTGTCGGGGAGCGCAGACGGTTCATCATCATCCCAATCAGCGAGTTTACTTCAGGCCCCAATTAGTATCAACAGCATACAACCCCCAAACGCAATTGACATACTTGTTCAACTTCTGTGTCCGTGCAATAATCTTCCGCTTATCTCTCATGTTGGACTTGGGCGGCGCCTCCTTCTGGCTTTTGAACGAAAAATCGGCCGCCTGAACCCTCATCGGCCCAAGGGGTCCCGTCACTCCAAGCCGGAAGTCCGAATCGTCCAGCATCTGAATCGCCAGGTTGACTGACTCCGGCCGAAAGTAGACGACCAGCGCCTCGCCCTTGAATTTGCCGTCATCATCCGTGTACATTTTGATCCGTGATCGCCCGCTGTCGATCTCTTCGGCGATGACGCCGCATTTTGAAAAGGTGTGCTGGATCTCCTCGAGCGTGGCATCCAATGGAATCGAGGTGACAAAGACAGCCGTGTTCACGCGCTGCTTCTTGGCTTTTTGTGCCTGTTCCCAAGTCATACATATTAGCATGGGCTGTATCTAGAGGAAGAGCGACAAATGCGTTCACTTACATCCTCACCACTCTCAGGCTGTTTCCGCTTCTTCCTATCTCGCGCAGTAGTCTCTTCATCTTCATCCACGCCTGCGACCCTGTACGCTTCCTGCTGCTGGCGGAGCAGATCTTCATCGACCTGCACTTCGCATTAGCGTCAAGCTCCCAATCATAGAATGCGCGCGCATGCTTCCCGACGCCCACCGCGGTCGAGACATGCAGACGTCGCAGCGAAAAGGTCCCATACCGTCTGAACCCAGCGCTTGATCACCGAGTCGAATACAAATTCCTGCCCATCGTCGGTCTCCAGAATGAACTTATCGTCCAGTTTCGAGAATGAAATGCGGGGGTCGCTGTCGAACTCCGAGGGATCCTGGGGGAAGTTGCGCGACGGCGCATCTGCGCCGTTTTCGGGGCTCGGTGAGACCATCGAGGGACGTGGAGGCGTGCGGGAGGGAAAGGTGGACGTTGACCGCAACAGTGATCGGAGGGAAGCTCGAGCTCTCAATTGCGGGCCGACAGAGCCACTGCAAACAGTGCAAACAGCCCTTCACCTGTACAGTCCGGACAGGCAAACTCTTCCTGTTTATGCTTGATAAATGAACTAATGGTTTTTGATTGGATCTTTGACATTGAAAATAGGGTATCTGAATGAACAAAAGAAGAAAGCTAATTAAACAAGGTGTGGTCGCCAATGGCTAAGTATTACGTATGAAGATGTCGCGATCAATTAGACCTTTTCCACAATGGGAACCTCGCCCGTAGGCGTGACAGTACGCTTGGAGCTGTCATCGCTGGCCTCAACCCCGTTGACGATATCGCGGGTGATCTCAACATAGTCATACTGCGAGCCAGTCAGATGTGTTATGTGCAGATGAAGGAAGCAAAAACTTACAGCGAACTCGCCAATCTCGGCGTCATCGATACCCATAATCTCGTCCTCCTCCGGAGCACGTAGACTCATACCAGGGATGAGGTTGAGGATGAACAGGATGAGACATGTCCCCAAGAAGGAGTAAGCAAACCCGGAGACCGAGTCGGCCAGCTGGTAGCCCAGCTGAATGTAATTGTGGTTGATCCAGCCGCCGGGGATCGTGGTGGCGCCGTCCAAATGCGCAATGTAGTCACTGGGAGTCAATGGTTAGTTTGGTTGCTAAGTAACAGACAAAGACAGTACTCACGCAGCAAAGAGACCGGTCAGAAGATTGCCAACCAGGCCGCCGATGGTGTGGACCGCGAAGATATCGAGGGCATCATCAATACGCAGCAGGAACTTGAGCTTGGTGGCGTAGTTGCATGCAATAGCACCGACAACACCATAGATAAAGGCAGCCCAAGGGGTGACAAAACCCGATCCAGGAGTAATAGCAACCAGGCCGGCGATGACACCCGAACAGAAGCCGACAGTGGACCACTTCTTCTCCAGCCGGTAGTCGAGGAGGCACCAGGTGACGCCACCGACGGAGGCAGCCAGGTTGGTCACGACAGCAGCCATAACGGCACGGAGGTTGGCAGCGAGAGCAGAGCCGGCGTTGAATCCAAACCAACCGACCCACAGGAAGACGGTGCCGATAACAACGTGAGTGACGTTGTGAGGGCGGTAGTTGAGCTCGTGGGTACCGTGGCCGCGTCGCTTGCCCAGCATCAATGAGTAGGCCAGGGCAGCAGAGCCAGAGGCAATGTGCACCGGGGTGCCGCCGGCAAAGTCGAGTCCTCCCATTTTATACACCCATCCCGAGGCATTCCATGTCCAGCAGGCAATGGGGTCGTAGATGACAGTCGACCAGATGAACATGAAGACAATGCAGGGGAGCATACGGCCTCGCTCGGCGACTGCGCCGACTGCTAGGGCGACGCTGAAACACACATCCGTCAGCGACCTGCTTTCCTGGGAAGAGTAAGAGGGATCCTCACGTAATTGCAGCAAACATGCCCTGGAAGATAGCGAACAGAAGATCCGGGACATGGGTACCGCCGACCGAGGGGGCAGCCAGGACGTTTCTGAAGCCAAAGTTCTGGAGGTCGCCGATGAACGAGCCAGCAGTGTGGGAGAAGGCCAGTGAGTAGCCCCAGAAAAACCACTGGAACGAAACGACGCCGACCGACATGATGGAGAGCCAGATCAGGGAGAGGGCTGACTTGCGACGGGCCAGACCAGAGTAGAAGAAACTATGCGTGTCAGTGCTGTGTGCCAGTCAATCATCAAGGGAGGATCCATACCCAACACCGGGAATCATGAGCAAGACCAGGGCGGACGAGGTAACCACCCAAGCGATATCACCAGCCTAGGCGAGGGTATTAGCGAATATGACCGACCCTCCTCGCGGGCCATGCCTACATTGTAGTAGATGTTCAGGTCCTCGGTGAGCGAGTCACCACCAGTCCCGACAGCAGACCCGTTATAGGTCACCGGGTAGGCCGACATGGTGAAACCCAGATGAACGGTTCGTGCGAGGTGTCACAGATCTGGAGGAAAGGGTATAGATGCAGGAGTGGAGAGGTGTCAGAGGGATGGCGATCAGTGCAAGATCTGAGAGAAGAATGTTTCACAGTAGGTATGGGAACCGGGAGAGGCTGATCAATAAATACAGACAGCCGTGCTCCGCCGGAGGGATGCCCCCCGGACCCGAGATGGAGAGATAGTCCCGGGGATGGTCATCGCAATTGATGATATGAATCAGCTCCACGGGCATTATCAGCGAGCCAAGAACGCCCTGTGTCGAGGCGGAGGATTACGGGTCCCACCAGTGGAGCTAGATATAGAACACGATCGATCTAGGAGCTATGGTACCTGAATAGCCGGCAGTCGTTGCGTCCCTGCGGTGCTATGATTCCGGCCTCCTGCTTCTTACTTGCATGAATTATTCAAAGCACTAACTCAGGAACCTGCCCCCTTTGCGATCCTCCCCGCGGAGACCTGAATCTGGTGGGAGTGTGTGAGGGCAGAGATAAGGCCGGGTCGAGCATCACTGGCTACAGATATGGTCCGACGCGGGCCAATCAGGATCCACTACGCTTATCATCACTTCAAACGGCTCGCTTTTTCGACAGTTCGTTCATCCACCATGCCGATGGAGTGCATTCTTGTAAGGATCAGAATACCTCCTATGGAGTCCCGATGCAATTGTTCTGTCCTTAGTCTATTGATCTCGATCCTCAATCAATTCCAGCACCTGCCACGGTGTGGTGTCCCTTATCTCGGGTTATCTCGCACCCAATTCGCCAATCAGCAACGCGGCATCCCCTGGCCTTATCTCTGGATCACATTGCGTTTTGGCTTTTAAAGTACTATTGTCCTCTTCTTTTATTCGTTTGCCGCCGCTGACGACATGACTAATTGGAGTTTCCGAAAGATCCCTGCCGACTCCGAGCGCTGTCAGCAATAATCGGATCCACGGTTTCGATGAGCATATTCTCTGACATTTGCATCCTGCCCGTAGATCCATCACTATCTATCCGCCGGCTAAACTACAGCATTCTCGAAATCGGCTTGACCATTCAACTCTTCATCGCCACTATGGTCTTGGCGCAGATTAATTGTGGAGTTGGCCGCATTGCCTATCGCTCTGCTTCAAGGCCGACTAAGGATACTGAGAACGGAGTAAGTGCGATTATCTTGCGCAGTACCTTGCAGCTATCATGCTCCCCTTAGAGTCATTCGCGAAATTGGCTTGTCCAATACACACTTCATAACTAACTTCTGGACCCGCCGTCAAGGCCTCAGCGCAGATCAATTGGGCTGGCCGCGTTAAATTAGAGTACGTAGCTACGTAAGATCATGTGTACGAGCAGTCCGTAGAATTCCATAAGAACCTCTAGTGGATCTCTGCAAATCATGTGGAGGTCACCTAGCGCCGAGTTCCCGCAAGATCTGCCAACTTTCGCCTTGTGGGGTGGGCAAATATTTTCGGCATGCATGTTTGACGACAGAAGATTGCGGGACATAATACCACTCCGGCCCCTGCCTCGGTGGGGTGGAGGTCAAGTGGAAGACGGTGGGTGACGAAGCTTGACAGCGGAGGTGATTGACTGTGAGCGGGCTAGCCATCAGGTGCTGTGCCGTAGATCTCACAAGGAGCGTAGGGGAGATCAGAGCCTACAGGAATCAGACGGAGAGAATACGAGCGAAGTTGTATTGACTAAGTGATCCCAAATAGGAAGGGGGGAACGTCTCCGTGACGAGGCCTAACCATAGCAGTCGCGCAAATCTTGCTCATTTTGGGCGAACCCTTCACTCCAATCATCGCCCGCCATGTACCATGCTATATTTATTCCAAAACCTTAGCCATGCTCGCTGCATCAATGATACATTGGCATTTTGATATTGGGTAAGTCAGAACGAATTAGAGTCCTATGATAGGGGGACGATCGTCTAACTTACCCAATATCAAAATGCCAAAGGTTATCGACATTCGTCTCCATGTTGAGATCATGATCGACATCAGCGATGAGCTCATACAAGGAATACAAGAACCTAACGTGGTTACGCGCCAGGTTGAGATCGCGGCTGTATACTTCTATGTGGATTACATATGACTAAATTTACTAATTGCGATGGTGATACAACTAAGAGCTGCTTACAACAGGAGAGGAATGAACTAAAATAACTAGTCCAGGTGGTACTGACACTACCTGGTACGTATGGCATTTTCGCCAGGCCCACTGATCGTCGGGCCCCGATTCTGGTGCTAACTATTCCACGAATGAGAGATGGTGGAAATGGCTGCTCAATTGGGATCTATTGTGCTGTTACGTACTGGTTACAGGGAATTTTCCCTGGTGTTGGAAGCCCAATTCCTGTCCAATCTACCAACTAGATAATTATTCTAGTCCTGTCGGCTGGCCCTACCACATCACAAACTACGAGTCGCCACGTATGTCATTGCTTGATCGTGATTAATCTATTGCAATATACGCGGCCGCCGATGTGAGGTCCTGATCGGCTCCAAACCCGCCAATGAAACAAGATCCCGGGGGGGTTGCGCCACACACCGCCACACTTGAGCGCACGCCCCTATCGAAACTTGCCAGTCACACTTCCTCCTCCTCCTCCTCCCCAGATGATCAACGGTCATCCCCATCCCCATTAACATGGAGCATCCCGACATGAACCATGACTCCGATGGCTCGGGATCCTCGGACGAGTTCCCTCCCCAGTATCCATTGAGGGCCAGCTCCAACTACGAGGGATTCGACGTCCCCGTCCAAACCCCGTCCACTCTCACCTCCTCCCCTCCGTCACATTCCTCCAGCCTGGCCTCATGGTCCGCTACTCCCACGACGCGTCCACGCGGTGCTAGCCTCGGCGCTGCCTCCGCTCTCGACAAGTCCGATGGTCATGCGATGGGAGGCGACTTACGACCCCAACGCCCATCTGGCCCGGCACGGACACCCTCCAACACCTACGCTCCGCAACGGCGGCCGCCGGCCTACATCAGCCTCCAGAGCGACCGTCAGCGATCCTCGTCCGCCAAACGGAGCTCCCGGCGCGACCCGAACGCGCAGTATCGCGCCCAGGAGAAGGCCTACGTCCAGCGCATTCGTGCCAACCCGGAGGCTTGGTACCACCACTTCGGCGAAGCGCAGGCCTCCAACATGACTGTAGCAGATGCAGACCTGGAGGATCCCTCCCCGTCTTCGGAGGCGCCTTTCGATGACGAAGCCTACGACCCGGATACCCAGCTTTTCCTTCCGGACGACAACCAGCCGACGATGGAAGAACTCCAGAACCCAAAGAACCAAGAACGGCTGGAGTGGCACTCGATGTTGGCTTCGGTGCTCAAAGGCGACGTCGTGAAACAAGAAAAGCAACGGATGATTGGAGCTACGGAATCCAATCGGTCGGCTGCACAGAGCCAAGCGCTTTGGATCGGTGTCAAAGCGAGGACATGTGGTCGGAGCATTCCATTGCAATGGAAAGTCATCGAAGACGCAAGGGCTCAGATTGCCCCTCTAATCGAGGATATCATCAACTTCCAGATCAAGGGTGAGACAGAGATTGGCAAACCGCCTCGACAGCAAGTCGAAGATATCGTGGAGAAGATTGAGCGATGCGAGATTCTCTATTCGTCACATAAGGAGATGGCAGCCGCTTATCCTCGAGTTGCCTCGGAAGAATTCTGTTCGAGTTGGGATTCGATCTTTGCATGGCACAATATCACGGCGTTGATTAATACCGAGCTTGCCGTGCTGCAGAGCTGGGTGGGAAATGACTCCTTGGATTTCAGCAAGCCAAGGGAGCAATCCGCGCAGAGTGACCCTTCCGACGAGTCATTCTTGGATCGCATCATGAAAGAGGACGGGCTGAAGACGCTACAGGGCGATAAAAGCATGTTGAATGCCGTCAGCGATGTCATCCAAAAAGCCAAGAGCACTCTTATTGAAAATGCCGAAGCATTTTCGCAACGACATTTGCCACCGTATATCGAGGAGCTGCTCATCTTGATCAACTTCCCGTCGCGATTGATCCAGGAGATCATTCGCATGCGTCTCTCTTACGCTAAAAACATGAGGGATCCAGCCCAGCAGTCCCCTATCCTGGTGGATCAAATGATCTCCCAGTTCCAGATCTTGATGAAGGTGGCGGTCGAGATCAAGCAAAATTATCTCACCATCTCGAGTCCAGAGCCTGGCTGGGATCTGCCCCCGTGTGTCGACGAGAACTTTGACTCGGTCGTCCTGGACGCTATGAAACTCTACTTCAAGTTGTTGAACTGGAAGCTGAATGCCAACAAGAACACTTTCAAAGAGGCAGAGATCCTGGAACAGATGTGGGGGTTCTCCTACGGCATCGGTAGACAGCTCGAAAGCGGAGATATTGAAGTGGCCGAGCAATTTAGGTACGGATCCCATTTCCTTTTTTTTTTTTTTTTTTTTTTCCGTCTAATACTAATCCGATCACAGTGCTTTAACGGCCAAATCACTCCAACGTCTCATGATCCACTTCGAGCGCGAGTTGGTCCCTCGACCGAAAGAAACGGTATCCGACATGGATAAGCGGTACAAGAGCATTTTGGATTCCACACGGATTCGCCAACGGAAGCTGTACCGGTTCTCGAGGTTCCTTTGCCAACTTTTTGAGAACGCCACGGAGTATAACCTCGGAGCTGATATTGCGTACGAATTTTTCGAGGAACTGCTAGTGTCCGATCATTTCCTTGTCACATCGCCAGACGCAATTGGTCAGAAGGGCGTTTACTTAATTGCGCATCCTGCACTGTGGAATCGCCCTGGCGACATCCAGGCCATTCTCGCCACTTCTTTCCGAGAAGATGAAGCATCCGAAGAGGCGCTCCATATTCCCTACGTACTCGTCATCCGCCCAGAGAAGCCGGTAGGCTGGGCGGGCAAGGAGATGCAGGTAGGATTCTTGGAGCAGCCGACAGATGTGCGTCTAGGCAAGCTTCGCCTGGTAGTGGAAGGCATGCAAGAACGTCTACAAAAAGCTCGGATCGAGCTGAACCAGCTTACCGGCATCCAGCTCGACATGGCCGTCGAGCAACGAGCGAACCTTGGCCGCGTGAACGTCGAACTGAACAAGATGAAGAAAATCGCCTTCAAGCTATCCATGGCCATCATGGACAGCGTTGCTGTCATCAAGGACCAGCTGCGGCAGAAGACGTGGGAGAACAATGATTTAATTCAGGCTTGCTATGCATTTGCAACCGAATTCGGCAAGCGTTCATCCAGCTATGTAGATCCCAATCGACGAGCCATGAACAGTGCTCGATTGGTCGAGTTGTCTTTGGACTGGGTCTCGTTCGTCTGTGATGAGTGCGACGCTGCCGACAGGAAGACCTTCAAATGGGCCGTGGCTGCTCTTGAGTTCGCAATGGCGCTCACCTCTGGTCGGCATCTTCTGTCGATGGATGATGGGCAGTTTGGCCGTCTCCGATCCAAAGTGGCGGGGTGCATGTCACTTCTCATCTCCCATTTCGATATCATGGGTGCTCGGTCATCTCTCGCAGCGCAGGCAGAGAAGCAGCGGATGGAGGAACGCGCCGGGGCCCGCAAAGTGGGTTCCGGCCGGATTATCAGCGACGAAGAAGCCTCGAAAATGGTTCGCGAGCAGTGGCTGGCGCGTGTGACGGAGATTGAGGACCGCAGGGTGGAGGAAGATGCGAAGCGCCAGGCGCTCGGACGCGTGCTGGAGGGCGCTAATGAGGCCGATCGGTCGCTCACAGTCCTCTCATCCTCGGCCACCAACGTTTCTCTGCGGTGGCAGCAAGGCCAGTTCATTGGCGGCGGCACTTTCGGCTCTGTCTATGCAGCCATCAACCTGGACAGCAACTACTTGATGGCGGTTAAGGAGATTCGCCTGCAGGATCCCCAGCTTATTCCGAAGATTGCTCAGCAGATTCGCGACGAGATGGGTGTGCTCGAAGTCCTGGATCATCCGAACATCGTCTCGTACCACGGCATTGAGGTGCATCGTGACAAGGTGTACATCTTTATGGAGTACTGCTCAGGCGGTTCACTGGCTAGTTTGCTGGAGCATGGCCGCATCGAAGATGAGACAGTCATCATGGTCTACGCGCTCCAGCTCTTGGAGGGCCTGGCCTACCTCCACCAGGCGGGTATTGTGCACCGCGACATCAAACCCGAGAACATCCTGCTCGACCACAACGGAATCATCAAGTACGTGGACTTTGGCGCCGCCAAGATCATCGCGCGCCAAGGTCGCACCGTGGCACCGATGGACGGCCCTACCGGCGGTGGCCTCAAGGAGCAGCCCTTGCTCCCAAAGGACGGCCAGCATGCGAACCAGCGCAAGAACCAGAAGACCACCACGGGCACTCCCATGTACATGTCCCCGGAGGTAATCCGCGGCGACTCCTCCACCCTTGTCAACCACCAAGGCGCCGTCGACATCTGGTCGCTGGGCTGCGTCGTCTTAGAAATGGCCACCGGCCGACGGCCCTGGTCCTCGCTCGACAACGAGTGGGCCATCATGTACAATATCGCCCAGGGCAACCAGCCCTCGCTGCCATCGAGTGACCAACTCAGCGACCTGGGCATCGACTTTGTGCGCCGCTGCTTCGATTGTGATCCTCTGAAGCGTCCGACTGCTGCTGAGCTTCTCCAGCACGAGTGGATCGTCTCCATCCGTCAACAGGTTGTCTTGGAGCCGGCAACCCCGAACAGCGATCCGGGCTATAGCAGCTCCGGCTCGAGCACCCGCCAGAATTCGACGTATTTGTGATTTTTTCTTCTTCTTTTTATGCATCTGCATTGGGCTGTCAAAGCAGCCCGTACTGATCTTGCTCAACCACACTCGTTCGATCTCGGCTTGAACTATCCATTTTCAAACGACTTCGCCTGTGATACCCCCTACTTTTTTTTTTTCTTTTTTCGGCTTGCTCTGCACGGGCACTTTCATAATGTTTCAATCATGTTGCACCTTTTCTTCCCCCCCCCCCCCCTCTCTCTCTTCATATCTCTTCGCATTTATGGCCTTGGCTGAGTCCCGTGTTTCTTTGCATCTTTTTCTTGTGGATTGTTGGGATCAATGAATGCTTGTATACGAAAGGGGCTTCTACGGTTACTCTGTTGGGGTTGCATAGCAGTGTCTGTACATCAATAATGGTACCTGATTTGATTTTACCGTCTCTCATACTTTCAATATCTACCAGCATGGTGTAGGTTCTCGTTTACTGAACAGCCAACAATACTTGACAGTAATAGCTCGTGTATTTCTCTCTCTACGAATATACTGTTAATGCAACAGGTCATTGGTAGTTGATGACAGCAGTGCACCGAAGGAAAATACTGGGTAACGGGACGAGATGAGATGAGACGAGAGAGAGCAGTAAGCAGTGCTGCCGAAGACTAACATTTTCCCACACGAAGCCCTAGGGGCTCCAGAATATTTAACCTTGAAGCCGAGGCAAATTAACAACAAACAATCACACAAGAACAGAAGTTCGTTCAATAAAAAAAGGTAGTTAGTAAGAGGTAAGATCCATACTCGAAACCGAGATGGGTGGTAGACCAGTTCGCCAGAAAAGGATAGGGAAAAGAGAACAGTAAACGCCAGCTTCCCGTAGATCGTGAGGCATGAGATAAAATTCCGAACAGCAGATCCGAACAAAAGAGGATAATTTATGAACAGCTGTATGGCATGTGGCAGCTTGGTTGGGAGGGAGGGAGGATATATGTTACTGGTTCAACCCCGAGGAATGGGGAGAACAAGATCAAGACCAGGGAGATAGCACGGAGATGAATGGAAACCACAGAGAGAGGTACAGCCAGGTATCAATCCGAGAATCAAAAACCAAGCGTCTTGTCAAGTAAGCGTAAACCAGGAAGCACAGCTTAGCCGTGGCAGTCCGAAGACGCAGAGACCGAAGAGAAGAACAATAGAGGGTATCGAGAGGAAGAGACAGAACAAAGGATCGGCTTGCAGATTAGCGCCAGAAATCAAGTTCAAGGACCTTAGCGGAACTCGACTGCTGGCGCGCATCCACGATCCTCTACATGCTTGAGCTCAAGCTGTTGGAATCTGTCAAGCCAACGAATCGCAGTCAGTATAACGCGGTCACGAACTATTGAGATATTATACGTACCGCTCGCTCTTTGCATGAAAGTAGACGCCGCTCACGGTTCCCGCCACCTGGTTGAAACAGATGTAGTAGAACCCCTCAAAGCTGGCGCCGGAGATGGTGCGCACGCGATGGTCGGGCACAAGGAAATATTCTTTCCATCTCATAAAGACGTGCTCGCGTTGGGCGAAGTTGCGATATGTGAAGTCTGTGCGTTTCGCTTGCTTGGCTAGAGGTCGCCACGCCGCAAACCGGGACCAGTGGTGCATGTCGGTTTTCTCTGTGGCACCCCACGCCTCGTTACGAGTTTGGAAAGTATGCTTGGTGCCAATGATCTCGCCTTCAAAAAATGTAGTCAAGGTAGGGTGATCCTCCGTAAGACCTGAAGATAAAAGAAAAGGAACTATCAGAGCAAGTCCGAGACGAAATGTGAGAACGGCGGCGGTACAAACCTTGGATGCGAAGGTAGCCGCACAGGTAGGACTCGGCCATGTCCACATGTTTGATTTCCACATCAACATTATAGACCTGGCGATCCGACTGTTGCGTGCCGACAAACTTGCTTCCCGAGCGCAGAAAGGAAGAGGTATGATTTGGCAGAAGCTGGAGAATGGTCAATTGAGAGTGGCGAGTGGTCGCGTGGGTTGGGCACATACCCTCACATTGGAAAATTCATAGCGAAGCAGCGACGAGTTTGCCGGCGTGACCGACGACTGACCGCGCGCACACGATGATTCGGTGGGAGAACTGGATCTGCCAGGCCCAGTCTCATCATCGGCAGACATCTTCCTGTCCACCTTCAGCGGATCCGTGGCCAGCAGCGAACTGCCATCGTCGGATCGGCTCAGGACGGACGGGGCAGCGATGCTTTCGGGGGAGAGAACATTGTCGATCGTGTCACTGGAAAGCGTGGAGTCCGGAGAGTCTCTGCGGGCCGAGATTCTGTCGAGTTCGGGAGGACAGGTTCGGGCGGAGATCACCGGGGCGATGGATGGAGGAGCAGTCGGTTGGTTGTTGCTCGGAGTCGGCATTGAGGGCGGGTCAGGGCAAGAGGCGAAGGGCACATCGGACCGAGACGAGTAAGGGAGAACAAGTAAGAAATGTTCGCAGATGGAAAGAGCAACGGGACGGGTTGGGTTGGGTCATGCGAGCGCGGGGGAAGTGGGTGCCTGAGGCAGATCTCTACGGTAGTACGTACTTGACTCCAGGGTGATGACTGTCAGATTCAATTTTGCTCCTCGCCACTACATAGTCCTGCTCCTGATGAAACGCCCGGTGTATAGTTATCGTAAGCAAAAGAGAAAAGAAGAAGAAAAAAAAAACAACCCCCCAATTTTGTGGCCAGCATAGCGTTTAAATAGGCTTGATCTATAGGGCTGTCAGTATAGGTAGGTCAAACTAAACGCCGAAAGCATACCTTGAAGTGCAGGGAAATCAGAGAGAAAATCAGCGCCTTGAGATCCTGCACGAGGTAGTAGAACACCCGTAAGCCCTCTGGGTCCGCCGATTCGGTCACGTCGACCAGAGAGCCGATCTTCGCGGTCTACACCACCCAAAGTCAGATACACATCTCTCTCTCCCTCTCTCCTACATGACCCGCGAACATACCTCGAAGGAAATGTGCTCATTCCCAATGCGAATCTCCAGCTCCTGGCGTCCGTCCTTGTTCTTCTGCGGCCACTTGGAGTCGTCCTCTCTGGGTGCCTTGGTCAGCGCAAAGGTTCCTCGGGCCTTGCAGGGGGCAATCGAATCACGTACTTCATTATCTCGCTGTCCTTGATAATGCGCTTCACCTCCTGGATCATCGCAGCGCTCACGCACACTAATCCCTCGTCAACTCGGGTCTGCACCGGGGTGTGGTACCATCACTCACTCTCTTTGCGGATCAGGGAGTCATTGCGGTAGTTGGAATTGTTCGCATATCGCACAGCAGCGCTGCTGCCATCGGCGATGGTCCGGAGGTCGAATTCTGTTCCACAGGTCAGCGACAAGCATCCAGCGAGGCGATTGCGGGGGGAAACACACCGAGGAACTCATGCCCGAACCGCCCAGAATGACCGGAGCTGCGGAACTGTCAGCAACTGAGTATAACTGGATATCACCATCACCTACTAGTATCGAATGTAGAAGGGGTCGTTCTGCGACATTTTGGCGGTTGACAAAGGGCAGCAGGTGTGTCCACGAGCAGACGGAAAAGAGGTGGGCTTAGTCATCCACACAGACGGGCCACGCATGGACAAGTTGACCTGTTTCCCTCCCCCCACAAGTCCAGTCAACCAAAGCCAACTCACTCTCCGCCGATGATTCCACGGGCGAGCGCTGTTGGTCTGCTCTAATTGCTCGTTCGTGACATTGGTCTTGCCTCCTGTCCCTGGAGGACTCACTCTGGTGTGTTTGGCCCACCTCTCCTTCGAAAACAAACACGTTGAACTAACCACTTACAGCTCCCCTTCCCTCCCATCGCCTCCTCCCCCCATCCACCATGGCGTCGTTTCTCGAAAATACGTACAGTCTGGTCCATATGGACAACACGGCGGACCAGCCGACTATACAGGAGCTGAAGCTGCAGCTGGAGAAGGGCACCGATGAGACCAAGATGGAGACAATGAGGACAATTGTTACAATCATGCTCAATGGGGACCCCATGGCGCAACTGTTGATGCACATTATTCGCTTTGTCATGCCCTCCAAGAGCAAGGCGCTGAAGAAATTGCTGTACTTCTACTACGAGATCTGCCCCAAACACGATTCGAGTGGCAAGCTGAAGCAGGAGATGATCTTGGTGTGGTAAGGATGCATTGCGCTCCCCCTTCGCGATGAACGGCAGACTCACAAGTCTTGTAGTAACGGAATTCGAAACGATCTGCAACATGCCAATGAATACATCCGAGGCAACACCCTTCGTTTCCTGGCCAAACTCCGCGAGCCCGAACTGATCGAGCCCCTCCTTTCGTCGGCCCGCTCGTGTCTCGACCACCGTCACGCCTACGTCCGCAAGAACGCCGTTTGGGCCGTGGCATCCATCTTCCAACACTCCGAGTCTCTCATCCCCGACGCCCCGGAACTCATCCAGACCTTCCTCGAGTCGGAGAATGACCCCACATGCAAGCGCAATGCCTTTGCGGCTCTCATGTCCATCAGCCACCAAAAGGCGCTGGAGTACCTCGCAACCACGTTCGACAGCGTTCCCAACACGGACGAATTGCTTCAATTGGCCGAGTTAGAGTTCATTCGCAAGGATGCAGTGCAGAATACCCAGAACAAGGTTAGTTTGACCATGTCAACGCCAATCGCATGGCGTCACTAAAAAGCAACAGGCACGTTATCTGAAATTGATCTTCGATCTCCTCGATGCCCCTACCAGCACCGTGATCTACGAAGCTGCGACCTCCCTCACCGCTCTCACCAGCAATCCCGTCGCCGTCAAAGCCGCCGCGGGCAAATTGATCGAACTCGCTATTCGGGAGGCCGATAACAATGTCAAGCTTATCGTGTTAGACCGTGTCGACCAGCTGCGGATTCGTAATGAAGGTGTTCTGGATGATTTGACCATGGAGATTCTGCGTGTTCTCACCAGTCCGGACATCGATGTCCGGAGAAAGGCCCTCGGCATTGCTCTGGAAATGGTCTCGAGCAAGAATGTTGAAGAAATTGTGATGCTGCTCAAGAAAGAGCTTTCCAAGACCGTGGATGAGCAATATGAACAGGTAAACCACTCAGCCATTGTGGATATGCCGGTGGTGCTAACGCCTTCTATAGAACAGCGAATACCGCCAACTCTTGATTCAGTCAATACATCACTGCGCCATCAAGTTCTCGGAAATTGCCGCCAGCGTCGTCGATCTCCTTATGGACTTCATTGCCGATTTCAACAACAACTCCGCCGTTGACGTGATTTCCTTCGTCAAGGAGGTTGTTGAGAAATTCCCCAAGCTGCGTGCGGCAATTGTCGAACGCCTCGTCTCCACTCTGAGCGAGGTTCGGGCTGGAAAGGTCTACCGCGGCGTCCTCTGGGTTGTTGGAGAATACTCCTTGGAAGAGAATGACATTCGAGAGGCCTGGAAGAAGATCCGGGCTAGTCTTGGAGAAATTCCCATCTTGGCTTCGGAACAACGGCTGCTCGATGAGGTCCCCGATGATAGTGCTCTTCTTACGCAGGAGCAAGCGAACGGCCATGCTAAGGCTGCAACCCCGTCTGGATCGCGGAAGGTGTTGGCGGATGGAACATACGCGACAGAGAGCGCTCTCACCAGCCAGTCTGCTGCGGCCGCTCGACTGGAAGCGGTCAAGGCAGCCCAAAAGCCGCCCCTTCGTCAGCTCATTCTGGATGGTGACTACTATCTCGCCACTGTTCTCTCTTCGACCTTGACCAAACTGGTGATGCGGCATTCCGAAGTTTCGCAGGATGCCGCCCGCACCAATGCTCTTCGCGCCGAGGCGATGCTTATCATGATCTCGATCATGCGCGTTGGCCAGTCACACTTCGTCAAGGCTCCCATCGACGAGGACTCGGTGGACCGCATCATGTGCTGCGTGCGCTCTCTGGCCGAATTCTCCGAGAAGAAGGATCTCGAGACCACCTTCCTCGAGGACACCCGCAAGGCCTTCCGTGCCATGGTCCAGGTTGAGGACAAGAAGAGAGCCGCCAAGGAGGCTTCGGAGAAGGCAAAGAGTGCCGTACAGGTTGACGACGCCATCCCCATTCGACAGTTCACCAAGAAGAATGCCACGGAGGGGGCCGAGGAAATTGAGCTGGATCTCGCCAAGGCCACGGGTGGCGAGACCGTCGTGGAGAACGTCTCCTCGAAACTGAGCCGGGTGGTGCAACTAACTGGTTTCTCTGACTCGGTCTACGCGGAAGCCTATGTTACGGTTCACCAATTCGATATTGTCCTGGATGTGCTGCTGGTCAACCAAACCGCCGAGACCCTGCAAAACCTGTCCGTGGAGTTTGCGACTCTCGGAGATCTCAAGGTGGTTGAGCGGCCGTCGACACACAACCTGGGCCCGCGCGACTTCCTGAACGTGCAGGCAACGGTCAAGGTGTCCTCGACCGACACCGGTGTCATCTTCGGTAACATCGTCTACGATGGCGCCAGCTCCACCGAGACTCACGTGGTCATCCTCAACGACATCCATGCAGACATCATGGACTACATCCAGCCAGCGCAGTGCACCGAGACGCAGTTCCGGACCATGTGGACCGAGTTCGAGTGGGAGAACAAGGTCAACATCAACTCCAAGGCCAAGACCCTGCGGGACTTCCTTAAACACCTGATGGAGAGCACGAACATGGCGTGCTTGACGCCCGACGCGTCCCTCAAGGGCGACTGTCGGTTCCTGAGCGCCAACCTGTATGCGCGGAGTGTATTCGGTATGTCTCTTCTTCCAACTTTCAAACCGGTTAACTAACTATGTGTGTAGGCGAGGATGCCCTGGCCAACCTGAGCATCGAAAAGGAGGGCGATGACGGGCCGATCACCGGATTCGTGCGGATAAGAAGTCGGTCGCAGGGCCTGGCACTGAGCCTGGGCTCGCTGAAAGGACTGAAGGCTGCGGCAGCGTAGTAGAATGCAACCCTAACTATATCTTTACTTAGTCCCCTGTTCACTTCCTCGAGACGAATTTGTTTATTTCCTTTTTTTCCTGTTCTTTCCTTTCTTCTCTGGAGTCCGTCAGTAACTAGGTCGTGGATAGAAAAACAATTTGATCTAGGTTCTTTCTTATCCTGTGTCTCATCCTCCCACTATTTACACGCCTGTTTGGGGGCCACAGTCATCACCAGCCGCGGCTTCCCGGTGGAGACACAGCCAAGCGAGGGACACCTTTCTTCCTCCTTCTTCCTCCTCTTCCTCTTGATGATTTGTATTCTTAGCTCTGTATACTTATATCTTCTTAGCATTGCCATGCTTTGACCTGATCTCCCCTCCAGAATGTCCGCTACCTCCCCCGCGCCCGACCAGCCCCTGCTGCGCGACGCGGTCGTGATCGTCGACACCTCGGTCTCCCTCACGCTCGGCACCGACTCGCTCTTTGTCGTCGGTAAGAACTGCGCGCCTGTCCCCGTCCCTTATGCATCACTGACCACGCGCACAGATGAGCGCTTCGCTCGCAAACCGGACCGGAGTTGCTGTGGATTATCCAAGTCCAGTACGTCAGACCATTATTTTGGTGGCCCCTCGGTGGCCGATCGATCGCGCCGCGACGAAGCTTATTATGGCCGTGCCCGCTGACATTTTCCCCAGAAGAACCAGAGACCAAACACGCCATTGCCCTGCTCAATGTCCTCGACGCCGAACTGAGATCCTGTACCCTCATCATCACTTATGCGCGCTCCGCGGGCAAGAACGACGTCTCCGTCGCTACTCTGGAATACCCCGTTAGTCAGAAGGAGAGCCCGACGATTGAGACATGGGTCCGCAAGTTGGTCGAACGTGCGTATGGGACTGCGCAACGCAGGAAGAGACTGAAGGTCTTGGTGAATCCATTTGGTGGGACAGGAACCGCTTCCTATCTGTACGAGACTTATGCGGCGCCGATCTTCGCCGCGGCCAAGTGCGAGATGGACGTGCAGGCCACCACCCATCGCGGACATGCGATTGAGATTGCTGAACAGCTGGATTTAGATGCGTACGATGCTGTTATCTGTTGCTCGGGCGACGGGCTGCCGTACGAGGTTTTCAATGGATTGGGGAAACGGCCGAATGGTCGAGAGGCTCTGGCCAGAATGGCCGTTGCTTTGCTGCCCTGCGGGTCTGGGAACGGGATGACGTGGAACTGTTTTGGAACAGATAGCGTGTCTATCACGGCGGTGGAAATTGTCAAGGGGCTCCGGACGCCACTGGATTTGGTCTCCATCACGCAGAAAGACTCGCGCACGCTGTCCTTCCTCTCGCAGTCGTTCGGCATCGTGGCGGACTCGGATCTGGGCACGGATAATATCCGATGGATGGGCGCGCAGCGCTTCACGTTCGGGTTCCTGATCCGTCTTTTGCAGCGCACTATATACCCCTGTGACCTGGCGATGAAGGTCGATATGAAAGACAAAGCGGCCATCAAGGAACACTACCTCTCATTCAAAAATCGACCAGATGATCCTCCCTCTGCCGACAGCGACCGCACAGAGGCTGCAAAGCAATCACCCGGTCTGCCAGAGCTCAAGTACGGCACGGTGATGGACAAACTTCCCGAGGACTGGGAAGTCATCCCAGGCGAAACCATGGGCAACTTCTACGCAGGCAACATGGCAATCATGACAAAGGATACGAACTTCTTCCCGGCGGCGCTTCCGAACGACGGGTTCCTGGACGTGGTCACCATCGACGGCATGGTCAGCCGCGCCTCGTCGCTGAAGATGATGAACGAACTCGCCACCGGCGGGTTCTTCGACATGCCCGATGTCAACGTGCGCAAAGCCACCGCGTTCCGTTTGGTCCCGCACGAAAAGGAAGGCTACATCAGCATCGACGGCGAGCAGGTGCCCTTTGAAGCGTTCCAGGCCGAGATCCACCATGGCCTAGGCACGATACTGTCCAAGTCGGGCCGGGTCTACGAGGCAGAGGGCCCGAGAGTATAGATTATGGTTTTTTGTGTTGTTTCCTTCTGGGTCTTTGCCATCCCACATGATACCCTCGCGCAATAGACTCAGTGTCTTGTTTTATTGTTTTGTTGTTCTTTTTTTGCTTAGCTCGCCGTTTCATGGGCCAGAGGTGCCTAGAAGAGGCTCTTCGAGTGTACAGTAGCCACAAACCGCTTTGTATAGTTTAAATCCTGTTATCATTTCGTTGCAAAATGAGGACCGATGGATCCCCGTTTCCGAGTAGTTTTGTCCTCTAGCACGCCGATCGTACGCCGTCTAGTAACCTCCCCTCCAAAGCCTCGACATGAAAGACAAACCTCGACCTATTCGATCTCCTATCCTCTATCCTTGCTATATCCTCCTTGCCTTAGCCCATCTATCTTATATTAATCGCTATGCCTCTAAAATTTCCCTAGCCTAATCGACACTGCCTATATTTCTTTGGTGAAGGAGACGGATAGATTGGATAAAAGATGAGCGTGAAAGTCTAGTATCTGCGAAATATATTGGCTCTCAACAAGAAGAGATATTGCTGAGTAGCTGTTGGTCCCCGTGATGCAACAGGTTTAAATACGGATGCGACAAGAGTCATGTGTATCAAGAGGGTGCAGGTCAACCTGATGCCGTTTGCCAAGCGTGTGCCCGACAAGTCTTAGGCCTCAGACCCAACCTGATTTGTGTGTTTTCAAATTCAATTCCCAGGCCAGTAGACCTATGTTTTTGCCGGGCCGTCCTTGGTAGCATTAGAAATATGTTATCACAATGCTCCTATCCACCATCTTGGGCCAAGATGGGGCCAGGGCGAATAATTTCTGGAGCTAGGTTATTAAGTGACAAGGATAACATGAAAAATCAGATTAAAGGAAACAAAATAACCACTTATTTGGTAGAAGGGCTTAAAAAATGCGTTTTGATAGTTCAGTCCAACGCTGTTATCCAAAAAGAGGGGCTTATAATGAAAAGACATATCTATCGCAATTGTATAAATATCAGAGGCTCTGCAAGGTGCCCTTGACTACTCGATTCTTCCAGTATTGGCCCCTCAACCAACAGGTTATGACTATATTACTGAAAATAACACTAGGTCTGTTAGTGGGCTTGGCTGTGAAAGAACAAAGGCTTCCCCGGGAGCACACCTAGAAGGAACACTGCCAAGAGGGATCAATGCCAAGAAGGAACAGCCCTTAGAAGGGACCATGCCTAGAATTTTCCATTTACGACGACAAGATGATTGAACAGGGTCCCACGCGAGCTGGTAGGAGGCATATTACGGAGTGGTTTGAGTTAAATACAGAGGGCAGAGATTCGACTATATCTACAACCGAGCCTAAGAGTGTGCTAACGTGTTCCCTAGAGTGTTAAGATAGGAGGTATATCAAGGTGGTGCAAGCAGCGGTTGAGACTTTTGCGCTCGAACTCAGCCTGTCTAGACATCTCTCCAAGGTTGTAGTGAATGCCTGATTACGTTTGAAAAAGCATGGGATCTGTCGAAGATCAGTCTCTACTCTACAAAAGCCTCGCGGACCGTGAATTGGATCTTGGCACTCCGTCAATTGATGTCTTGGCTGCTGGTAAAGGGGGCTAGCCGCCTTGGCGGAGTGTCTGGGCGGAGTGTCTTGGCGGAAGGGAATTGTGCTGTCTTCATATCTCGAGCCAAATAGGATGCCTTGACAAAAGGGGCCGCCTTGGAAAGAGGGTCTGTACTCCGTAGCAGGGGCCATATTACTACCTGATTCCACATTAGGGAAAGAAATCGACCCATTTCCCCTTTTCATGTCTTTTTATAGATAGCCATAGATCCTATAAGAAGAATCGAAAAATTCAACGCGGGTCTACAGTTGGTTCTGCTTCCCGACTTTTCTTTTCTTTTCTTACGCAGCTTCCTGTATCTGCTTGCGACTTCATAGCCAAGATACATCAGAATGCTTCCACGAGCTGTGTCTTCGATGCTTCTCTCAATATGCCTTGTCCTTTCCGCCCTTGATCAGCAGTGTGTTGCCTCAGTCCTCAAGCGCAAGGCCTGCAAAATACATCACCATTCTCATGATGACGATGTAATGCATACACATACGCCTTCAGCCACACCATCGCATATCCCTATGACTATAACGGAACCTCCTACAGGAATCCAAACGGCACCGCCTAAACACCTAGGCCAACCGACGATCGACTGCACGAGACAAGGGCCGATACAAGCGGAAGGCCTCACCGAAGCCGTGTGTCTCTGCCCTAGTGGTACTGCAACGGTCTCTCTCCCAGTCCTCACGGTTCCCCCGCACGGGGGGTTCGGCCCGGAGGCCAGTTGTGCATATACGGCTCTGCCGACATCAGCCGAGGACCTGAATCCAATCACCTCGATATGGGCTAGCACCTGGACCAACATAATGGATTGCAGTGATTGCACTCTGACTGGAGGGCAAGACAATGCTGCAGATTGTACGAGTATGCCTTCATGCACGCCAGTGCCCACAGTGAAAGTCACCTATTCGAATAACACGATACCGGTTGGTACTTTCGTCAACCCGGATAAGGACTATTCGCCGTCCAAGAGGAAGAGAGACTCGACTCCACGAAATGTGACTCTTGCCACTGAACGGTTGTTCAATGGGATGGTGGATGAGGGCGGACCGTGTGCAGCGACGTCGGAAGGTTGTAACAGCAAAACAGACTTGGTGTTCGACGACGTGATCACTACCGCTGGGGAGGGAGAAGAATTCCTCAAAATAACGTTTACTGTGGATCAAAGTGTTTTCGATGATGAATATGCCCGAAACGAAATGCTAGTCGCAGGGCTCACCTGGTGGTCGCTAGTAGCTACCCAGAATTGCCAGGACGTGGATTACAAGGACGCGGCGAGTAACACGGGATCTGGGTGTGGCTCTGGGCCCCTCAAACGGTCGCAAGTTGAAATGGATAAGCGAAGTCCCGTCAGCCCTGGAGATGTTGACGTAGACACCGGCATGGAATGCACCTACCAAGTCAAACTCTGCCAAGCGCCAGATGCAATTCGTAAGTCGAGGGTTTCCATACGACCAATACCTTCACTACTAATCAGGGAGCAGATGTCGTTAAGGGGCCGCATGACGACCCGTATAAATACTCGTTAGACATTCAAGTTGCATCTGAGTTGGAAAATGAGACAAAGGGATTGACATGCAAGCAGATTTTAGGAGCGACCGAGGCTGCGATCGTTGCCTTGGGATTCTGGAACCCTGGACTGGCAGCGCAAGCTCAAGTCCAAGCATCGAGATTCATCGCCATGTGTGAGATCGGAGAGCAGATATACGAGCACCTGGACGGTGGATCTACGGTGTCTGGATCTACGGACTCGGAATCTACGGACGTGGGAAGTTGGCTACCTTTACTAGAGAGTTTGGAAGCCTGGGCCGCGGTTTGAAGAATGCATAATGCAGTACCGTGTGAATTTAGCAACTCGTAATGGGAATAGGATTGCTTTTTATTCAATCCCTAGGGAAGTACAGAAAGTGGAAGGCGTGCCGAGTAAAGAATGGACCAAAGAAAGCATTCAAGGAAAAAGGAAGACAACCCCCTAAAAAGCAAAGTACAACCTCCCTGAATATCCGAATCCTAGACATCAGTGATCACACAAGCAACCGGGTCCCATATCTTCACGGCGGTGGGTAATATGATGTCTCCAGTGGCCATAGGACCCGCTAGGGACCAGGCCCCTCCGCTCGAGCCTCAGAACCAGGTACACGGCCCAGTATTGACAGCTCTGTGGTGGGATAGCCCTGGCTTGTTGCTCAACCATACGACCTTCAGATGCTGGAATTCGGGAAAGGAAGAGTATTCTATCGATACTCCAGCTATCGAATCGTTTGTTAGGTTCAATCAAAAGATCACGATCATTGGGGGAACCAACACAGTGGAGCCAGATGCATCGCTGTGCGCCTGGATGGACCATCATGACCATCCAGTGGATAGGACCGTTGGGGAACTGTTCTTTGCAAATTGCCAGGAAGAGATCATAGTGTGCTCGGCCCACTCGAGACATCGTAATCTGCAAAGTGTGAAACGTTGATGAGACTTGGTGGAACGTAAAGCGAGGAAACAATATTCAGAGTAATAGAATGAATAGAGTGAAGCTGTTCTTGTTGCCCTAACTGTTCACTATGATGAAGCGATTTCATCTGAGCAGGGACTCCATCTTTCTTATATGCATCCCATCGAGACCGTTGACTTGCGGCGCACAAGATTAGTTAAAACAGATCCCTTGTTGACCAAGACAATAAAGTCTCTATGTGCTATTCCTATCCTTTGTTGTGTAGTATTCATTTCTTGGTGGGCAAGACCTGTTCTTTGATCTCGATACGGAACAAGAAAAGGTTTGACAGAAAGTGCGTCAAGCCCAACAAAAGCATACTCGGATCCTTGAAGGTGTTCTCCATTCTGTCTATTTGAAGCCATTGGCCGAATGGTACACTAGTGATTACCAGAATTCTTGCCTCCGACAAGTATGAGGCGGGTAAACGAGGAAATGAAATCCTTGTCGGACAACGCGGTACCGCGTGGAGGACTGGTAGCATAATTGACGTGATAAGGGCTCTGAGCCATCTCTCTCTGAACGCCATGGCTGTGTACAAACGCGTCTCTGACAAATACCCAACCTGTTTCTTTGTTTATGTTCTTTCGACGGCCTATATTTGGCGCCCGCTTGCTACACCTTTCTATTGCATTATAATGCACTAGTATTTCCTGCCAATTCCACACCTGGGTGTAAATCTTGAAACAATGCTATTGCTATCAAATAATGCAGGTCTAATAAGAACATATTCTACACTCACCCGATTAATCAATCATCGCCAAACCCACCCCATTCTTGCTCGCTGTCTTCATCCTCCTCCTCTTCAACTTCCCTCTCCCGCACCCCCCACTCAACCAACCGATCATCACCCAATGCCTCGGCCGCCCTCGTTCGCACAGGCTTGTAGGGACTCTCCGTGCGCAGCTTCTCCAGTGGCTGCAGAAGCAACTCCATGGGGACATCGCCCTTGATATTGCGGGTGCCTCCCTCAGTTTCATCCTCCTCAAACTCAAGCACTTTCTCCAACTCGTCAACCCAGATATCAACAACATGGTAGCGAAGTCCATCCGGGCCATGCGGCATAGGCACGAAATTAGGATCCCCTCCCTCCTCTGTCACAGGTTTGGAAGGCTGGTCTGGGTCGAAGTTGCGCGGACACAGCGGGCCCTCCTCGATGATGGAGATGTAAGCCTCGAGGTCTGCCCATTTGCCCTCCGATGTCTCATCATCTTCTGCACTAGGGGTCGCTTTGGTCTCATCCTGTTTCTTCTGCCTTTTCCCACCCTTTTTCTGCTTGGTATCCTCTCGCTTGCGCTTCTTTCCATCTTCTTGGGTTTGCTCAGTCTTCCGCTTCACAAAGGCCTCAAATGCAACACCGACGTAGCAACGAATCAGGAACAGGTACTTGTCCAGCCGTAACCGGTCGAGCGAGTGGAAGTCGCGGCCGATGGTGATCCAGAAAGCGCGCAGGAAGCGGTGCACGGTTTGGTGGGGGAGGGAGGGGACGAGGGAGTAGGAGAGAGCGCGCGCGAGGGCTTGCTGGGTGAGAGGTCTGTCGGAGTGGTAGAAGCCTGTTCATGTTGTTAGTTTTGGTTCGGATGGCTATAAAGCGAGTTTGCGTACAGAAGAACAGGCCCTTCCATAGCTTGAGGAGGTCCACGAGGGTGAGGTCGGTGCGTGAGCGGAGGAAAAGAGTTAGGGACTCGAGGGCCTTGTCGCGAGTCTTGCGGTCTGGTATGTTCAATTAGCATTTATCATTCGGAGCAAGACGGCATGGACGCATACCGCTCGAAGCGAGCTCCCTGACAAAAGGAGTCTTCTCGATCTCGGCCATTGTGTCTGTTGGTTAAGGAATTTGGTTATCGTTGCGATAAATTATTTTTTTCAATAGATAGCAGGTTTGCACTGTTTGCCTACATTTGTGGCCTCAGGCATCCACTGTAGATGTGATCAGCTCAGGGTTAGTTGGAACTTCAATTATTCCGTCATTGCTGTGTATGGATCTCCCATTTCTCCATTCTACTACAGCTTATTGCATGGCTTGATTGATTCAGGTACATGATGGCCTCTGTGTTGCCGTTGCTAGCTGAGCGCTGCATCCGGCGGTGCCAATGCCATCCCGCTGGATATTGACATCACGACTTCCATTCCTCGCCGAATGAGAGCACACCAACCCTGAGACCCCAATAATGTGGGCTCTGGATCAGGGTCGCATGTTGCATGTTTACCCACCAGTGCTGGTTGTGACACCTACCCCGTTGTTGTAGATGTCATTGTCTCACCAGGAACACTTCTGTCTGCGTCTTTCTGTTTGTTACCTCCCTCTTACCTGTGGCTATTCTCATCGGCAACATGGCCCAACAGGATGAAGGAAACGACGAGATCTTCCAGCCCAGCTCCTCCCATGACCATCGTGGGTCGCAGTCGAGCTCTGTTGCCACTTCCGAGAACGATGAACAGGTGTTCGAGCACTTCCGTCCTGAGGACCGCGCCGAACTCACTCGCTTAGCGTCGAATTTCCCGGGGCACAAGGCCACCGACTCTGGGGTTGCTGGCATGGGAGGCATCGAGCGCAAGGATACGCTGGAGGGTCTCGAGCTGGGTGATCCAGTGCTCGATCCCACGAGCGACCAGTTCGACCATTACAAGTGGGCTCGCATGATGCTCAAGCTTATGGATAGAGAGGGTGTTCCTATGCGCAAGTCCACCGGTGTCGTGTTCGAGAACCTCAACATCTCCGGCACCGGCTCGGCACTTCAATACCAGAACAATGTAGCTTCGCTGTTTATGGCACCCTTCAGGCCTCAGGAGTATCTAGCCTGCGGAAATCGGGTGCCTCAAAAGCAGATTCTGCGGGACTTTGACGGCGTCCTCAAAAGCGGCGAATTGCTTATTGTGCTCGGTCGCCCTGGTAGCGGTTGTTCAACTCTCTTGAAGTCTATATCCGGGGAGCTCCATGGCCTGAAAGTGGGAAAGGGTTCAGATATCCAGTACAACGGCATCTCCATGGAGAAGATGCACAAGGAGTTTAAGGGCGAGGTTGTCTACAACCAGGAAGTCGACAAGCATTTCCCTCACCTCACTGTGGGCCAGACGCTGGAGTTTGCAGCTGCAGCAAGGACTCCAGAGAACCGGCTGCACGGTATCAATCGGCTGTCTTACGCGAAGCACATCACTCAGGTAGCCATGGCTGTTTTTGGTTTAAGCCATACATACAACACCAAAGGTGCGTCTATACTATTTTTGAACCAAGAAGAAGAGGCTAATAAATCATTTAGTGGGGGATGACTACATCAGAGGCGTTTCAGGAGGTGAGCGCAAGCGAGTTAGGTACGTAAACTTTCATTACATTCCTATTTCGTTCCTGACGTTTGACTTAGCATTGCCGAGATGGGCCGTGAGTTATACGCCCTCATATAAAGTACTTGAAGTTAAACTGACCCTGTACCAGTCTCTGGAGCCCCCGTTGGCGCATGGGACAACAGCACTCGCGGCTTGGATTCTGCCAGCGCACTGGAATTTGCCAAAGCACTGCGAGTTTCGTCGAACCTGACTGGGAGCTGCCATGCGGTTGCAATCTATCAAGCATCTCAAGCAATTTACGATGTCTTCAACAAAGTCATCGTGTTGTACGAAGGACATGAGATCTTCTTTGGTCCTTGCAGTCAAGCCAAAGAGTACTTTGTCAACATGGGCTGGGACTGTCCGCCACGACAGACCACCGGTGACTTCCTGACTTCTGTCACAAACCCCCAGGAACGTATTGCTCGCGAGGGTATGGAGAGCAGAGTTCCGCGCACGCCAGGTGAGTTTGAAAAGTACTGGAAGAAGAGCCGTGAGTACGCTGCTCTGAAGAAAGAGATCGCCATGTACCGCGAAGAGTATCCTCCGGGTGGGACTGCTGAGAAGGACTTTGACGAGACGAAAAGGTTACGACAGGCCAAGCATGTTCGGCCTAAGAGTCCTTATGTCATTTCTATTCCTATGCAGGTTCGACTGTGTACCAAAAGAGCTTACCAAAGGTTGGTTTTCTGGCCATTCTAATCTTTGGTACATCAGGCTGATGTTCTTCAGAATTTGGAACGACAAACCATCTACTTTGACAACGGTTATTGGGCGGATTGTCATGTCTCTGGTCATTGGATCGATCTACTTTGGGTAAGCGCAGGCTTCGAACAGTTAATGCACGGTTACTCACTTGCTTAGAACGCCAAATGCAACCGTGGGTTTCCAAAGCAAAGGGGCTGCGATTTTCTTCTCCGTCTTGTAAGTCTCGATAAAACTGCAACAGGATCTTGGCTCTGATACCCTCTAGGTTGAATGCTCTTATCAGCATCACCGAGATTAATTCGCTCTACGACCAGCGGCCTATCATCGAGAAGCAAGCTTCCTATGCCTTTGTTCATCCATTTACCGAGTCGCTGGGTGGCATTGTCTCTGATATACCGGTCAAATTCGTGGCTGCTGTGGTGTTTAACATTATTTTCTACTTCTTGGCGAGCCTGGTATGTGATATCCCCAGTTATGATATCGAACAAACTAACAAAGTAAATGAAGCGGTATGCGCCTTCTCAATTTTTCATATTCTTCCTTTTCACCTTCCTCAGCACTCTGACAATGTCATGTGTCTTTCGGACACTGGCTGCTTGCACCAAAACTCTCGCACAAGCTATGTCCATGGCCGGAGTGATGGTGTTGGCGATTGTCATTTACACGGGATTCGTGATCACGGTCCCAGAAATGAGCTCCATCCCCTGGTTCAGCTGGATCCGGTGGATAAACCCTGTCTTCTACGCGTTCGAGGCGCTGATTGCCAACGAATTCCACGGCCGTCGCTTTGAGTGCTCTCAGTTCATCCCAGGCTACCCAAGTCTGAGTGGTAATTCCTTCATATGTTCTGTGCGCGGTGCTGTGGCAGGCGAACGAACCGTTTCCGGGGACGCCTACATCCAATCCCAGTACACGTACACATACGCGCACGAGTGGAGAAACCTGGGCATCATGATCGGTTTTTGGATATTTTTTATGGTGCTCTATCTGGTTTCGTCGGAACTCAATTCAGCCACTTCTTCGAAAGCCGAGTTCCTGGTATTTCGGCGAGGCCATGTGCCTGCCCGTCTCCGTCAACTTGACAAGGGCCATAAAGGTACCACCGACGTGGCAGAAGTGGAGAAGGAACAGAAGAAGGAAAACACGGAAAGAGACGCATCGGCAATTCCAGCGCAGCACGATATCTTCACGTGGCGGAACGTCTGCTACGATATTCCTGTTAAAGGTGGCGAGCGACGTCTGCTGGACAATGTCTCCGGCTGGGTCAAACCCGGTACGCTTACCGCTTTGATGGGAGTATCTGGTGCCGGCAAGACGACTTTACTCGATGTTCTCGCCAAGCGTGTCTCTATTGGCGTTGTTACAGGCGACATGTTTGTCAATGGCAAATCGCTGGATACCAGTTTCCAGAGAAAGACCGGTTATGTTCAGCAGCAGGACCTTCATCTCCCTACCACGACGGTGAGAGAGGCTCTCCGATTCAGTGCGATACTGCGCCAACCCAAGACGGTCTCCAAGAAAGAAAAGTACAAGTATGTTGAGGAGGTGATCGATATGCTCGGCATGCAAGAATTTGCCGACGCAATTGTTGGAACTCCGGGAGAGGGCCTGAATGTTGAACAGAGAAAGCTCTTGACGATTGGGGTTGAGCTGGCTGCGAAGCCCGCGCTTCTGATCTTCCTCGATGAGCCCACTAGTGGATTAGATTCGCAAAGCTCATGGGCTATCTGCTCTTTCCTGCGCAAACTGGCTGAGCATGGTCAAGCTGTTCTCTCAACTATTCATCAGCCAAGTGCTCTGTTATTCCAGGTATGAAACCCCATCACAAAGATGCATATCCTTGCATGTCTTAAAATGCCATCTAACTGGAAGCAGCAATTTGACCGCCTTTTGTTTCTTGCGAAAGGAGGAAAGACTGTCTACTTTGGAGAAATCGGAGAGCAATCCCGCGCTTTATTGGATTACTTTGAGAGCAACGGGGCCCGAGTCTGTGGCTCTTCGGAAAACGTAAGATTGTGAAACCTAGGATGAATGATCACATGCTAATAGACATAGCCTGCCGAATACATGTTGGAGATCATTGGCGCCGGTGCTTCTGGCAAAGCCGACAAAGATTGGTCTCTGGTATGGAACAACAGCTCACAAGCAAAAGACGTGCAGGCAGAAATTGATCGCATTCACGAGGAACGGGCGTCGATAGGCAATACCGAAGAACCGGCTCAGCGGGATGAATACGCAATGCCCTTCCGGTTTCAGCTATGGCATGTCACGCATCGTGTGTTCCAGCAGTACTGGCGAGAACCGTCCTATGTCGGAGCAAAGATTCTCTTAGGAGCTCTGTCCTCGCTCTTTATTGGATTTACGTTTTTCAAGCCCGATAGCTCGCTACAGGGATTCCAGGATGTTCTGTTCAGTGCCTTTATGCTGACGTCTATCTTCTCAACACTGGTGCAGCAGTAAGTATACCGCCAGAAAGACCTCTTGCCGAAACTGACATACCATCAGGATCATGCCCAAGTTTGTTGTCCAACGGTCCCTATATGAAGTTCGCGAACGACCCTCCAAAGCGTACTCATGGGCCGCGTTTCTGATTGCAAACGTCATCGTCGAGGTCCCATGGCAGATTCTAGTCGCGGTTATTTCCTGGGCCGGTTACTACTTCCCGGTTTACGGTGCCTCTCAAGCGTCTCACCGGCAGGGCTTGATGCTGCTTTTGATCGTCCAGTTCTACCTCTTCACGTCCACCTTCGCATCGCTCGTGATCGCGGCGCTTCCAGACGCCGAGACTGGTGGCACAATCGCGACACTGATGTTCATCATGTGTCTTACTTTTAACGGAGTCTTGCAGCCGCCGAACGCTTTGCCAGGATTCTGGATCTTTATGTACCGTGCTTCGCCTCTCACATACCTGATTGCCGGCCTCACAGCTACTGGTTTGCATGGCCGCCCGATCCACTGTGCAGATGCCGAGCTGAGCGTGTTCAATCCGCCTTCTGGGTTAACTTGTGGGGAATATCTTGAACCTTACGTCAAGGCTTCTGGCGGACAGCTGTATAATGCGGCCGCTACGAGCGGATGTCAATTTTGTCAGTTAACCAACGCCGATCAGTACCTGGCACCCAGCAATATCTGTATGTTGTTTCATACCCCTTTTGGTGTTGTACAAAACTAATTCATATCATTATTTAGTCTACAGCGAGCGTTGGCGCAATTTCGGACTAGGCTGGGCCTACATCTGTTTCAACGTCTGCGGTACTGTCCTGCTTTACTACATGTTCCGCGTCAAGCACTACAACCCCACGACTCTGGTGCGTGGTATCGGCCGTGGTGCATCATTCCTGTGCCGAGTGTTCAAGCGACGGTCTGGACAGACGCCCGAGGGGAAAGAGGCGGACAACGGACGACTGGTTTAAAGTATTGTGATGTAATCATTCGGAAATTACTTTTTCTTGTTCCTAAAAAAGTCCCATCCAATCTACAACAGCAGTAACCATAAGGCTAAGACTTGCTCGTCACATCCCTTGGAATCTGCAATATACTCTCCAGCTCCTCAATTGAGGTCCGTCCTGCCCATGCCACACTCAGTTGCAACCCCGAAACGCTCCACGATAATCTAAGCCACTTGCATTATCTGCCGACTTCCCTCGTCGTCCTTGGCATGCACTAACCCAAGACAGAGCTTAGCGCCCTCGCCTACGTTCAGTCGCTCTAGCTAAAGTAGCTTTCGTCTATTCTGTTTTTCGGCACAGGAAATGAAGCCAGCTCATGCGATGTGGGTAAATAACCTTAACCACATCATTTGCGAGATCCACGCTCAGAGCTAGGTCTTCAGGCTCGGGGAGATTATTTCTGTGGCTTCTCCAGCGTTTATGGGCTTTAGAAGTAGGTGATAAGAACATACGAACGGATGGGCTGGAGACACTCCGATTGAAGCGTAGAGAATTCAATCAGGAAAGAGAAATCTATGCCACTATATATTTTATGAGACTCAATACACAAATATTAACAAAAAATCGATCATGACCTATGCGAGTAGGTCCATTACCAAAACTGAGGCGGCATCCACCCTGGCTCGCGATCACGCTTAACCTTGGGCTTGCACGGAGAGTCAGGCTCAGGGCTGGGCGAGTCACCAGGGAAAGGTTTCGGCTTGGGCTCAGGACCTGGTTCAGGACCCGGCTTGGGACCAGGAGCAGGACCAGGCTTGGGGCCGGGAGCAGGGCCAGGCTTAGGTCCAGGAGCAGGACCCGGCTTGGGACCAGGAGCAGGACCAGGCTTAGGGCCAGGAGCAGGGCCAGGTTTGGGGCCGGGAGCAGGACCCGGCTTAGGGCCAGGAGCAGGGCCAGGCTTAGGGCCGGGAGCAGGACCTGGTTTGGGGCCGGGAGCAGGGCCAGGCTTAGGTCCAGGAGCAGGACCAGGCTTAGGGCCAGGAGCAGGGCCAGGTTTGGGGCCGGGAGCAGGACCCGGCTTAGGGCCAGGAGCAGGGCCAGGCTTAGGGCCGGGAGCAGGACCTGGTTTGGGGCCGGGAGCAGGGCCAGGTTTGGGGCCGGGAGCAGGGCCAGGCTTAGGTCCAGGAGCAGGGCCAGGCTTCGGTCCGGGAGCAGGACCAGGTTTGGGGCCGGGAGCAGGACCCGGCTTAGGGCCAGGAGCAGGGCCAGGCTTCGGGCCTGGCTTGGGTCCAGGCTCAGGCCCGGGTCCTGGGTTAGGTCCAGGCGGTTTAGGACCTGGCTTAGGGCCTGGGTTAGGAACTGGGATGGGTACTGGTGGTTCTGAGCTTGATGGCTCTGGCACGGGAGGAACTGGCGCTAGAGATGAAGTGGTAGTGACACCAGGGATTGCAGGGGCCGTCGAAGATCCGGGTGACCCAGTCGAAGGCTCCCCAGAAGGTCCAGGAATTGAGACACCAGAGGACCCCGGGGGAGGGATAGAATGTGTGCCTGAAGGTGCCACACTGGGGACGCTTGTTGGCCCCGAAGAGGGATTTGGCAAACTAGAATTGTGATGTTAGTGACCCGAAGCAAAAATTACATCCTCTGACAGATTCTCTGGCAGACAAAGAAGGGGAGACTTACCCGCTGGAGGGGCCTGGAGTTGGAATAGATGCAGCCGAGGAACCGAGACCGGGGAAAGGAGCAGTCGACGAGCCATGTGGTGGAGGCGCATTGCCACTTGAAGAGGGGGGAGGAACAGAGGCACCAGAAGAGGCCGGTGGAATAGAGGGCCTCGAAGTAGGCGGAGGGGGAGTAACATAGACACTGGAAGAGCCCGCGGGCCAAATAGAGCTTGGCGGACTAATTGGTGGCGGAACAATGCCACTCGAAGAGAAAGGAGGCGGGATATGGGGGATCGATGAGTGCCATGGAGGAAGACGAACGCTTGAAGGCGGGGGCGGAGGAAGATAGGGAGTTGAGATGGGAGGCGGAACAAGGGGATCGGGGATAGGTGGAGGAACACTCGTGGGAGGAGGCGACGTAGGCCAGGCTGTGGAAGGGTATATAGAAGGTGCAACAGTGCTAGAATCCACCGGGTAGGGCAGAAATGGGATCCATCCAGGGAAATAACGAGCGTCCAAAGGCAACCCTGATGCCAGGGGTGCCAGCAGGAAGCTGGTAAAAAGAAGGGATGTTTTATCAAGCATGACAGCCCTCTATACAAAATCAAAAAAGAAAATATAGTTAGTTGAAGCGATCACGCTGAAGAGAAATGAATAGAAAATAAAAATAATAAGGTCAGCGATATAGGGCCCTATCCATATTTATAAGAAGGCAGGGGTAATCAATGGGCTACCCTCTTCATCTGCAATCAAAATTAGTAGCAGTGGCAAGGCTCATGCCGACAATGGTCCGCAAGGCGTCCTAGAAGGAAGGCTTAGCTATAGAAACTCTACCAAAACAAAATGATAGTGTGGTCGCCGTCTTCGCCATTAAGCTCTGGCCAAGCAGGGTACTGATGATGATCGTCGGTATTAATCGGTATCCTCTTCAGGCCCAATATGAAAATGGCCTAAACTTAGTGATAGGCTAACCTGTTTGGAAATATGTGGTCGTTTCACGAGGCTGTGCGGCTTACCCTAATTTTTATACAAGACTCTGAAGCTAACCCCCACTGGATCTGAATCCTGAATCGAGGCGTCTGGTGGGAAATGTAACCACGGGAATTAAATCAATTTTAGTATAATCATCAACAATGTGAGATGATCCAGGTCTGAGGCACACGGCTGCTAGTGGGAATTGTTTTGCGAAACCATTTGGAGAAAATAGAGATTGTTTCAGCTCAGCCCAGCTCAGAACGAAGGTGATTAGAGAATGCAGAGAGCTCTCGACCAAGAGTTCAGAGATGTTCTAGATGACCCCAATATTACCTACACCATATGCCTTGATGCTGCCATGATATCTTGTTCTATATACATATTTCTAGCAACGAATGCCTCAAGCTTTCCGTAGGAATCTCTAATCCTGCTATTGTAAATGCATTCTAAGTAATGGAATTTCTGTCTTGGTCTCTTCTTTCTTCTGGGCAATTTGTCAAAGTACTTACATCACAGGGCTGTAATATTTCCATACTTCTATTTCTGGGCTACATCTATCGGGTAAAAATACATATAACAAAGGATGTTTGGCCACTAGTCAAGGGCACCGGTAATGTCAGCCCCGATTCGGAAAATGCTGTCATGCAGATAGGCTGCGACCTTTCTCTAGCACAGAAGGTGCCTTTTTTTTCCCCTCTCTTTCTTTCTACCGCAGCGGAATGAAATGGGCCTCGGGATCCGTGCAAATGTACATGAGTCGTGGGGAGCCAACGATGGTAGTATTCTTAGCCCTTTCATCCTGGAGGGTTCACCCTTTACCTAAGCCGCTAACTAGGAGGATTTAAAGCCTGCAACACGAGCCCCTGAATCTCAGAATACAGCCTAGTGCCCAAAAGTGCTTAGCTAAAGTTTAATCCAATCCCACAAATTGTAACTATTCTTCATCGACTAAGCCTCGGGCCCTTGGACGCCTTGATCAGCCTCGTTGCCACTAAACCTAATTCTGATATAAATCTGCAAACATAAAGCGAGATACGAGATCCTTGGTGAACCGGGTCAGGGCTAGCACTAATTTTAGCTTCTGACAAGTGGATAACCCCGGTTGACACAGCCTTGTGCAGACGATCATTATCTACCCCGTAGGAACTGCTGAGATGAAGCTATGGCTAGGAGATTCTGTGTAGGTTCAGATTAACACCCCCCATGTCTAAGCCTTCCTCAGCCGTCCGAGGGTGGGTCTCATGCATTCTGGAGGCCTAAGAACCTCTTCATCTATTGTTGATGCCAGCCACCTACTATTATTGGATATTCCCCTGATAATTTTGATATTTCCTGTCTCAAAACAAGGCATTTTAGCCCCAAATCGATTAAGAATAGATCCCGCACCTAGAGTATATAGTTACATTAAGCCCGACAGAGAGAAAAGTAAATAAGGCTAGTTGCTCACAGGAACAGATCCCTTTTATCTTCTTCCACTTTCTCGCGATCACTTTTTCTTTTCTTCCTTACTTCAACATCTTGCAACACAATGCTCGGGGCTAAAATCTTAGCATTGGGCGTGACCCTTATTACCTGCGTCTCAGGTGCTCTTTACCCTAATGGCCAGATCCCTCCAGGTCAAGTCATCGGATACCGCACCACAAACCCTGTATGCTGTCTCTGATGATCCCTTAGAGTCCTCAATATATTTCTGACTGTTCCAAAGGAGCAAGCTGCGAGATGGTTGAAAGCGGGAACCGTCACTCCCGACCCCAACAAGAACAGTTATCAGATTGGCAAGGGACAATACACATCTCCTAGGGCTGGTGATTGGTTTGGACCACAAGGCTACAAGTAAGAACAATTACAATATCTCTTTCCGGAGGACTTGTTCTGACTGGGCTGCCTTCACAGATATTGCATTATCACAGCCGATCCAAGGAAATGGGCCTTTGCCAACAAGGCCTGGATCCCCCATTTCTGGAATGGAAGGGACCTCTGGAACAGTGAGAGCTCGCTACAGGCCCAAGACGAATATCTTCAAAGCGTTGGAATGGATCCGGCAAAGACTTTCCGCCTGTCTCAGATCGCTGGTGACGAGGAGAAGCTCCAGATGGTCATTCCCAATGCGAGGACCAATGCCGAAGATGGCGGTATGAACCTGAAAGTTGAGTGCAAGGACTCTGTGGACGATTTCGAGGATAACAAGCCTGAGCTCGATTACTACAATTGGCCAAATGTCCACGGCACACCGCAGCGGCTTCCATGCCAAAACACCCAAAATCCACCAACTGAATGAGTTGGTGATTTCCCCAGATGTGTTTAGGATTTTTTTATGTATCTAGAATTGAGCGAGGATTTCCACATGCTGTACTTTTTGAGTAGACTAATGGATGGATGGATTGATTTACTTTTTCTCCTCCCTCCGTAAATGTACAGTGGCTGCCGTTATTGCCTGTCATGTCGGAAACAGAGAGACAATCTTTCAAACCCTAATTACCTGATGCGCTAAACATGATATGAGATGTACGTAAATGTCCGTTCTGTTCGTGCTCTTGTTTATGACCTTATGCGATCTGCTGTCCGCTCATGTCCGCTAAAGTCTGATTGGGTCTAGGAGCGCCTGAAGGGAAAGAAACATTACAAACTGATGGCCCTACATCTCGAACGACTCGTTAACTGTGTTGATGGTAGTGGCAGCCTAGATAGTCATGATTAGGTCCCTAGCGGTATCCGTTGAGAGCTGATTATAGAAAGTTAGGCAGGAAGAAAATTGAAGACAAGAACTGTCATGTCAACAACGGGACAAGCATATCCTCCAATTAGTATATAATGTTCTGCTAGCTTAAGCGAGTACTGCTTCCACGGTTACTTCATCTCTTCATCTGAGTAGCATCATATATTTCCTGAGCCTCGGGAAGTAGCCTGTGAGGGAGACCACGGGATGATAATAGACAGCACCTGGAAACATTGGCTTCTGGAATCCGACAACACCAAAAAGTCGTATTTCCAACTGCCAAAGGAGATCTACGGCGATATCTTAGTTTCGGAATTTGCCTCCTTCGCTTTCAATTCCTCTTTGGTAGGCTTTCTTGCCCACACGCGCCTCCTAAATGATATTAGCATCAAACAATTCAGCAGTGCGATTCGAAAGGTCACTTACACATAGTTATAGGCGTGAATTTGCGGATCCTTCAGCTCCACGCGCACTTTAGCCAGATACACCTGCACTTCCTCCTTCATCCACGGCACAGGCTCTCCAAAGTGGGTGAGAAGCCACATCGCCCAACCCTCTAGAGCGGCATTCCAGTGGGCATACTGGAGGTGTCCGACCTCCTTCAATAACTTATCCTTAGGCCAAGGTCCTAAGGGTATCTTTTGCTTCTCCTCGTGCACGTCCACGAACCCGGCTATCTCAATTGCGCTGCGCATCGTTTCTTGGGTGTTGAGTGACCGTCCGGCTCGCTGGGCGCATCTAATAAACATGTCACCCCACCCCCATAGCTGGTGTTCTTTCTTCAAGGTACCGTCATCGCTGCGGACTCGCACGTCAAATTCCATCTGCTCGATCCAGCCACCGGGTTCGAGGGCGCTATAGCGAAAGGAAAAAAAGAATATGAGGACTAGATTACCCACAAGATCGAGTGATAAGGATTGAAACTCACTCGTAAGCCTGTTTGTATACCTGATCCCATCCCTCAGGAGGGAAGGCGCCATACATTAGGCGCAAATGGATGAAGTCAAATGGCTCTCTCCATGTCCACTCGCGAAGCACATCATCCACTTCGAAGATGCAGTTCGGGGGCATCCATGACACTGGTGGAGGGAAGATATCCACGCCACGGACGGCAGCTAACCGGTGTCAGTCTGAGAATAGAAGGAGTCGAATCAAGAAGTCCAATACCTGATGGATAGGCATCGGCAACATCACTATAGACTTGTTAAAAGGTTCTCTGGAAAAGGGTTATTCATTGAATTACATTGCCCAACTCCCTTGACCAGTTCCGATGTCCAGAATATGCTATAATATGACGTTAGCGGGACGTTCAAGCGACAATCGCCTCGGTATAAATTCACCTTAGGCGAATCGCCAATAGGAGCGCGGAAAAGAGGATTCGGTTGGTTGTAGTCTAGCACGAGAAACACCATGTGGCTGAGTTTGTTAACATCACATGCCTTCTACCAACGTAGTAAGGCAGATACGGGGATGGGGTGCGATTTACCCAATCTCAAACGCCTCGAATTGCTGTTCGTCAGAAGGGCCCCTGCACATGGTTACTCTATGTAGAGACAAATGATGCATCGCAACCAACCAGTAGTCGTCTTCTTTAGTGGCCTGGTATCTACATTTCGGGTTAGTCTCAGGAAGCGATCTTGGACAGAAAGTGGACTGACCTTCGGCCGTTTTCTAACCGTCCCCTTGCGATCGCGGACGCAATAGATGTGGTCTCCCTGAAGACGACTTGAGTGAAATTCGACGATAGGTAGGATTCGCAGCGGCACTCACGACTGAAAATCCTGCAGATCCGCGTCGTAGCCAGTGGACATAGAGTAGAAATCAGGATCCTAGGCGAGAGATGAGAATGACCACATCAGAATATGAAAGCACCACTTACCACTGCAATTGGCTCCATATTTTCAGCCATTGTCGCGATACTTTTTCCAAAGACTAGGGGGAAGCTGTCACCGGAGGAGGATTTTCAGGTAACGGCTAGGGACCACGGAAGGCGGGGAGGTGGCGTGTTGGGACGGGCACGGGACTCCCCGAGGGTCCGCTCGAACCGTTTAAGTAGCAACTTCAGTCTAAGCCGGAGTACGGTCGGGTACATACAAAAAAGCACCAAAGTACGAGGGGGTGGCGGCGGGCTATTAGTGATTGGTCCACCGGTGACCCAGTCCACAGTACGCGATCTGCCATCGTTGTGATAGTTGCCTTACTGCTGTGGGGCGTCCCGGGTTCGCAGGAAAAGGGGCTAGCAGCAAATCTTTGCATCCAGCCAGTGAAAGATCCCCAAGGCCAGGCAGGGATCAGAACTCCGGACAGAGAACGCATCATAAGCTTGAATTACTATTCGTTCCCACTCAAACGGCCTGAATGTAGAGCTGTTAATAGGTGGTCTCTATGCACACTAGTCGGCAGTAGAAGATGGATCTACGTGCGTGCCAGAGCAGCTATTCCAGCGGAGGCGGTATGGGGCGACGGGGGAGCACGAATAGACCACACATAGCCCATAGCAACCGCCGCTATCAACCACCACCAGCCCCGCCAAGTCCCGTTCCCGCTCTATCCCGCAACGAATGTAGCGCATTTCAACGTTCAATAGTGCAATAGTATATAGCACGCCCGCGACCCCTCTAGACGATCCAACCTATCCACCTGATCCAGCGTGGAGGCCAAGATGGGAATTTCAAACTTCATCCACTTTGGCCAGCTCTCTCCTGGTGTTTCTTCCGCCATGGGGGGAACCACTTTATCTGGGCAGGCTGTGACGCTCGTCTGCGGTCTCTTGACCATCTATATCATCTGGGCAATCACGACGTATGCTAAGTTGAGGCAGTTCCGGGGACCTTTGTGGACCGGCATCTCAAACTGGCCTCATAGCATGGCGATGCTTCGGGGCAATTGCCACGAGTGGTATGCAGAAGTCAACAAGAAACATGGTGAGAGGCATCTTCCAGTCATCTCTTTTTCTTTGCATCTTTTCCTACCGCTAACAGTCTCGACTCGAGTCAGGGCCGATCGCGCGTGTCGCTCCTCAAGTGCTGATCACGTCCTCCCCTGAGGTTTGGACGCATGTGAACAACAAGCCGGGCTATAAGCGCTCCGATTGGTACTACAGAGCCGTTCGGATCGAGTATCGGAGAGACAATGTCTTCAGTCAGACGGATAACGCGAAACACGAGCGACGGAGGAAGCAGATGGCTCCAGGGGTATGATGGCTGCCTCTTCTTTCTTTCCGACTCCCTCTCACCCATTCATACCGCCATAGACCGCTGACCGATGACTCTTATAAAGTATTCCGGAAGGGAGAATATCCACCTCGAGGGCTCTGTAGATGAGCGACTCCAAGATTTCCTGAACCTCATCCGGTCCAAATATGTCTCGTCCGACCGCCAAGTTGTGCCCATGGACCTAGCGAAGAAGGTTCAGTATTTTACACTCGATGTCATTAGCAGCGTCGGCCTTGGCACGGCGTTCGGTATGCTGCAGAGTGACCATGACGTGGACGACTACCTCCAATCGAGCGAGGAGGGACTTGCTATCGGCCATACCGCCCTCGCCATGGGCTTTAGCTGGATCGCCCAGGCGCCTTTCATCGGCAGGTTCATTGCACCCTCACCCAAGGACAATAACGGCTTCGGTAAGATGATGGCAGCATGCTTTCGCCTCGTCGATGAACGAGCTGCGAGCTCCACCGACGAACGGTCAGATATGCTGGCCTCCTTCATGCGCCACGGCTTAAAAGACGACGAGCTGCGCACCGAGGCACTAGAGCAGATCATTGCGGGCTCCGATACCACTGCTGGCGCCATTCGTGGCACCCTTTTGCACGTCATGACGAATCCCCGCGTCTATTTCAGGCTGCAGCGCGAGGTCGATGATGCTGTGCGCAGCGGCAATGCTCCGAGCGAAGGCCTCATTACTGCCGCCCAGGCTAGACAACTTCCGTACCTCCAGGCCGTGATCCGCGAGGCTCTGCGAGTCTGGCCGCCTGTTGCGAACATCTTCCCGCGCGATGTCCCGAGAGGTGGCGACACTCTTGTCCTCGACGGCGAGAGCGTATTCCTACCGGGCGGCGTTTGCATCGGGTACTCGGCGAAGGCTATGCACCAGAGCGAGCAGATCTATGGCAAGGACGCAGAAGCTTTCCGGCCCGAGCGGTGGCTCGAGTCGGACCCTGCCAAGTTGGCTGTCATGATTCGGACCAACGACCTCATATTCGGTCACGGCAAATTTCAGTGTTTAGGGAAGGCAGTGGCCCAAATCGAGATCGGAAAGACGGTATTCGAGGTGAGTAGAAACAGCTCCGCATGCGCGCTGTCTTCTTCCTTCTTTTCGACCATATACTAATGGTCCGTCGACTGGACAGCTCTTGCGCAACTTCGATCTGGCGCTTATCAGTCCTACGCGTCCTTGGGATGCGCGAAACTACCTGGGGCTTTTCGCGATCTCAAATATGTGGGTTCAAGTGATGGAGCGAACGCCCTGTTCTCCGTGACCGAGTTGAGAACAGTCCCAGTGTAATATCCGGATGTTCCCTGTATGGCAGTGTTTTGCAGACGTCCTCAAGTGGTAGAACAAGGCTGATTCTTCAACATGTTATACCATCCACTCATTCCCTTGTACATATGACTTATTGCGTCCTCGGAGATACCTTTCTCTGAATAATTTTTACTTGAAGGGGTATCTCTACGGTTGTTTTTGGTGGGTGGGGGAGAAGCTAAGAGATGGCACACAAGTATGGAGCCCTCCTACACAGAGATATATATTTGAAATCAGGTCTACCACAACCCTTCGAGTTCATATGAGTTCTGAGAGATTTTTGAGGGATTTAAGTGAAGATTGGCGAAATAATAGAAATAAGACCGTGAATTTGCTCATATTACCACAAGGGAAGATTAAAGAAGAAAAGAAAATGACCTTATCCAGGAGACGCCGTATCCGGAGTCTTTTGGCTTAAGATTTATAGCCATAGTACAAATCGGGTTGGCGGATCAACCGCCAAGAAAAGCATTATTGGTCTAGTGGTAGAATTCGTCGTTGCCATCGACGAGGCCCGTGTTCGATTCACGGATGATGCACTTTCTTTTTGCATTGTCACATCGCTGACTCGATTTGGTTTTTTTTTTTTTTTTTTATTTCAAATCCAGTTACTTACTACCGGTGCCAATATATGGAGAGTTTGGGTCACAATTCATAGAGAGAACAATCTGAAGAATAAGACCACAAAATAGATATGTCGAGATGAGAGGACCGACCACCAGAGAGAAAAACGAGACGAGAAAAAGCACGCAGGGGTATTATGCAAGGAAACATCAGACCAAAGAGACAAGTGACGCCGGAACGCTGAAGCTGTGTGTGTGTGTGTGTGTGTGTGGAGAGAGAGAGAGAGAGAGAGAGAGAGAGAGAGAGAGAACACCCAAGATGAGAGTGTGGGAGAATGCGTGTAAGGAGAATGAAAGGAAGGAACCAGTCTTTGAATCAGAAAACTGGAATCCCTGTGCTCGGGCTAGGCGGCCGGAAAGCGAGACGCAATCAGAGCATTGATAACATGACCGCTCTGCCACCCTTGCTCGGGCAGTGACTCGTTCTCTTTCAGAACATGGCCAAGGTAGGCGATGCGCACGCGTTGATGACCAGCAAGCTGTGATGAATACCAGTCAGAAACCCAGCTGCAGACCCAAACCGGGTTTCAGAAGACTTACCCCTGCCTCGTGATGAATCTTGCGAGTTAGAAACCCCACGCTCTGATCCTTACCTACCAACAGCATCAAATCTGGCCCGCCACGATCACTTAGCCGCGTCTGCACGCGGATAAGGTCCTGCTCACGGGTCTTGCCCTTCTCATCGCGGCGCCGCTCCAGATCCTCGGCGATCAACTCATCGCCTGAGGCATCGTCGTCCGTCGCCAGCTTACCATCCGACAGGGCCTCGGTGTCCTCGTCCTGTGCTTCGTTGTCGGATCCGGGTTGCGATGATGGATTCTGGACCATATTGTCGGGATCGCTGACAATGCACTGCGGTAGACGGTAGAGCATGCCTTGTTCGTCGTAGACACCTTCGCACATATCACCGGTTGGGATAGTTATACCGGCTGCATCGACGATGCTCTGCGCCGTGGCCAGGTCGCCGGCGCGTATCAGCGAGATCGTAGACGAGAGCGCCGCCCACACCTCCGGGCGGCCGGTCACGCGAGTCTCAAAAAACTCGCGGCGCTCGCGGTCGAGCTGGACGCGCGTCCAAGTGCGGCGTTTGCTGCTCCAAACGTGGAGGCGCACGGGCTCATTGTAGTGTTCGCCCAGTGGGATGTTGGGGCCGGGCCGTCGCGTGCGTCGGCGGCCGGAGGTTGTGGAGACGGAGGGATCAGCGGCGCTGTTATTGCGAGAAGATGTCTGCTGGGAGTGTTGGTCCTCGTTGTTTCCGGACGGGGGATGGTCATCGTCAGGCGATGGCCGTGATGCGCAGCAACCCTAGACGAAAACAGTCGTCAGCCCTCTTTGTTTATTGAGAATCGGGCTGGCGGTTAAAGCCAGCAAAGATAGGCTGGGCCGATCGTGCTGACTGGAAGCACAAAAACATACCATGGTGAGCACGACGCTCCATATGGCAGAAGAGGGGAGGTCGAGAGAAGAGACAGAGAGGGAGGGCGGGGGGCGAGGTAATAACTAATGGAAGAAGCTCCAGCTCATACATAATCAAGCCTCGACTGATTTCTCCACATAAGTTTGGTCCGAGCACCACCACGATTTCTGTCAGGTTGCACCGCAGCGTTTTTAGATGTCGATCGATACTAATGTACATGAATGTATATATATATATATATATATATCTATGCTAGCTCTACTCATCATCCTCCGAGTCGCCAAAAATCGCCTTGAAAACTGCATCGCCCGGTCGCTCCGCCTCCAGGGCTTCGTTGCGCTCCGGCTCCACCGCAGGGCGTTGGGTCTCTGCGGCAGATTCGCGTTCGTTGGCTCCATGCGGAGGCGGATGTCCTGCCGACAGAAGAAGTTGGTTCATGGCTTCCTGTGACACCAATTCCTTGGGCCCAGTGTCTGTCTGATACCCTCCTGACTGGAATTTCTTGCCCGGTCCTCCGCCCTCATCGCCCTCAGGCTGTTCTCCCGGATCCAGCTGCACATGGGATGGTGGTTTGACGTTAAACCGCTTGCAAAGCAGACGAGCCGGATAGAAGGAGACAGTGCTGCGTGTCATCTGGCCAAACATGCCGATCTTGGCAGCTGCAACGGCTGGGTCCTCCGGCTTATCGGCGGGCCGGCTGAGACCCGAGTCGGTGGATGAGTCGGGTGCATCGGAGCCAACTTTCGGTGTTGAGGACGCCGATGTGAAACGTGAAGCCATGAGTCCCGACATGGGTTTGAATACCTCGGCGGCCCGGGCAAATTCTTGCATTTCCGTAACCCAGTCGTCTGTGCTGGAACCGGGCAATCGATCGGGCAGAGAATCTCGAAGACCTGCGCGGATCTCGAGAAAGGTCCGATAGCGTGCGCGCTTGTCCTCGTCTTCCGAATAAGGCATCCAGCCGCTGACTGCTCGTGTCAAGGCTTGCACTGCGAGTTGCTTATCCAGCTTTGGTACAAGATCCCAGAGATCCTTGCGCTGTTCTGACTCGGACAGCTCATAACCCTTCGGTGCCTTCTCACCTAGCGCTGGGGGAAGATCGGTTTTCCCAGTAAGCTTGGCAATTCGGGCTCGAGCCTCTGGAGTCATCCAGTCGAAGATGGACTTTCCAGGTAGTTGGGCCTCGCCCAAAACTGCGGCTCTGGAGGTCGGGTCGAGAGACGAAGCTTTGGCGGCATCGGCAGTAGATACATAATCCGACGGCTTCTGCTCTGTGGATAATGGCGCTTTGGATGATTTCCAACCATCTGGGATCTGAGGAGGCTCATATTTCTTGTCTGAAGAAAGAGACAGACCGGAGAGTCCATCCGCGAGAACAAATCCATCAAGTGGCAACCGGCCATCCCGGCATTTCCTGAAACCCCCGGCACTCCGTGCAGCTGCGACCTTCTTCGATATGAAGACGGGCTTCGAATTCAGCAGAGGATTGGATGACGCAATAGCCGGTTTTCCCTCTTTCTTCTTTTTCTTCTTGTCTCCGCCGATGGTCTTGCTGTATGAGATCTGTGGGCCTAAAGAGTAAGGATCCTCGTCATCTGAGCCGGTATCATTGAGGATGCCAACACCAAACCCTCCGCGGCGTGTTTCCTTGACTTTGGATGCCTTTGGTTTCCCCTGGAGAGCTAGACGCCCTTCAAAAAACGAGTCCGAACCCTCTTCATCGGGTTTAGCGCGAGGTGTCCCCAGACGTTCCTCGAGGCGCGCTTCTCCTTCAAACCCAAGACCTTTCAGGTCTGTCTTGCGGATAAAGGCAACCATGGGAGGGTTCTCTGGCGCAAAGAGATAGGTTTGTTCGGCTCCTTCTCCGCCCGTGGTAGCCTTATCGCCTAGATTGGCTTTGCGCCGCACCTTCGGACCAATTCCCTGACCCTCGCGCCACCCCATCTTCTTCAATAGCTTCACTCCCATAGTCTCTCCGCCAGTTTTGAATAAGTCAATGAGACCTGCTCGTCGCGTGGCATCCACTTCTGTAGAACCAAAGCCTGCGTATCCCTCCGCAGTCTGTAGCTTCTTCGACTCCTCTGCCTCGCGCAAATCCTCCTCGTCCATAAAATCCTCCGCTCGTTGCTGCACCGGTTGTTTCGCATCCCGGGCACGGTTCTGGCGAGATGAGACGAAAGTAGCGGGAGACCACCCTTCTTTGGAGCCGACGCTGTTGAAATACCTAAAGGTGCGAGGCTATTGTTAGCGCTTCCTGAATTTCGTGAGTGAGATCGTGTGTGCAGCTTGAAATGACTTACCCAGCACTAAATCCACCGGTGAACGCACCATGAAGTCGTTTCCTACCCCGTTCATCGGTCACCTCTTGCTTCCAAACAGGCATGTACGAGCCATCGTCCCGGACGCCGGCATCGAGGGGCGGGAGCGGGGTACCGTAGACGGCGTAGGGAGACTGTTGGGATTGAAGATCGGCCTCAAAAGTTGTGCGAGTACGTTTTGAAGTCATCGCGATCAGTCGGGGGAGAGCATGACGACGGTGGTTGCGAGTTGAAGAGGAAGAGGAAGAAGAAGTTGGAGCTCCAGGTGGTAGCGCCGGGAGCTTAATCGGGTTTAGCGCCACCAAGGCTCTGATCTATACGATCATGAGATTTTACAATTTTATACTTTGTACACCTAAACCTCTAATACTCCTGCTGATTATTCCAGTACAGCGTGCCATGTTGCACCTCTCCTGTCGGCTCGAGGTTCCACCGTAAGATGAGCTTTGTCCACTGAAGCAAATGGCTCGCCAACTTGATGTGGCCCACATCCGTCGGATGGTCCTTGGGGTTGATATCGTTATGCTGCAGGATTCCCTCGGTGGGAAAATAGTAGACAAATCCCTTATCCTTGAAATGTTCATGTACGCGTTTGGTCTCTTGCTCGTAGACGGTGCGCGGCACATACTGAGTACCTTCTTTCTTCCATGGGCCCCATTGCGACTATTTCCATTAGCCCCAGTACACCGTTATTCCGAAAAGGAGAACTTACCATGATAAGAATAATTGCATGCGGCCAAGTTTTATGTATATCTTCGATCAGATCCACGTACGCGTGGTAAAAGTCGGTGCCGGGAATCTCGTTCGGGTGTCGGTGGTCATTCCCTCCCATTTGCATGATGACAAGGTCCGCTGGTTGTTCGGCTTCAACGTCCCATTTCTCAAAATCATCGCGGTTGTACATCGAGCGGGAACGGGAACCCGGATCGGGCGCTCGATGCCAGTACCATGTCTGATTCCGTGAGATTAAAATCCTTGAACGTGTGAGGGCTGACATACCATGCCACGAGAATAACCTCCGTAACATTGTTGATCGACCAGGCAGATTCCAGGATAGGCCTAAATGCAAAATAAATTAGCATACTCGACAGACTTTCTGGAGTAAGACTAACGGTAATCCCGAATTCAACATTTCCTAGGCCAGCTCCGAAGAGGAAGGCCCACGAGGAGATAGTTTCGTAGGTACCGTATTGGCCCGACGCCAAACTATAGAGGGTGAGTATATTCGGAAATCTCAAAGAAGTGGATTGATACTTACGATCCCCCTATAATTTCCACTTTTTTCTCAAACGTTGGAGGTTTTGTGAGTTGAGTATTTTCGTCAACCGATATCCCAGCAATTTGGACCGTGTGAATCGTAAGCAAAGAACGTAGAGAATGTTTGGGTTAACTTATCCAATGCCCCAATTGGTAACTATACAGCAACAGTCAGTGGATGTACATGATTTTCGGACTACGAGTTTTACCTCTCATTTCAAACACCTTCTTCGCTTCCACCAGATCCTCATCCAATTCTGACCAAGGCCCGACAAACTGGTAGGTCGAATCTCTGGTCACATTGGAGAATTGCCAATCCAAAGATCCAATTCTATGTGATCTTAGATCAGCGGAACCAATATCAACCACGGGGAGAGGTACCTATAAGCTACTAGAACACCATCATTTGTTTCCGGGCCGAAGCTTATTGCAAGCTATGATTGTCATTTGGAGCACTAACATAGCAGCAGAAGAATAATAACATACTTTTTGTCCTGAGAACTGGGTCTTGAGTCCCGGTGCGCTGCATGAGTTAGACTCCACAGACTCGAGTTAAGAAGAATGGGAGAAACCAACGACCACCCTATGACACTCGCAATTAGAACCGAAAAGACAGGCGGAGGATGATAGCGTCATACATGAGATATATCTGCTGTCCCAGCGGCCTTTCCATGATATTTCGGAGCTGTTAGGCCCGTAGCTTCGCCAGGAATCATCTAGGACAATCTGGTCGACTTGCCCTGGATAGGCATCTTGCCTGACTTGACCATTTTGCAATATCGTGGCTGACGCACACCACAGCCACAGCAAGAGGGTTAGACTTCGGTATGCGATCTGCATTCTGAGCACTCGTGCAAAACGGATGATCGTTGAACCACGCAGAAACCCTTATTCTTCCCCTGAGTCTTAAAAGCCGGAATAAGTCGCGTCGGTTATCTTGTTAATTATCGTCCACTTGTAAACTCCGCGTGTGGAATTTGACGAGCCCCTTTTCATACCACCCCGATGGCGTGATCTTGGCGCATGTGTTCTCAAAATGTTCCTTGGCGAAGAGTCGCATGCATATGATGCCACTCAGTTTGACCAATTTGACCAGGCTCAGATCCAAGGAAGTCAGAGGTCCTCGAATAATTGTCATTTTGTCCTGATTGTGTCGGTGCGACAAAGGTCTGTGCTATTTAGGTATTTCTGAATTGAAGAACAACGTTAACAAGCAGGATACGAATTAAAAGGAACGCCAAGACTTTTGGCCTAAAGGAACGGGAAGAGCTTGGCCCAAACTACTGCCATGATTGCGCAATTATTAGGGCTGACGTGATGATCATTGCCTGTTTCCCACGGACCCTGAAGAAGTGGAGAGAGAGACCGCGAATAGATTATTGCAACCATAACTTGGTGATCTCCAGACCCAGAAAATCAACTGAATATACCTTGCATTATTGTTTGTTTCAGTAAATACAATTTGCATTGCGCGTCCCATTGAAATTATTTGAGTTCAGGGGGTTATGTGATATCATCATTTTCGCTAAAGCTCGCGCCATCTCAACCCTGTCAGTGTTTCTTTTCTCGCTTCAACATGTCTAACTAGATTTCCGCTTGCATTAATCCTTTAGTTAGCTACTGGTGTCAAGTTTTGGATAATAGTGTTTGCCAGAAGTCAGCATGAGGTCCAGGATCCTGAACTTCTCGGCGAAACGGAACACTTTTATCCCTTACCAAGTGTTGACGCGATTGAGGCGGAATTTTTGCCATGGCCAATTTCCAATGCTGCCGTACTATTGGCCCGGCGGTAAACTGGGCGACGCTGTGGACGGACCCTTTGACGCTGTCTTGCTCACTAGATTAGGATTTGTCTCATATGGTCACTTTGAATGATTCGTCTCTCGTGGCGCAATTGTCCACGTCGTCCAAAAAGGGAAAGCTTCTGATGAAGGAATCGCCTGGGAATGTTACATACCCACACAAAGAAAGAACTCTCCGATCTGTGTTGAGAGAGAGCAGAGAGATCCAAGGCCTTGCTATAGAAATATAAAAAAATTGGGAACCAGTAGACTCTGGTGTAATGTGATGCATACAAGACCTAAATGTTTGTATATTTGGATGCTCAGTTAGCAATGTTCAATCTAGCGGAGAACCCGCGGATGAGACTGCATGGATACGTCGGCACTTTCCTTTATTACTCGGCTCAGCTGGCCCCGACTGGATGCAATCCAGCGCGGCAAGGGATTTCCTCCATATCGCCCATTCCTCTTGGCCTCGGGGTCCTTTCCTGCACTCTGGCTCGTGTGCGTTCGTCGATCCACTGGCATCCTACTTATTTCTGCTATTTGGCAGACCCAATGACTCTCTTTTCTTGAACCTATCGTGCCTCTTGTTTCTTTTACTTATTTTTCTTTCCTGTTTGTTGTCCGCAAGCTGCCTGCTGATATTGATGAACCTTGAGGTTCTGTACTTCTGCCACAGACTGTCGGACCCAAAGTCACTCCCTTAACCTTTCCATTCTCTTATTCACTTCGCCATGGAGTATATGAAGCCTAATCACCTTTATGAACGTCTTCTGGACAATGTTCCTTGGAAATCTGGAAATCCGTCAGTAAAAGGGGATCCCAGAAAGAGCGTTAAATGGATTGACGTATGCGACGACTTGCTTCGCAAACAAAGTTCAGCACTGACAAACTAATCTCAGGGTTTGCGAGGAATTGCTTCTTTTCTAGTCATTCTTACCCATCTTGCCCGAGCTTGGGACTACGATCTTTTTTCTCCCCGCGATAACGAACGTGCTACACCTCGCATCCTCCAATGGCCTGTTTTGCGAATTCCCTGGCAAGGCCGTATTGGAGTCACTATATTCGCATTCTTGACTGGCTATGTGTGCGCGCTTAAGCCCATTAAACAGTCCCGAAACGGAGATCATATGGGCTCCTTTATTTCCATCGCAAAGAGTGCATTCCGCCGACCACCACGTCTTATCCTTCCCGCCACAATTGCAATGATCATTTCCTGGGTAATGGCGCAGTTCGGTGCGTTCATCGTTGCCAACCGGTCAGATTGCTGGTGGTGTCGCTATGCAGCCCCGGATCTGGCTCCTACATTTTGGGAAGAGATTCTTCGGCTGTTCAAGAATTTCCTCAGTACCTGGACGACGGGATATATGGCCTATGATGACCATCAATGGGCATTACTACCACTGCTCCTTACATCAATGTTGGTTTATATACTGCTGTGCGCGACCATGTTTGTCAGGTTTCGCTGGCGTCTGTTGATCTACTTGGCAATGTTTCTATATTTCCACCAGGATGCGGCTAAAGATATCGGTTCGTTCTCCATCGTGGACTGCTTGACGAGCCCTCGACTAACTCCACAACAGAGACGTTCCAGATGCAGGGCGTCTATGGCATGTTTCTCAGTGACCTGTCATACGAGAAACCATTCCAAGAGTTTGTTGCAGATCACAAATGGGGCCGTCGAATTATAGCTGCAGTCCTAGCCTGTTCTGGTCTGTTTATCTGTGGCTATCCAGGCGAACACCCGGAGTGGATGGGCTGGTCAGACATCATGTTCAAAGCGGCACAGTATATATTCCCACCAGAGGTCAACATCGGCAAACGGTATACCGCGATGGGAGTTGACTTGATCATTCTTGCCATCTACATCTCCCCCTCGACAAAAGAATTCCTTTCGAGCAGTCTCCTTCTCTGGTTTGGAAAACAGAGTTTCGCCGTGTACCTGGTCCACGGAACCCTTTTGCGCACGGTGTTGTGCTGGATGTTGTATGGAATCACTGGCCAGCCCTGGGATGGAAATATTGTTGATGAGCATGGGAACCCAATATACGGAGATGATGGCGAGCCTTTACACCCTCACTGGATTCCACTTCGGAAGCCATGGGTTGTAGCACTCTGTATACCACTCTGGATTTGTCTGGTATATATATGTGCGTCTCTGTGGACGAAATATGTGGACTCGTTCTGTGCAAGATTGACACAGAAGTTGGAGAAGTTGATCTTCGAGGAGGTTGACGAGCCACCTCCATCATTGCCTTTGACCAACATCCCGATGACCACTACCTAGGCTCCGTTGTTGAGAACTGGGATGACTCGCACAATATTGTGTAACTATTGAATTTACTAGTACTGTAATTTTTTGCATATCATATGATGTTTTTACCCTCATATTGCCGATGATACCTTTCTTTCCTCCATTTGCACCGTAAGATCTGCTTACTGCGATAAGAATTAGGATTCACCTTTTCAAAGACCGATGGAGTAGAAAATCCTAAAATGTGTACTCTGTTGTTTTTCTAATGCTTTAAAACGTGTTAATGGATTCGTCCTCATGCGAAAAATAAGCTCGCTTCTTTGAGACTATTTACACGTTATGTAAATTATCAAATGCTTCTCAAAGTATATCATGTCCAATGCTATCCAGGATTCCTTTGTGTAGTGCAATCAACCAGTTCCGGTAAATGGCGGTGTCTGGCCCTGGTAAAAGAGATTTCTCCACGGGTATTGTTGTCTTTCGTTCTGAGGGAAGAGAAAGTTCGCTTTTACACTTTCTGAGTCGTGGTTTTCCAAAAGAAACTGAGTCTAGATGTCGGAACATATCATTCCTCCTGAATAATGTGCTGATAGGTCGTGAATGCATCACCGCTTGAGTATTTGAAGTAGTATCGCACAGGGTCCGCACTAACTCCGAGAAAGCAACGCCGAGATACACGGAGCAAGCAACAATAAGACCCAGCCAGAATGCATTGTGGGACCGCATGATTTG